AGGTTTTTCATTGATGTCGCAAACGAACTGGCGGATGTACCTCCGGGGCGCAGGAGAGTAGGGCCAAAAACGATGGCGAGGTTTGTCGCATACATGTGGTTGATTTCTTCATGATCTGTTATACGCTCCAAGTGTTCTATAATCCTCTTCAGTAATATATAATTAGGAGCAGGTAGCGTACGAATTAAATCCTTCATAGCTATCAGTCGATCATCGTAGTCCGCGAGTGCTAGAAAATCCTCCCCCACCCCCACAAAATTTTGTTTAATATTATATCTTTGTTAATGCTCATAACCTTGAGGTTTCCGCATTTAAGATAGTCAGTCCAAGTCGTATGTCTTACCGGACGCTGCAATAAGAGAGTCATATAAAGCGTTGGTCATCACAGCCTCAGGCAGTTCACGTAGAAATTGCTTCAATGCTCCCGCTACAACATTAATGTCCTTCCATTCATCGCTATCCAAGTTGACATTTTGTGAGCCTAACGGTATAAAAGAAAATACAATTATGAGAGCATGCACAATTGCGCCCCACTAAATCAAGATTTGTTTAATTCCATACCAGAATTGAAGCTCTGTCGCAGCTTATTGATTGCCGATACGGCACCAGGTACACGGTAGATCCCAACTTCCTCCAAACCTGTGGTTGGCGTTGAAATATATTGAAATGAGTATATAATCAAGTCATTTAAAGAAAACAATAAAAAATTTAAAAAAACTAAACGCTGTTTACCTCGTTTCTCAATTTCTGCAATACATTTCTCAACAATCAGCGGAATGTTGCCATCGCTCATAAGATGCCGGAGCTCCACACCAAAAACTAAATATCAGAAGGAATGATGCGTTAATTACAATAGGGATAGGGGTAATTTAATGCCGCCATGTTGATAATACAGTGGTTTACTGTTATGCTCACAGAATACTTGCCAGAATTTCTGCCTTTATACTCATATTCCGAGGTTGGAAATAGTTCCTCCGCTGGTGTTGTAGCCGTTACCGCACTCGACAGCGACTCATCATTGTCCAGTAAAGTTCGTCGCTTCGCTGTTGCGCCAGCAGCAGCTTCATTGATGACCTTGATCCACTTGAGCATATCTTCGTGATCCAATGCCTGAAACAGTGATTGTCCGCCTTCTTCCGTCACAACCTTGAATACAAACTTTCTTTTCGTGTACGTATTGGCAACAGAACAGGTTGAGTTGATCAAATTGATAACCAATACAGGTTTAGGGGTAGACAAAGGTTGGACGCTGCTTGACGATGTGGCGTGGGACTGAAGTTGGAGTTGGGGCATATCCAAATCTTGACGATTAGAAGCGCCCAATGCTTCAATAGCACCACTTGCTGTAGTCCCGCTCACATTCTTCCCGTTAATAGCACTGCCTAAAGCAGTCGCATTACTCACAGTCGTTGTTGCAGAGCTCCAGGAATTTGTAATAGCAAGAGAGATAGGTCTCATAGCTCGCATAAGTGTCGACTTTAACAGTTGGTTTTTGACCCGGCTTCGACTCTGCTCAAGCTTAATTTGTTTCTCCAATATCTTTGCCTGTTCCTGCTGAGCTTTTTGGATCCTGTCTTGTGTATCCTTAATTTGCTTTTCAAGCTTCTCGAGCTCCTTTTGGTCCCGTTTGATCTTTTCATATTGCATTGACACAAGCCGCGAGAAAATTCTAGGAAAGCGTGATGATCTTGATGAAATATTGGTAGCAGAGGAGAGATGGGTAGTAGACCCACCATGCATGTTTGATGACTCCTTTTGAGCAGATTCTCGTACAACCTTCATAGCCAAGTTAGAACTCAATCCATTCGATAAGCCAAGCCAACTAGAGAGAGGCGTTGATGTCATTTCAATAGCTCGCAACTCCTCTTGTCGCCGTGTATAGACATGTATGAGATCATAGATGTACTGCCGTTTATCGAAATTGATAAGCAGTGGTGATTCGTAGCTCATGTCTCGAACATAACAGCAAGCCTCCAAAAAACGCTCAATCAACCACCCAATGGACGGAACTAGTTCATGTGAGACGTCCTGATTCAAACAGTCTGCTGACAATAGACCGTTATCTCGTTGAGGAACCAGCACGTCCTCTAAAGTCTCAACAGATCCTTTGCGACTAGATGCTACTTCAAGCCATATGTGAGAAAAGGCTCTACTCTCTGGGCTAATCAGGGCGCTCACCACAGCATCCTCAACAAAGGATGGTACCACCCCTACAGAGATCTTCCTAGCCGTAGATTGTAGTGATAATGAGGCCCGCCCTTTACCGCTCCCAAATTGACCCATTGCACGTCGACTAAGGGTAATAACATCCAACATCTTTTGAAGGCGGTCCAGCCTTACATTGTATGCGATGCTCGGTGAAGCTAGCTGAGCAATGACCCAACCACGAATGACATGGTGGAGCCTACACAGGTTTTGAAGACATAAAGGAAGCGAGCTTAGGAGTCGTTCTCCGTTCCAATGAGTACCTGGTGCCCCATTTTTTCGGACAACATGAAGGGTGTCATGAATACTCGTAATTAATATATCCTCTTCTGCAGGCGTAGCGCCCACCTTGGGAAGATACCATCCCAGTGGATCTATAGATTGTGACTCCAAAACCTTAAACAAAATGATCCATTCTTGATTCCTAACGGTGAGAAAATGTGCCCATGCAGCCGCATTCAACTGGTCAAGGAGTGTTCCAGGCGACCAACTATCGTTTAATTGTGGTGGCATTAGCGGAGAATGTCCGAAAAACGTCTCCAGAGTACCTGACACCAAGATAACAGAATCAAGTGGTTTCATCATTTGTTCCACAGCAAGTTGTTGAACATAGGTCAGTTTCTTAGAGAGTGCTGTCGCTTCATCAATATGGCTGTCATCCAATAGTAGCTTTTGAGAAGCCTCCTGAGCCGAGATTGATTTGAGAGCTCCGCTCAATTTGGCCTTGAGCGTCAGATCATCCAAAAAGTCATCAGCATGAGCCCTTAACCAGTACTCCAGGGCTTTCAGAATATTAAGTTGCATTGTTAAAACTCTCTTCCAATCAAATGTTGAAGAGCTATGACTGACTCTTGCCATAGAACTTGCCCTCGAAAAGGCGCCCTGGGTTCCTGGGGAGAGATCGAACGCAGACGGTATATCAGAAGCTCTAGGCTTGATATCTTGAGCAAATGAGAACATCTTGACAAACTGATCGAGCAGCCTATTGGCAGTACAGAAGCTTCTATATGTTGCAAAGAATGCTTTCTGAAACGTCTCGTGGTCCAAGATAAATTGCATGCTCGTCCAGCATATCAAATTCCCTTGCTCGTCCAGGTACTTTCCATTCCGATCCTCGAGACCCATTACAACGACATAAATAAGCTCTTCTAATGTACCAGCTTTCACTATAACACTTCGGGCTTCATTCAGCTCGGCCAAGCTGCTTGTATTTGATGATTGACTTCCACCAGTATTCAAGTATAGCCTCGATCTACGGAAATCTCCTTCCCTTTCTTTTGCAAGAGGATTGACAAGTGGTTCCGTCATTTGCTCATTCACTTTCAGAATCAGATTACCTCCTTCGATCAATATAGATGAGTAGCCAATACAAGTAACATTTCGCATCGCCGTAACTACCTCGTTCGGCTCAGGCTCGTCCATACTCTGCAAACACCCGCTGGCGAGAGCATCCAAATGTGGATTGATCATGTTGACCGTTGGTTGAGTGCTAAATGACCCTATGCTGTTACATGTATTTCGGGCAGGAGGGAAGGAGTACGTCCGCTTGTGTGACTTTTGGCAACTGGTGGAATCTGTCTGCTCTAAATGTAATGTTCTGTAATAGGTCGCTGAAGATCCTATCGACTCCTCAGACCCTTTTTTGGCAGTGGAAGAGAGGTCTGAAGGCAGTTTTGTAGAGGCTATTTTGGAGGTTCCAGGTGGAATAGTTTGAACTTCATCGAATGAACTCTTTCGATCAGTATTTCCGGTGTTTTCAAGCGTCAGTAGAAGCGGTAATGGAAAGAGCCGTTTTTCTGGAACAACCTCTGGAAACATTAAAGGTATAAAACTGCCTGCCATCTTTCGATTCTTGTAATGATAGTCAAGGTATTGACCAATGAAATGTGGTTCACAAGCCAACGAGGACTCAAAGGCATCGCTTGATAACTCATTAGAATGATAGTGATCATGGAGTGTCTGGCTGATTGAGGCAAGGTGACTGAAATACTGTTGTAATCGTTCATTTTCTAATGACGATAAAATTGGTTGAGGCTTCAAGGCCTTTGTAGATATTGATTGCGACGCTTTGTTGAGAACTAGATAGATTTGTCTAAGTTTTTCAATGTTAAGCTGTTGTACTGGGGCTAATTGCAGGAATGATGGCATAGCCCTATCCAGTTGATCTAGTGATTGCTTAATGTTGCTGATACATGGTATCACAGAATCTTCGCCATTGAGTGACATTTCAAAGACAGAGTGAAGTGAAGATTTTAAACCGAATGAAGATATTGCCAACCCTTGTAAATCCTCCATCACCATGTTCATCTTTATGAGTATGGGTACCCATTTGTGTGCCACCTCTTGCCTGAGCTCTAAAGAGACTTGCTTCCAGGTCTCCTGTAAGCGTACGACGCCTGGTGAACATATTCCGATGGCGATTGCCACAAACCCTGCCATATCGCCCAGTAGCCAACAGCATCTCGCTGTTTTAATCCACTGTGCAAGCAATTTGGGCCTCCGTGACGTACTCTGGATGGACTGGGTTGCAATTAGGATATGGTGGGTGATGAGGATGGTTAGAAAGTGTGGTGAATACATTGAAAAAACGAGAGCATTTTGTAGAGATTGGCTTGTCCCGAAAACAGAGTATGGTCGTATAAAGTTAGCGGGATTTTTGAAAAGGCGCTGCAAGCCTCCAATGAGGTATAACTGCTTGCGGTGGTAGTGTAGAATTTGCTCTGCAAAAAAGATTGGTTCGAGTCTCAGGAACAAAGCTGGAGTTAGCCCTGTAATAAGCAAATTTGACAGATCCACGGACACCTCACGGACACAGCCGTCGGATTCATTGTTGGTAGAGAAAGAGGCTACATTAGCCAAATAACTGTCATTGTAGTGAACAGCATCAGTGCGTTGTAAAATATCAGTCGCTCTTGTTGATCCACATTTCTCTTGCAAAATCTTTGTAAACTTGCGGATCTCTTCCAATTCTTCGGTATTTGTTACGCTAGCACAGTATCCATTGATAATTTCCCGTATAAAAAACTCAATTCTATGCACCTTTGCTTTTGTGTTGTCAGGCGTAGAGTTTGCTGACTCTAAGCTAATGTACCGCCCTAATTCCCCCAATACATGCGAAGTTGTTGTAAATAATGGGTAAGTGGTTGCAATTATGTGAACAAGTTCAAGGTTGATGTCTGTAAGCTCGTTATGAACAATTTCATAGATCAAGTCATCGATTGATGCTCCTGATAGTTGGGTAGTGCCCGTGCTAACCTTCCGTCGCACTGTGATCTTGGGATCCAATGTAGTTTCACAAAATGCTTGAGCCCTGTCCATTTTATTGCTGTTCAAAATAAAGCTCTCAGCCTCAGAAGATGACTTTGGTGATGTCGGCGAGTGAAGAGATGCGGTTGAATTGTTAGAACGAGGCGAGTACAGCATAGGAGCATCTTTAGGTACAAGGCTTTCGACTGAACCTACTTAGAGTTCACAGAGATAAGTCATTAGGTGTCTCCTATTGACAGGCGACCACAGTAGGCACATAAAAACATATTTACCTCTGCCTTTAGAGGCTGTCCGTGTGTGCGGTTGATATAGCCCTTTGGCTCTATTAAACTTGGAATACCATTGATGACGCACCTCCTGCGAAGGAGGCAGGTAAAGAAGACGATGGGTATAGTCTCTCCCATCTATGTTGGATGTGATTACTAGCTCAAGAGTCGAGGTTGTTGTTGATTGGTGGTTGGAAGAGGAAATGGAAGTCGCTGTAGATATGGAGGGAATATCCAAGTCCCGCAGATTACGTCCAAAGTATGACGGGTTTGTAGCTGCAGCGGTTACGGGTGCTGCAAACGGGTAGAATGTTGCAGATGCGGACGGTACTGGCGAAGCCATGTCTAGCGCTTCGACTTGCGACAGCGGGTAGGTGGCTTCGTGTTTCCATTTTGAGAAATAGCCTCGTTGCTTCTCAGTCGAACTATCAAAAATAGCGCGGATCCTTTGATCACCATCGCTACCACGAGAGTCACTGGATTTGTGACTGATACCAGAGAGCGAGCCCTGGCGCTTTCCAGAGACAGGCTCCTGATGCTCATTCTTTTCATTAGAGTTGGAACTGAATTTTATCACATCCTTGACTTTGGCGGAAGTGTACCGAACCCATTTGCGCTTACAAATAACAACACTGTCTTCAAATAAGAGTAAAGCCACATGCTTTTTGAATTGCATTGTCAGACGGTCGATCTCTGTGAAGCATTCCCCATAAACATATTTGGACACCGGAGATGCAAATGACTGAAACTCATGATTAAGTGACTTGATACTCGTGTTGCCCTCAAATAATAAAGTCCTAGTAGAGGACTCGAAATTGAAGGCCGAAAGAACCATGCCGCATTCACTGGCGATTGACAGCTGTGGAGACGTGCCGTTGTTGGGGAATGAGTGATGCTGGTGATAATAGCCTGTATGGTCTTGTTGCAGGATATTTGAGGAGAGACACTGCTTTTGAGGATCTTTGGGGCTCTGAAACTGAGGCCAATCATCCATTGGTAAGGGTTTGTAAAAGTATATCTTTGAGCTCTTTAAGATAACTTTGTATATCTTCCAATCGTGCTCTATTTCACCTGAGTGCTGCTCCATTTTTTTGTTCAGGAAGCCCTCCTGAAAGACAATACTACCAGTTCTAGGATGTACCTGTGTATCAGAGCTTGAGGCCGCAGAGAGACGGCGTTGATTGAGGTCAATTACTTGAGTAGCTGATGTAGGAGAAGAAACATGTATAATATTTGAGCAAGCAGTACGGGATAGTATTTGATTGTTTGATGTTGATATAGATTCAAGCGTGGATGGATTAAAAGGGCCAATGGGTGAGGTCGGCATGGTTTGCTTGTTCAGTGCAGGACGCAAAGGTTCGTGGGGCTGCCGTCGATTAGGCAAAGTGCGGGAGAAAAAGCGATGCGAACTAATAACATCCTGAGCTGGATAAGGCGGGGAATTTACAGATATGGTTGGGGGGTCCGTGGTAGAAGATTTGTTGAGTTGACCGAGGCTATCCTTGTGTACACATTGGTTGCGGCTATTATCTCCTTCCGTCGTTGTTTCAAGCCTCGTGGTTGAAGAAGACTCGGGTATCAATCCTTTGTTCAATTCTGCGGCTTTTTTTAATTGGAGTAGATCTCTTGCAGATGAAGTCAACGAGGTTGAGGCATCAGCCACTGATCCAAAGAGGCGTGCCTTGAGATATGAGAAAGTTGACATGCCTGCGCTTGTTGCAGTGCTGTTGCTGGTGTTTGTGCTGGTGTTGGAGTGGCTGTTGTTGCTACTGTATTGGATGCCTCTATTAAGGTTTTTACTGTGTGTTACCTGGCGGGCTGGCAGTATTTCATTTGAAATTATTTTCGGCGGCTCTTGGCCAGATTTTGAAAAGCTTTCGTGTGATGTTGCTTTCCGCGGGGTAGAATCAGATTGACTAGTAATGATGTCGCGTAGGTTGGCATGTGAAGATGAACTTCTGATTGTAACGTCATTTTTGGGATGGTCGCTCATGGCTTTTATATCTGGAAAGAAAAGCACAGGATACTCTTAAAAGTCAGGATCGCAGTGGCTACGAGGTACAATGGAGGTTTTTTTGTTTATTTGTTCGGAGCATTAATGAGAAAGCGACAAACCTTTTACTGGAAATGAAAAGCAAAAATGTGAATAAAAAAGGAGCTGGTTGTGTCGACAAAGAGAGAGAATGAACAGGTTAGCATCAACAAAAATGGCTATGCATCAATAGAATACCGGCGTCAATTGATCCGACAGTAATAACAGTAAAAAAACAACATACTTCAAAGTTGAAAGTGTAGACTATGATAAATAACGTGTACGAAGATATTTTGCTCGGGCTGTATCAGGCAAATGTTTATGATGGCTGAAATGCATAGCACAACAAGCACTCACACCACAAACAGAAAAAAAAAGGCGAAGGACATGGAATGAGGGAGTGAATGGAGAGAAAGACAGAATGAGACGGAGGATAATGAATAAAAAGGAGATGGGTGAGTGGAGAAGTAAGCGAATGTGTATATGGGCTAAGAGGATAAAAAAAAGAGAGGGTGCAAAGCGAGAAAGAGAGAAAGAGAAAGTGTTAGAGTCAACAAAGGTGTATGGGATGGTGTGTAACCGACGTAAGATTGATGCCCTCCTGCACTGGACACATCATCAACCCGGACATTTAATGCGATCTCCAAAAGCCAAAATATCTCATTAAAAAAAGGCTTTTTTTTGCTAAGTTATTAATATACTTAATGACATTGCTCACTCTTTTTTTTTAACCCTGTCTTGCTCACGCTGTCATTCTATTTGTCCCTTTACTCTTTTCTCAATCAAAAAGACTATGTTTCCTGGACAGTTGTACAAGACTGAATCTGGACGGCTATTCCATGCTGGGGCCATCGCTATCATTCTTGTCGGGTATAATTCTATTCTCATTCTGCATTCAAACACCTCGGTCCTTTCGATCATGATCCTTATTAGTGAATCATAAAGCTCATTTCATATTTCACCTGTACTTACTACCATCACTTCTCTCCTTTTCACTCTCTCTTTTTTCATTTTCGTTTTCTTCTCTCTACAAGACTGCCTGCACGCGGCAAGACCGCCATCTCTCGATCGCTTTACCGTTATCTCCGCTGGCTCGGAGTACAGACTATGGTCTTTAGTGTTGGCAATTATCGTAGACAAATCGTTGGAGTCGAAGTAACAAATGACTTTTTCAGTCCAGGTAAAGGAGTGAGAACAAAGAGAAGGAAGGAGAAAAGGTTCTGCTTTTTATCCTTCGGATTGTGAATCACCCGCATCCTCTTTTTTAATCTTGTCTTATCACATTTGCTCTTACCAATCTCTTGACATTCGTGTTTGGATGTGTCACTTCCATCATTGATCAGCCAATAAGGCTACAGCAGAGATGCGTGCAAGGATCGCAAACGCCTGTCTCGACGACATGATGCAGTGGTTTGCCAGCGGAGGACAGGTCGGTATCCTCGATGGTAGCAACACCACCGAGGAACGGAGGCAGGAACTTGTCAATCAGTTCAAGGCTTGCAATGTCCACCCCATGTTTATTGAAACTATCTGCGATAATCCTGCTATAGTAGACGCCAATATCCGAAGCGTCAAAATTTCATCACCTGATGTAAGTTCCTCACCTTTTGCTTGTGCTAATCATTGGCATAGTCACCTATCAAACACTTGGTACTATCGTTGGTATTGTTGTCGCGAAATTGACCTCACTTTTTGATTCGTTTCCCTTCACCATTTAGTATGTTGGGTGGGATCGTGCTGATGCTGTTGAGGATTTCAAGCGAAGGATCGAAAACCATGTACCATATTACACAACCATCACAGATCTCAGTCTCACTTTCGTCAAAGTCATCAATGCTGGAGACAAAATTATCGTTAACAACGCACAGGGTTTCTTACAGAGCAAAATTGTGTATTTCTTAACAAATCTACACATTAATCAACGGATTATCTATTTTGCAAGAGTATGTGGAGGTCTAAAGATATTTACAGGATTGAAATAGATCATGACAAGCTTTTCTGATTGACATATTCTCTTGCCTTCTCACCTGCTATATGTCTCACTGTTCGTATTAGAATGGAGTATCGCTTAATGAGCAGTCATACAGAGCAGATGCTCCTTTAGCACCCACAGGTCATCGATATGCAGAAAATCTAAAGAATTTTCTCTTGACACTTCGGGAAAGCAGTTCATTGTCACCCACTTTAACCGGTACACCGGAAGCACCGCGTCAGTTAACGGTGTGGACTTCATCTCGCAAAAGGAGCTTCCAAACCGCAGCGCATTTTTTGGATCATGAAGAAATCATTGTTCGTCAACGCAGTGTACTGGCAGAGAGAAATCCAGGTGTTTGTGATCAGATGACCCCACAGGAAATAGAGGAAAAATACCCAGATGAGTGTTTACGGGCCAAAAAGGATCCCTATCGTCACCGGTTCCCGCGCGCTGAGGTAAATAGTGCTGGTAAATGTATAGGAATATATGTATAGCTTTTCCTTGCTACGATATTGATATTAAATGATTTTCTTGGGTAGTCTTATTATGATCTTGCCAACCGCCTAGAAAAAGTCATTTTAGAACTGGAACGGGAAAAGAATGATGTTCTTATTGTGGCGCATGAGAGTGTTCTTCGTTGCCTCTACGGATACTTGCACGGTCTTCCTGAAGCTGTAAGTGTGTATTGTTGTTTTAGATTTTAGCCGAAGTTGTAGTCCAATTTATTTTGATGATTTACATTCTATTTGTAATACAGGAAATTCCAAGCCTTGAGATCCCTGAGGGCGTCTTGTTGGAGCTGATCCCCACAGCATATGCTATTGAAGAAAGGCGGCACAAGATTCCGGACACAGTTGCCAGTATTAATTGGCAGCAGCAAACAGCTGATGTCATGTTCCTTGCAGGAAATGTCCCTGCATCTCCAATGTTCATGGATCACTATCTACCAGATTCGTCCTCAACATCCTCGCCCTCCTCGTCCATACTTGCTCTCTAGTCCCCAATCCTCATCAGGGAGACGGATGGGTTACAATGATATGACTCTTAAGATGTAGACGAATAAGCATCTAATTAATGCAGTCTGCTCCTGTAAAATAAAGTAAAATAAAAAATAGCTGTGCTGTCATACTAAACTTAAATGGCCCACTTGGGCTCCTAAAAACCAATGCAGTCCAAGAATGGCTCTCAAATAGGCAGCACCCTGCGTGCGCAGCGCACTTTTTATTTTTTTTCCCATAAACAAGAGAGATTTTAGCTCAGGATGAAACAGTGCATCAAATCAGGGACTTGTCAATCAAATAGATCATTACATAATACATATACAAGTACCATTTATTATTTATTGTCAGGGGTCACAGAAGGAGAAAAGGGGCTATCAAGTTGTGCCAAATCCAATAAAAGTCTTGGAGTGTTTCTAGTGGTTTATGTCAAATCAAATTAAACCATAAATCCATTGCACCTTCCGATGCAATGGCCTCTGCGCTATATAAAATTTTGAATAGGCAGCAGCCATACAACCTCTTTTCTTTCTTCTCTCCCTTCCTTTTGTTTTTATCATTCCAATAGTACCTTTTTTTTTTATCTCTCACTCGACTCTCAGTCTTCCTTGAAAAATTGTAAAACGAGAAAGGAGCGATGTGATTAACTTTTGATTTTATTTCGTAATCAAGATTTCAGATCCTGCCAGTCCTTTTGTTATTACTTCCCCTTTATCTCCCGCTTTTTTCTTTTTCTTCTCTCCTCGTCTTCTGTCTCCTCTATTTCACCTATTTCACCTATTTCACCTATTTCACCTACTCCACCTTCTCTTCATTAAACCATCTGTCTATCGCCTCCATTGTGTACAGTTTAGTAACTTCATATCAAATATAGCTATCTTTTAAACTTCAACATGCCAGACAATCACACTTCATCACGGCAACAATCCGTTTCTAAGGAATACACCCGGTCAACATCTCCCCCTCCAAATATCGCTTCTATCATCCCTAAACGGTCATCATCAGTAAGTTCTATCTTTTTCTCTTCCCCAAGAAACCCAATAGGCCTGATATTTATTTAACAATCATTGTAAAACCATCATGCTTTCTATTATGTTTCTTAGCGCCTTTCACCTACACGAAAACAGCAACAGAGTACATTTATATATGACGAATCACCACGTCTCGCTCAAACTCATCTTCAGACGCCTTTGCATGCTGATCATGACCACAAATTGTTATTAAAAAAAGCAGAGAAAATCGAACATTCAACCCCGGCACGGAAGCTATCTAGTAGCAACTTCATGAAGATGGCACGACAGGCTTCAGATACTGCTTTTCGGACAGTCGGAATCAATCGCAAGGATCCTAATAATAACCTCGATGCATCCTGGAAAACTGATCACTTAGAATCTCCTATTGTTTATGAACAAAATCCGAAGGTATACCTTTATCAACAGCAGCAGCAACAGAGTCAACGCCACCAGTTAGTTAGCCCTTCTGGGTCTGAAAGATTACATCGGAGCCCATCCTCCTCAAAAATAAAAGTAGAGTACAGAGGGGATGTGGACGAGCATACGGCTGGTAGAGTCAATTCTCCGACAAACTTTCCATGCCCTGACCGAACGCATAGTCGTAGTCGTTCTGGTAGTAGTCCACGAGTCCAGGCTCATCACTTAAAGCCAGATGAACATGACATAAAAACTGATGTCCAGGAGCTTTGTGCGTCAAAGGATGAGGACGCTACGCAAGAATTACACGAGCGAACTTCACGACCAATGACCCCACGGAGGTCTCCCTCTCGTGCCATGCGTAACCCAATTGCACAAGTTGTCGGAGGACCACCTCGCAATCCCTTGATTAAACATCCCGTGCTTTTAGATGAATCCCTCACAGGACATAAAGACGATCAGTTGGCTTTGTGCAACAAGGATCTTCCTCCTATTCCATATAATCAAATGTCACAGTTACTGATGACCCCATGGAAGGTTAAAGTCAGTAATGATAGCTCTCAGTCTCATCTTGAGCTGCCTACTTCCAGTGAAGCATTTAAAAAAAGTGGAAGAAATGGTCTGATACCGCAGGATGTGCTCAAGTTCATGAATTCAAAGGAAATAAAAGAAGCCGTAAGTACCACTGTAGTTGCAAGTCGTGTATACAAAGTGATCGGCGCCGAACAACTTGACATTCTCAAAAAGGTACTAAATATGCATGTTACTGAAAACCGGTCTGTATTCAAGCTTTATTTAGCTCTTTCAATAGCTGTTATTAAGACTTTACTTTTATTTACAATAGGAGCAAGAAGAGTTAACAGACTTTATCGAAACTATGAACACATCCCTTCAAATCGAGGCTCGGATACGTGATGCCTCTCATTCCTTGATCCAACTTCATGAGAGTAATATGGATATTGATGCTCTCAAATCGGCCACAGGCCGACTTCATGCGACGACTTGTAGGATGGATCAGATTGCTTCCAAGATTCATGAGGCTATGCTGCGTTTGACGACTATTCAAAGGCTACTGCTCCAACACGAGGGGGCCATCCTAAATGCAGGGTTGAGACAACTCGAAAATGAGAATCGCGAGCTCTTGAGAGCTGTTCAAAAGCTAGATTCTGAAAAAGCTCAAGAAAAAGAGGAGAAGCTTACATGGAAAAAAGAGCATAACCATCTCAAGTTCCAGAGCATCGTGTTCTCGAGCACGCCAGTTCTCGAAGAATTTGCATTAAATGTCTCTCAGAATCTTGATCTACAGCGGTTGCAGTTGCAGCATCAGGAAATGATCGAGTTCACGGAAAAGTACGTCAAGGAGCTCAATGATGACAATTTGCATAAGGAAGAGAAATTGGTTGAGCTGACAAATCAGCTGCAGGCCGTGAAGGAATGGGCAGACGATTTTGCATCTTCATTTCAAAACCGCCATCCAGTTTCCGAGAAGCCTGATCAGTCACCAGCTCTTCAAGCTCAGCTTCGTCAGCTACGTATTTTTGTAGAGTCCAAATTTAATGAGATAGACCTACATGCATCTGTGCTCGAATCCAAAATCGAGCTACTCGCTGAAGAAAACACTACTCTGACATGTAACCTCAAGGTCCTCTCGGCTGCTCATGAAATGTCTTATCGCGATTCACAGCAGGATCAATTGAGACGAAATAAGCAAGCAATGGCTTCCAGAGCGTACCATGCCTCGCATGCAAGGCCACGACCAACTACAGATTCCGATCTCCACATGGTCTTGCAAGACAGCCTTTTAGAGCTAGAGCGTCAAATCCAACTTGATGAAAGCTTTGCATTGTTGTCAAGCCGACCTTCCTCTAGATCTAATAGCACAGCGTCATCAGACTGTATGGATGATATTGACACATCCTTAAGCAGAAGTTCGTCGGCTGGACAGAGCTGTGGACGGTCTAGTCACAATTACATTGGCCATGGTTCAAGCTCCAGCAATAAGGTGCGCACTCAAGTTCGTCTTGTTGATGTCTGTGATGAAACAGAGGAATCCGAGTGCTCCAGTTCGGATGATGTGGTAGTTGAGGATGCGCATAAGGAAATCCAACGACTAAGTACAATGATCAAGGAGTTGGAACATATTGTGCAGATGCGCCGTGATGTCAGAGTACTTTTGAATAATGAATAAAGCTCACAAAAAAAAAAAAAAAAAAAAAAAAAACAGCCTGCATGCTTGTCTAAGAGTGGTGGCAAATGGCAAGCCACTTTTGCGTTGCACTTAAAAAGGTTGTTCCATGACCATTGCTTCCTTAATTCGAAAAAGGAACGAGATAATCAAACATCAAGAACATCGATGGAGCCGCCACCTCCGCCCACACCTAAATCTTTCCGTGCTCCGCAGGGCCCGGTACGCTCAAAAACTAGCACTGCAGCTGAAGCATTGACAGTGACTGATTCAAAAGACTTGACCTCAGCTGGCTCATCCTTTTTGGATGAGCCATTGACAACAACAAACACTTCTGAGTTCTCTGTGATGGGGGAGTTGCAAGATGGTGTTGATGGTGTTGATGGCGTTGTTATCTATAAGCGGCCTAACTTTTCAGCCTCACAGATCGAGCCTACACAACCAACACAAATAGCCGATATGGGTCTGGATGACTTGGGTGAGGACGAGAGCAGGAGAGTGGTTGTAAGTTTGGAAAGCCATGGGGCGACCATGGGTGTTGATCTGACTCTTGAAAAGGATGTTTATATATTTGGAACATCATCATGGGACTGTGATCATATTATTGCTCATAAACATTGGAAAAAGGAACATGGCCCTGTTGATGGCGAACCTGGGCCACAGAAACCCTGCCAATGGTTCAAGATTTACTTGGTAAGAGATGTTATTTCTACATTTTAGATTTAGATGATATGTAATGAAGTTAACGCGGCTCTCCCGTAACTGGAATAATGATGATAACAATAATAGGAACCAAGTAAAAGTTCAGTAGGAGCAATTAAAGTATACATTGAGGATGTCAGGTAGAGCCTGGGGGCAACAATGCTATTATTTGAAAATTTATTATCCAGGCCTCGAAGGATTTTTATTTTTTATCAGTAAACTTACATCTCACTAAAAACCATATGTCTTTCTTTCTTTGAATTTAGTCCATTGGGTATTTCTGTACAAGGAAGGAAGCTAGAGAAGAACAAGCGCAGGCTGCTGCAATGGAACGATAAGATTGAGGCAAGATACAATGGCGACGAGTTGTTTCACTATATTTACAAGGATTCCAACAATAATCAGCACGATGAATTGATCCAAGGAGAAAAAGGAGAATATATACTTGATAATACAGCTTTTGGAGAAGGAGCGCGCTCTTTGGTCCGTAAAGCTCAAGATATTAAGGATAACAAATTGTATGCGTGTAAGATCATTGATGCTATTGCCCTTAAACTCTCTCCGAAGGATCGAGAGAGCATTGCGTTTGAGATTGAGATGCTCAAGAAAATTGACCACGTACGCTTTTAAATCAATGCGAATTGTGTTGTTGTCATTTTCTATTTGAGTTTATGTTTAGTCTATGTTATGTATGCTAAGAGCCAAATGGTATTTTGCATTTAGAAAAACATTGTACGGTTCCATGATGTTACTCAGAAGCAATACAAGACTTATATTTTCACAGAGCTCATTGACGGTGAAACGCTGCATGACTACTATCGTTCCACCCCTTATATCTCGGAACTGGAGGCGCGAAAAATTTTCGCCCAAGTGTGTGAAGCTGTGAGGTATCTACACGGAGAAAATATTGTTCATCGGGACATCAAGTCAGAGGTATGCAGATTTTGCTGCAGTAGAGATTCTGCTATTTGGCTTTTATTTAATATGTTCTTTAACCATTATTGCTGGTTTCCTTATCAAGAATATAATGATTTCGACCACGCCTGAAAAGCACATAACGCTTATCGACTTTGGTAGGTTTGCAGTCTACAATTGCAATTTGAGTGGATATATTTCATCCGCATGTTGAAACTTGGGATTAATCATGTACATATATATGCTTTCCACACAAATTATAATTTGTACGTTAGGTCTTGCTCGCTCTTATACTCAGTCCATGTTGCGGACATTATGCGGGACACCAGCTTACATGGCTCCTGAGACTGCATTTGGAAACGGTGTGAATGGATATGGGCCAGCTGTTGGTATGACTTTTTACGTCCTGCTTTAGAAAATGGATGATATTCTACTTTTATGCTTTGATTGACATCTTATTCCGCATGCTTTTTAGATATTTGGGCTTTGGGTGTCCTGCTTTTCCGGATGTAAGTAGAGAGCAATGCTGAAAACAAATACGTTATACGCCGCTGAATATAACTACAATTAACATATTACTTTTCATGCTTTTTTTTTTTTATTAATATTATTACCATTATTAAAAAAGGGTATTCGGGCGATATCCATTTGAAAAGTCAGATTGCAGTGACGACTCTGGACAGAGTTCACAAACTCCAAAAGACCTATCTGAAGGCAATGTTACAACCGGCGCTCACGGCCAACAAGGGCCATCGCACACGCGCCCTCTGACAAACATGGTCGGAGTGGAAAGTAAAGATACCCAGGTCAAATACAAAGACACAGAGCATGTGAATTATTCCAACGACTGGCATCGTTATATTAACACTTCAAACTCTGATAGACGAAGCACTGAAGGTCTGCTTCATATTATCATAGCACGCATGCCTCTGTTAATCAATCCTGTCATAACACTTATCCTATTTACTATCCTTTTTCTTAATACTCAAACTTTAGTAATCCGTCTTCTTGAACGAATGTTGGTCGTGGATCCAACTAGACGTATTCCAATCAGAACCGTACTTGAAGATGATTGGATGCGCATGATAGATAAGGAGCTCCAAAAGTTTGATGTAAGGCGCATCTGATCCATGGCTTGAAAATTTTGAAATGATTTTCTTAGGAAAAAAAAAAAAAAAAAAAAAAAAGAAAAACTCATATTCTACATTTGTTTCCTTGTTCACAGGATGCTTCAAAACACCAATCAATTTTACTACCACCTGGCTTGTCAGGTGCATCTAGTTCTACTTCATCGTTGCAACGGCGAGGAGCCGCCCCATGGGGCGAATTGACCATTGTTCCGGGTAGCATTCTTGATGCGCCTCGACGAATCGAACTTACTAAGGACAGACTTCTCATTGGTCGTGCCCCTCATTGTAAGTGAAACTAATAGATCTCTTTGCTGTTGTTTGTTTTTATGCCGTATATGAAATAGAGGAATGTGAGTCTTAAAATGCTGACGGCACTTTAATGATAATGTTAGTGGACATTTCACTCGGAAGCAACCAATATCTGAGTTCTCTCCAATGCCATATTCATAAATCAGATGGAGGCGTCATGATCTCAGACTTAAGGTATATTTTGGAGTCATTAGGGGCTCTTCGGCTCCTACTATTAAGTTTTATGTGATATTAATGCTTATCTCTGCTAATCTGCATTCAATAACTCGTGCTTTTGTCTCCTAAATATAGTCATAATGGAACATACATCAATAATTTGAAAATGGAGCCAAATATGGCAACTCAAATATTTACTGGTGATGAACTTGGTTTTCTCGTCCCTCCGGATGACCCAGCAACGTTAGCAAGATCGGATGGTATGTTAGTACATCATTGTGGTTTGAAATGTGCGTTCATAGTAATTTGATTCTGAGAGGATTTTATTAAAATATGTAAAATACTTTCTCCTTTCAGCGTGGTACAAACGTTCACTCAAGTACAAGTTTACAAACTATACCATGAAAGCCCCACCACCGGAGATCTTGATGACACGACGATTTACCGAAGTCGAGTTCATTTCATTGCCCAAGATCCCTGTCAAGTCGCTGTCAACATTGGAGCGCCGCAAATATGCACCTGAAACCAGCGTTAGATGGGGATCCCTAGTCCCTCTTAATGACCATACCACGAGATATGAATTGACAAGCGACGTAACAAGGATTGGACGTGATCAACGTGAGTTTTACTGCTATTTTGTCATAACCTGATTCAAGTTAGATAAATCAAGAAATAGTCCTCATCATCAACGTAAACCTGTTTCTTTAATATAGAATGCGAGCTGGTTGTCAACAACGTGGCAGTTGGTAGAGAACGTAAGTCAGTGCTTACGCTTTTTTTTAACATGTTAAAGCCCAACGTCTTAGTGTACTGATTATTTCCTTTCGTACATATAGACTGTAGGATCGAATATAGCGAAGACGAGAACACGGCATATCTTATAAACGTTTGCGCGAATGGTACAATTGTCAATAACCGTCCAATTTCTGGCCGATTTCAACTGCGAGATGGAGATACTATCGAGATTACGAAAATACCTTCAAATAACAATCCTGACGCAGGTAATAATCATCCTTAAAAAAAAAAAAAAAAAAAAAAAAAAAAAAATTAATAGTTCATTTCAATTTCTAAAACTTTTTTTTTTTTTTTTTTTTTTTTTTTCGCTGATGGATAATGAAAGATAATCGGGTGGGATACAAGTTTCTTCTTCGAGAATTTGCAGATGGCCGTTTAATGAAGCGTTTGAAATTGTAACTACGAACAGAGAAAACATAAATTGGTTATTTGGACAATATATCTACGCGAACCTTAAAAGTTTAAACAATTACGACTATTATTAAGCAATGAATTAAAGGAAGCTAAGAACAAGGGGAAAAGGAAAACCGTTACAGATTAAGTCAAAAGGAATGATTCTTTTTAAATTTAAAAATAAGTAAATATTAAAAAATGAGTTGGTTACAATATTAAATAACTGAGGGCATCCCAAAGCTAGGTCGTTGGTGATTGCATTGTTGACTTTGGTGTCTTCGACCGCGACCGCTCGTTGAGAGGTCCCCACTATGACTGATACTTTTCGAAGTAGGCTGGCCAATGGTGAAGGCATTAGAATTTACGAACGAAGCGGCTATTGTGTCGGCGGCGATGCTGCTATTGCTGTTGCTGTTGCTGTTGTTGCTAGCGCTGCAGTTTATATCGCTTGCATAGTAGCTGTGGATGGTGTCCCTGTTGTTGCCCTTGGTTTCTTGGTGCATTAATGTGGATGATGAAGAGAGAGGAATTTGAATATGTTGACTCAAGGAGAGTTCCAAATGCTGTGGGCCAAAAACATATGGCGAATACTGGCCGGCACCAATTCCGCTACTGGCTGTGGACAACGCAGTAGAGCCCTCAACTTTACTTAACTTCTCAATGAGACTGTCTCGAATCTTGAACAGACCACTGGATTTCATGGCAGCACGGATTGCGGAGTTGTTGTAGCATGCTAGATTATTAATACAATTAGCAAAGTGGTCGTACAGCCCCAATGGTGGCCAATTGATCCCACTTCCATTCAACTCGTGGCTTGGAGTCGAAGCCAGACTTATTGGGTCCAAATGTCCTGGAGGAGTGGGTATATTGGAAGATCGCGGCTGCAGTGAACGATGGCGGCGCCCATATTGATGGTGATATCCATGCTGTTGGGATTGATGGACAATATGCGATGACTGATGATTCGGCAAATGCGATCTCGAAGCGATGGAGATCTCACTAGGGTCTGACATGAACTGCTGGCCCATGCTTGATTGAGCGGCATTTGCTGAAAGAGTGGAGAGCGGCAGTGAGAAGGTCGAAGATGTAGAGCTAGTTGGAGAAATTGAGCCAGACAATGAGAGGCCTTGTCTATTTCCAGGGGTCTTAACCGTGTCACTACTTGAGGAGGCTGAAAGATCCTCGCTACACTCGACTGCGAGCTCCTCCGCATCCGTATCGCCTTTATCTGCTTTCAAAAGTATCGATTTTGAATCGGATTCGTCACTCTGACTAGAATCATCCAAACTATCCAAGACTCCATTCAATGCTGAAGTCACGGCCTCCAGGGCGAAACGCTCCCGCTCTTTCTCAAGAGCATTCTGTCGGGCCTTCTCTGCCTGGTGTTCTTTCTCCACCTGGCGCTGTTTCTCTTCGAATTTCATAGAGAGCTCTTCAAGTCTCCGAAAAAGGAATACCAACCCTTTACAAATTATGTTTGCAGCCTCCGTATCTAGATTTGGATTCTTGTCAAACCAGGCAAGCGCAGCCTCTGTCAAGCGAAGTTGAACAGCAACATCTTCGTCACGACTGACAAGTGTTCCTTTGTTCCGTACCGTCACCGAACCCTTCCGTGAGAGGTCAAATATCATCATTTTTTGCATCATTCCATCGAGCACGCCCATCGTTCGGTTAAAGCTAAGGTTCTCAGCTGCTGAAGTCACACGCACTTTGGCCTTATCATGCATAAAAGCGCCTACCCAACTCACCCACCCGGCTTCCCAAAGTATTCTCATGTTTTCTAAAGTCATAAGTCTCTTCAGATCTGTTAGAGTGTGGGTCACCATGTCTGTGTGAGGCAATGAACCCGTAAGCTCCAAGATTAACCGGATCATACTGGCATAGGTGAGTTCATCCGTGATTTTTGCGCCTCCTCTGCCAAGTTGAGAGATGCTCATAACTTCAGAAGAGTTTGTGTTGACAGCGCTACTGATAATGAGAGGCTCTGTTGGTAGAGCACTCATCTTAACAAATGGAGCATTTGCATTGTTTGAATAGACATGTTTCCTTGGGACAAGAGACCCGTGAAGAGTAACTTCATGACTCTCTGATCTTGCCAAAGCAGGATCTTCAAAGGATTGCTGTGAGGACCCTTGAGTGTTAAGGTCCTGAATACCATTCATCAGATTATTGCTATTTAGCTCAGGCGTTATGGTGAGATGAGCCGATTCTTTGATAGGGGATGATGTAACCGAAGGAACCACAGTTGAGGAATGTCGATAAATTGAGGCTTTCTCCTCAGACTTTTTGGATGATGGGACAATGCTCTTCTCTGTGGATCTAAAGTTAGGATCGCATCGATAGCTATTCTGAGCAAGCCCAAGCAAAACTTGGATCACGTCCATAGAGAGTGGGTATTTTTCTAAAGTGGAGCGTATGAGACCAATACCAATATTCGGCTTGTCCAGTGCGGCTTTACCTGATTTTGTATTGTCGCTCAGTAAGATGCCAATCATCTTCAGGATCAGTATCCTAAAATGTTCATTGGATGAGTCTAGTAGACCAATCAATACTGTAACCCCCTCTAATCCGGATCCAAGCAAATCCACCAATCCATGATCAGTTGTCATTCGCTTATATAACATTTCAATTATGTCTCGGCGAACTTCAAACAGATCAGGCTCCTCGTGACCGATAAAGCCAATCAACAAGCCTAGTTCCTGAACAGTCATGCCATCCATCATCGATTCGAGTGTCCACATCAAAAATGGCCGTAAATGAGCAGGTAAAGTCCTGAAAAGCTCGAAGAGCGTTGTCATTCCGAATGACGACTTCCAGAGCCGCATATTTTCAGACGACTCCACAATTAAATCCACCAGTGTGCGAAGAATGTAGCTTTGGACTGAATCCATTGTGCTTGGTAGTAGGCGCAAGATCAGCTGAACACAAGCCATGTTCGACAGGATAAGATGCTCGTCTTTGATCATCCCGTTTATCGCAATATCAAAGAGCACTCCAAAATGGTCAATAGATAACTCGGACGCTGTGTTGAGAAGTAGTTCATACATGATCTCGTATCCATTCAACTCGTTCTGGAACTGTGCAATGTTCTCTGGTGACTTGTACAGAAGATTAGAGATCACTCGAAGCCCGACAAGTTGTAGATGCGATGGAGTCATCTCCAAGAAGCGGAAGCAAAGTTGAATGCCCCCTATTTGTCCGATAAGCCCACGCATAGAGCGTGTCATATGAATTGTACAACCGCCGTGAAGGACTCCATGGGTCAGACCTTTCTTACAGTCTACTATGTTTGGTTGATCCTTGAACTTCGTACTGCTCAACTCTTCAGCAATGAACTTTTCCATATCACGCTTGAAATCTTCGGGATCGAGGATTGCAATGACAGGACTTTTGATATCGAGTGCTCTCCAAGATTCAGTGGAAGCAGGCCCGAGGTTATATACTTTTTCGGCTGTTGCTTGATCCCACTCCCCTTGTAAGAAATGAACCCTCCCAGCTTGGCCACAGAAATGGCCCAAAGATAGCTCGTGTACTCCTTGCGAATGTGATGACTGCTGATTCGATGATGATACAGAGAGAGTTGAAGCTGAGAATTGCTGGTGAACATCTTGAGGAGCAAGTGAAAGCGAAGAATTAATTGAGCCAACTCCATCATTGAACGCTAGGGAACTATGCGGCAGACTCGACATACTGTTGCGTCCCTTTCTGCCAAGTACTCCAACCATCCCACCTTCTTTTTCTTGCCGACGCTGGTTGAACGTCCCATAAGACTGGATAACACAGCCATCAACCATCAGCTTCATTGTTTTATGATGTACAAACACAATGTGGTGCCATATACCAGTCTCTGCAAAATCAAACCGATCAAAAACAAAATCTTCAGGAGGCGAAGGGTAGTGTTGAGTCCGAACACAGAGACAGTATCGATTTGACTGGTCCAAAGACTTGAAATATAGCTCAAAGATAGTCCTGTTCCCATCCTCTTCCTCGTAGCAAAACAATCCCGTCTCTTTTTCCAGAAATGCTGTCACTTTGATCCATACACTAACTGTATATCCTCCTTTAGCAGCGACGGCCCTTTCCACAACTCCTGGGTGCGTAGTCAAACTTGCGTTAAGTCCATTAAAGTTAAAATAACAAGGAGGATCAACACGTTCTGATATTTTCTCGATAGCATACATCATCTGCTGCTCCATTTCACCAATAAATAGAGGATTGAATTGGAGGCCATTGAAAGACCTTTGATTGGCGCTTAAGCACCTTACCCCTGCTCTCCTGGTAGAATACAGCGTGGCAGCGCTTGCAGACTCGGAGCGCGGTCGTCCTGCAGAGTTTCGTCTAATGCTTGGCTCTTTATCAAAGTTACTGGGTAATTCAGGAAGTGGGCCTAGCGAATCTTTGATCGTGCTTGCAAGCCCCGACGCGGTCGGCTTGGCTTCAGCAGTTAATCGGAAGAACATGTCTAAGGGATCATACACGGCATCAAATAAAAGCTTCACGTCTTCCGCTGATATATCATATGCGCCCATAGCCGGCACAAGGTCCACATAAGGTGGGTCAGTAGCACGCGGCAAAAATGGGAATCCAGAAGTGCCCATCCCAACTCCTTCCTGTTGTCGACCTCTTCTGAAAAGAATCTCCAGCATAAAGCGTAAGCCGTTGTTTTGACTCAAGAGCTCCTTGTTCCGCGGAGTAACCTCCATCAACAACATTAACAAATTAAAATAATCTATTGCCAATTTCGGATTGTTGCATTCAATGATACGGCCGAGGAGGCGTAGTGTCATTCTCGCAGCATCTGCATCACGGAACACTATGCCAGCAAGCTGCTTGAAGGCCATTCTTTCTGAGGGAATGACGGAGCGCAGACCAAGGTTAGTAGTGTTTAGGCCGAAGCCTCCAAGGTTACGGGAATTACTGCGTTTCCTATTAACGGGGCCTGTTTTATCCTTCGTTGGCTGTATCGTTCGACTTGATGTAATTGATACTATTGGCTCTGTCGTATTATCATCAGCCAAATGACCATCCGAAATTAGTGGTAGAGGAGTAGAGCGTCCACTTCGCTGAAGGTGCATGCTACTACCTCTTGATGAACCTGTACCAGCAGGTTCACTATTAGGTTCCGTGGCTTCAAGAGTGGGATACAAGTTTACATTGTACTCTTGGGCTGCAGACACAGAGATGGATGGCGTACCAGAATTTGACCAAGGCGAAATGCCAAAGATACTGTATCTGTTATTATTGTTGCTGGACGGCGCGCTAGCGTTTCCTGAAGTGGCGAAACCAGGTAATGTTCCACTATTAGATTGATTTTGAGGATATTGACAAGTGAACCCGACATTCGAGACATCTAGGCTCTCGTCCAAATAGACACTGCTCGGACGAGATGGTGTGCCTCGGCCATTCGTTTGATATGCAGCGATTCCGACATGTAGATCAGTCCTAGAACTTGATGACGGCCTCTCTGGTTCTCGAAATGGGTTGCGCTCTCCGATCTTTCTGGGACTTGTAAATGGCAGTGCTGAGTGAAACAGAAGATGAGGATCTAAAAGACTGGCAATGAATGGCCATACTTCAGTGCAGTATATCGAGCTGTCAGATTCAACGTGTGGCCGAGATTTGGTTGACATGACGTTTCCAACTGTTGCGACCTCTAAAACAATTTCGCATGACATCCTATAGTCCAGATATACTTGTCAATAATTATTGTCACATTAGGACGTATGATACAAAAATCCTTCAGTGGATTAGGACGCTTACTTGTCAAGGGGTCTACATGAGTCTAGGACAATTTCGAGGAAACCATCATAAGCAAAACTATCACCAAGAAGAGCTCTAGTGCCTTCATATCCTGCAAAAAAGTCGCCAATGGCTATGAGGGCCGCTGTTGCAATGTCAGGATGTTGTGTATTCTAAAGTATAGAAAAGATAGGATTTATTAATATTAATCATTTACCTGATATCCTAAGTCTTCCCCCTTCTCTTCCCAAAAAAAAAAAAAAAAATAAAAATAAAAATAAAAATGCTTACACTCAGAATACTTAGCAGAACCTGCATGCCATAAGCTTCCCCAAAAGCAATTTTCGAACTACTGCTTTTCCGAAAAATAAGGGATACCGTCCCGCAAATCTTAGCATAAAGATATATCAATAATGCATGTGCCTGATCTTGTTGCTGTTCAGGTTGAACATGCAGGTAGTTTTGGTTGCATTTGCTTTGCCTATTAGCCATCTCATTCTGCCGTCTAAGTTCCTCGATCCCTGATAAGGTTGCCTTAAGCATAACAATGATCCATGAAATTACTGAGCCATTATCTGCATCTTGAAGAGCTAAATCTCTAAACAACCAGAGAGCAAGATCCGATGCGACAATATCTGAGCGATAACAATCCTGACAAAGTGATGACTCAATTAACGCGCCAGCATATGATGCAGGATTCTCTGGCATCCGGTTTGCATGGCGACACGAACGCTTATCCAAAAGAATTGTGTAGGCCAACGTCTCAAATCCCTGCAAAGCCTCAAAAACCTCAACACCACTGTCTATGCATTTAAGGACCAATCCGAGTACGTGCAATACCAAGAGCCGTTGCTCAGTGTGGACGCAGTCTCTAAGTTCCTGCTCTTGTTCATCTTGCTCACTAATGAGCACTTCGCGCCTCGTGTGCTGATTTTCGAGCATTCTCCGTACAATTTGCAGATAGATACTAGCAAACTTTTCTTCTAATGAGATTCTTCTTGTATTCATATCTGATACAATCCGTCCAACACTTCGCAGCACAATGTTGATTAAAACTGAAGAATCATCTGGGAAATCAGTATCCATGAGTAACCTGGAAAGCTCCTATAACACCCAGTGATGCAGATCATGTAAGGTCACTAAGAGAAATAGATCATAGTGACATGAGTTATAAAGAAATGAAGAGTAAAGTCTAAACATATTAAACTTACATATAATACATAGACGTTATCGTGAATAAGCATCACGGACATGTACTCCAGCAACCTTGTCAAACCAACCACATATTGATATACTGGAGAACCATCCTCAATCATCTCTGCAAGAACTGCTGTGTCCTCTGATATAACAAAATTGTCAAAATAAGTAACCCCTCCAAAATGAACATTCCGAATGTTAATTGAGTGAGGATCCAACCCCATACGGCGGCCTAGCTCCCATTGCGCCTCGCGTAATGTGCCTTGAGTTGGTCTAAAGCGCAAATATTCGCGCAGCTGCCCAATCACCATATCAATTTCGCCGCATCGCCAAGCTGCAACAGCATTTAGAGGATTTAAAGAGATCAAATCCCGAATTGCATACAATGCGTGTTGGCGGACATCGAGCTCTTTTGATTCCAACAGGAGACGGAACAGAAAATGATAAGCATCCATGTTCAACACCATGTCTCTTGTGGACCCATCCAAGGCAAGATCGAAAAAGACCGCCAGTAAAGATCCCAAAAGAAGAGATCGTTTGTTTGCCGTAGCAATCATAGGTCGCTTATGGCTCCCATCATCAGTAAAATCCGTCTCTGCTGAAAACCCTTTATGAAGAAAATCATTAATGGGATGATTCATATGTGCCGGCTCCATTGCTGCTAGATTGGAGTCCTGCTCTCCCAGCTTCGAATTACCAGTTGGTACTATGATCTCATCAAGAACATCTAGCAAAATACTGTATCCATCCATGGCTTGAAATTCGGCTTGGTTTAGGGAGTTCTGGAACAAAACTTTACAGACTGTTTCCACGATATCAATCTTTGTTGCCAATCGCGTTCCTGTTGATAACGCATGTTTCTGTACCGTTCTAGAGATATCACAATTATGTTGCGAAGCTGAATTATCTGTTAAAATGGCCATCAAGGACCGTAAGGCGCCCTGTGTACGCATAAACTCCTATTATTTACCCATTAGTGATGAACTGAAAAGTTAGTATGTTTTCGAGGAAAAGCCTCTATAAATTATGAAAGTTCTATAAAAATCAGCGCTTCCTTTGTCGAATTCTACCTTCAATACATTGTCTGGCTGACTCTTCCGCAATATCTCTTCCTCCTGCGCCAACTCGACAGCAGCGCCACGTGCAGCCCGGAGAGCCTCTGAAGATGTCCTATCCTCTGAATTTCTACGCCCCTCTAAAGTTGACTTTGTCGAAGTACGGAAATCGGGTGTTGAAACCATTTTTTTCAAAGACCTTCCCCTTTGTAATGTGCTTGAGTCTGCAGATATACTGCTCTGAGATTTATCTGGGGGGAGTGCACAATCCTTTTGTCCGTGCGTTTCTGAAGGCTCAGGAAGCTCATTTGATTCTGATGGTGGTGGATGGTTATGAGTTGTACCTTTCCCGATTGTAGACACATTCTGGCCGATTAGTTGAGAGTAATACGCGATAGTAAATTGAATTTGCTCCGCATTGGGTATATAATCCTTCTCGGCACTTGAGAATACTGTGTCATCATGGCCCATACCGAGAATACCAAGGCCATCTTGATCTTTTAGCTGCGGAAAAATCTTTCCAAGCTCCTGCACAAACATTCCTCTGACTTCGCTAATTGCTTGAGAAACTCGATCAATGCTAGTCATATTTCTAAGGGACAGCGTGCTGCTTTGCCGGCGTATTGGATCAAAAGGCGACGTAGCTCTAGATATAGGTCCATTCATGACTAGTGATTTAGGCCTGGGGGGCAATGCTTGTTGAGATTGAGGCCGGGTCAATTGAATAGACGATCGTGACAAGAGAGAGCGTGGGCTGAATCCTATGACAGCCCCTGGCTTAGATTGAATCTGTGTTGATAAGGTTGGAGCGGGTGTAGATGATTTTAGCCCTGGGATTATCAATGCCAAGTCAGCAATCTCAGTGCGGCCACTGCTAAATTCCAATAGATAATTCACAGTTCTGACAACTTCTTGTGTAAGTTCTGGATCTCCGGTTATCAAAAGTCGTAAAATTTTTTTATATCCTTCCAATTTTGCTAAATGAAAATAATAACCATGACAAAGAGAAAATTAGTATAAGATTGGCTCACATCAACCAAACTCAAGGTCGAGCTCTCGAAGTTAATACAATGCCACTCTACTTACCAATCTCTATCTTATTGCGATCACTCTCTCCAATCGTCGAAATGATGCGAAGCAACAAGACTTTAGTCTCAGATGACCCTGGCTTCTCAAGTAACGACAGCAGTCTAAGGATAAAATCGGGTGTTTCTGTAACATTTCTCTGGTACTTGTCCTCCTAAACCAATTTTTTTCTTTTTTTTTTTAGCAGATAAAATTCAATGTGCATAAAACTTTTAACGTTTCGAACATGTAGTCCAATCTTTACCTTTAATATGAGATTGATCAAGACAAGGGCCTTATTGATGGGCTCTTGCATACATTTTGCTCGCTCAGTTTTCTTTAACGACATTTCTCTAACATAATTTATCCAGGCCAAAACTCGATCAGTTATCCTTGGAGCAACGATGTTTATATGTGAAGTGCATCGATTATATAATGGCACTAGCGATTTAAAAGTTCCTTTACCTTTCTATAGTACCAAACAAAGTAGCCATAATTTCTGAGCAGTCGCCATAGAGCTTCTCTATCGAGAATTCTGCCTGTCCCTGCTCCGCTTGGATCATCTCATGGTAAGCTTCATCAAATGTATTCAAAAAGGTGTTGAGTTTCTGGGAGATTGTTGAGACATCGCTATGTAGATTGAAATTAATTAAAATATGGCCAATATGGCGATTAGATCCCAGACTATGATTGTGCATGCGTGAATTGTAGAATGTATATCAATGCTTCATCCTTTTAGGCACTAGGCTGGCTGAAATATTTTCTTCAGAAAATCATCGAGCATACGGTGCATTATTGATGATAAAATCTCTGCTCAGCAGCCAAGAAGCGTATCGCGAAGTTTGTCATGCTCTGCGTTTATTACTTCTGGCTCTCATATGACAAAAGAGCAAGGCTGTACCCTGTGCTGACTAGTGTAAGATCGATTGGACTACAACCAACGCAAAGTTTAATCCTGTCGCTCCTACACAGTCTCAAGAAAAGATGACTATCCTTCATACTTGATGGCGGAACCCTCAAGCTCACATTCTCAGTCGAGTTTTAATAAAGATTAACAACCTGCCTTTTATCAACGACCCCAATGTATTCCTGCCAGACCTTCTGAATCCTTCGATAGGTTTTGTGGGAAGCCCATCTCTGGCGGACACTCTTCATCTTTGAAAACCCTGCAGCATACGCTGGTTGTGAGGCTGGACTGAAGGCGGTGGAATGTACTGTAGGAGTGTTCTTAGTCCCTGTTTTTTTTTTTTTTTTTTTTTTTTGTTTCTGAGAAGCTACCTATCGATGCCTAGGGTAAGCTAGAAAAATAAAATACCACACACTGTTTGTTAGAGACTTGATAATGCCAGTCGAGAAACATTCATGTCATATTGACTTGCTTTTGATTCATTCCATCTAAATAACTGAATGGAGAGCTCTTTCTGGTGAAAAACGAGTAAAAGGTGGGATCAGTGGACATGCTTGCACAGATGCGATCAACTGTCCAGAATTATTGTTGACACGATGAGTAGATTTCAGCACCACCAACTGCTGTTCAAATCACCATTGACAAAACAGTATCTTTCTTCTCTTTTGGATGACATATCGAGGTTGAGGAGTTGAGAAGAAATGCACAAACAAAAAGTAGAACGCACATTTGAATGCAGACGAATCCGAGAATGTGCCCGTCGTAAGACAGACAGGATAAATAGACACAAAAAGAAGAGGAAGAAGAGGAGAGGAAGAGGGAAAGGAAGTAGAAAAGGAAGAGAAAGAGGGAGAAAGGGAGGGAGGGTGAGAAAGAGAGAAAAGAGAGAGAAAGAGAGAGAATGAACTGGACTGGACTGGAATTGAGTTGAAAACTTATTCACAAGATGAAGAAACTCTTCCATGTCACGAGTGAACAGAAATGTAACGCAGGTCTTTTGGTTGTAACCCCACATGGCGTTTGTTTTCGAAAAGTAAGAGGCCAATCATATCAGGAAATGCTCATAAAGACAGGTTTATTCATAAACAGTACACTATAATTGCACTTCATTGCCGCCGCCCATCATCTCGCCTTAACTTTCGCCTATTCACATCAAATATCACCACTAACTATTCACTGAAGAAACACGCTCAATAAATGCTGACAAATGCGCGTTCTCCGGTGCCTTTTGTGACATAATCCTTCCGCTGTAAAGAGCATCTGCTATAATATCCGTCGTGAGTTCAGACAACCTAAATATTTAAAAGGTAGACATCAATTTTTGAACGAATAAAATAAAGTAACTTCTCAGACAAGTTAGAAAGTTAGATATTAGGCTGTACCATGTCTGCAGCTCCGCAGGAAGAAATGGTTCCTCTGACAAATTGCAAACATCCTTGATATTCGTAAAATGCTCCTCAACACGTCCTCTGTATTTAGAATATGATGGGCCTGCTTGGTTAATACATTGCTGTAAAAAAAAAAAAAAAAAAAAAAAAGACAGCCATGTTAATTCTCCGACAGAGATCAAAAAGAGCACGATGGCCATCACAGCTTAAGTCTTACATAAAGTAGTGCGACCTGATGTGCAATGAATTTATGATTTGTTAACCTCAAGTCATTTTGGAGTTGCAGTGCCATAGACACCAATTGATTGATACCCGACATCTGACGGAGATGGGCTAATAGAGAGATAAAAATAAACGATTATGAACTGGACGATACTTCTTTACAGCACTATACTCAATCAAACAAAAATAAAGCAAGCTCCAGGGCCTCACCTTCAATGAAACTCCCGCCCGCGATAACAGGATCAATACCGAGGAATTCGGATGACTTGGGGAACATCTCTGCCAAGCCTGTCTGAATCATGTATTTCTAAATCAGAACAGCCTCATCAACGGATCAGTCCATCGGAATTTTTAATCCACCTGCGCACAGGCCATGCAGAGCGAAGGCACACCGATCTTTGTTTTTCGGGCGCGTACCTGGAGAAGCTTGCGTCCGTCAGTGTGTTCAATATTGGAAGAGCCATTATCCAACTCAAAGTTGTGCAAGGTTTGCTCAAGATGACAAATGGACCTTGTCAATTCTGCAATCAAGTCATCTTGCTAAGACGTATCGTTTTTTAATGAAATTGAAGGAAATGTCGGTTGGAGGATGATCAAAATGAATGACTGATACATGGCATGACGAACGGTGAGACCATTCACAATCACCTAACCTTTCCAACGGCCTCTATTCTCGTAACAAACATCTCGATGCGGCTCAATTCGTTTAACATGTGTAGACCAAGACGCTTATGCTTGTTGGCTGAATTTGGATGGATGGGATTATTAATGTGGATAGGGACTAAATCATATTATAGGATGAAATCAGAAGGGAGGGAAGGGCACATGAACATGGTTTGAGCAAGCTGTCTTTTCCTTTCTATAAGGAATATCATTTGGAAGGTATAAGAACATCAGGAACCTTCATGAATCTCTGTGAGTGGCGTGATGTTGATTAACGGCGGCGTTTCCAGTAACTTTGTCATCGTAATGAATGAGCTACCAGAATGGTTGAAAACAAATTACAGTCTAAAGACCCTGTTTGTGTCGATGTGTGTGTGGTATATGAATGTGCAAATTCTTGAGTGCGAGATTGTTAGGCTAGATTTGTATGAAGGAAGAAAAGATGGATGGATGGAAGGAAGGAAATAAGAGGCTCATGCATGGCTTGCTTCGCCCGTTCAAACTGATGAGTGGCTAACGCATTACCATGATCAATCAGGCGACCTGGCCAAAAAAAAAAAACTTTGACTCTGACTCCATTTATTCTTTCTAAGTAATTCCGAGAACATCCTTGTCTCTGTACCCATAACATAAATCTGCAGATTGTGCCCAATGGTCATTTATTGGGCCTTATGGCACATCTGACAGGTTGAGCTTACAGGAGGGCTCCTCTGTCATACTGGATCCTGTCCTACAGGGTTGTCTGATTCCAAATCTGTAAAGAAAGAGGCGGACACCACAAATCATAGTAGTAGACTCCTGCAATTAGCTCTTTTGACGGACGAGTAGCATTGCTCTATATCCAATCCTCATCTTCAAGGTCTATAGTAAGAGTGAATGAAATGTCAATAGTACGTCACTTACCAGGTTGTGTGTCGAGGACTATATGCACATCAATCGAGGTTTGAGATCACCTTACAGAGCGCCTTGCCAGCCAGTACAAATGAAATGCGCATTCTCCATCCTTACAGCAGGATACAATATGGATAATAGTCTGGCCACCTCTTTAATAATATTAATAAAAAAATAAAAAAAAAAAAAAAAAAATATCAATGCCGATGTACTGATAATGATGGGTCTCACGCGACCAAAGGGGAATCATGAACACTCAAGGCGTCGATCTTTTCTATTCAAGGGCATTTGATGCCTTTGTTATTGGTACGCCTTACAATTAACGCGCATGCCATTCATAACGATTATCTAAATGTGTTCAAATGCTGGAACCTTTGATGCTAGCTCAACACTAGCATGATTAACTGAGGGTCCTCTTAAGCGTCTATGAATATCCCTCTCTTCAAGCCTAACTAGCTCAATCGTATCCACTCCTGTGGCTAACAGATCGAATTCAAACAGGGTGCTGGTACTAAAGTTACAGCTCAATCGTTTCATTACCAGAGACAGAAGGATTGATTGGTGCAGCAGAAATGCTCGTTATAGACATGGATAACACGGGAATAAACTAGAAGTAGATCAAGCACGAAATATCGCTTTTTTATTTGTAATGGGGAACTTCATATTGGAAAGCATGATCTTGTCAGCAGTGCTCCTATTCGAACTGAAATTTTGTCAATTATGATGTTTCAGATTAAAAAAATAAATATCAATTGACAAAATTTCAGTTCGAATAGGAGCACTGCTTGTCAGACAAGGGGGAGCTGCAAGTTCGCGCCGCGTGCTTAGGCCACAGAAGCAATGACGATATGGTCCCATCCACAAAAAGAGAAGGCATGTGTTGAACTCTTCCCACATCTCTCGTCACTTTTTCAACAATGGAAATGCAATTCGGACCCGCGAATGAAGCTGAAATGGTTGTTGACCTTAATGGTGAATGGCTTTTGTTTAATCCAGAGAAGTCAGTCCAAGTATCAGCCATAGTCCCAGGTATACATGGTACACGATCGCTATGAAGCAGTAGACTTCTTCTAGATTTCAATATCATGATTGACCTTATCATCTTCAAATAGGCCAAGCTCATTTGGATCTGATCCGCGCTAAAATCCTAAACGAAGACCCGTACTACGGCACAAACTATGTCAAGTATGACTATGCCGATTGCCTTCATGAATATTATCCTGAAATGACAATAACATCTTTCGGAATACCGGACATATAGAAACTCTGTACGAAAAATTATTGAAACTCGATGGATTTTCGAAAAGAAGTTTTTCCTTAAAAAGATCATCTCCTACGCGTTCGCACTCTTGGATTGTGAAGGCCTTGATACCATTGCCACGGTCATCTTGAACGGAAAGACAATAGGAGCCTCTGACAACCAGTTCCGACGTTTCATATTCGATGCGACGAGCGCTCTTCAGGCAGGGACAAATACCATCCAGATCCAGTTTGAGAATGCAGTTAAGCAGGCTAAGGATATGGCAGATAATTATCCTTATTATGTAAGCTAAGACTATATACACCTAGTGCTGATTAACGATATCGGCTGAGCTCTTAATGGCAATCGCTTCATACTTTAGGTTCCCGATATGTTCAACATGAGTGCTGCACAGCATGGTTTTCCGCATCGAAACTTCGTTCGAAAAGAGCAGGTAGGGTAGTTAGTGAGCAAATGTATCAGGGGCACTCTTTACTGTGTCTTAAAATAGATCACTTAGCCTGATAAAGATGCTGGCAATGATTAGTGTTCCTTTTCCTGGGACTGGGGACCAGCATTCGCTCCATGTGGTAAGGACAGTTGCTCGAGAAATATATTGCAGCTCATGTACAATATATATTCAATAAACGTTCGACAATTGGATGGGCCTTTTCATAGGCATCTGGCGCCCCATTTCATTGAAGCTGGATAAGGATGGAGTGCTTGTCAAGCGTTGGTATGTCAATACGCATTTTGACCACATCCAAGGTCTATGGGAAGTAAAGGTATTAAGTGTTATAGATTAATCTTGGCCTTGCTTGTGAAGGTAGCCTCCTAATACTTTATTAACTTGCAACTACCAAATATTGCACGATAGGTCTCTATCGAGATCATTTCTATCAATGAGCGAAAGCTAAGAATTGGTGTGCAGTTCGACGATATCAAAGTGTCATCCTCGGAAACTACTGTCTCTGTAAAGGCTAGGGAGTTTGTTGCGCAGCATTCTACCAGACTAGAGCAATCAATGGTCAAGCGATGGTGGCCCAGAGGCTATGGAGATCCCAAACTTTACAAAATGAAGGCATCACTAATAGATGAGGATGGGACAAGTATCGCCACATATAACAGTCGATGCGGATTCAGGACTTGTGAGCTGGTTCAGGAGCCAATTGTGAAAGGAAGAGCTGGAGATGCATTCAAATTCCGTATTAACGGCTGTGATATCTTTGCCAAGGGAGCGAATTGGATCCCCGGCCATGTCTTTGATCAATTGATGACTACGGATAAAAAGCGGTATTTTATGCTCGTCGCTTGGCCTTTTGTTTGTAGTATGGAAGTGCATGTGTGTCTAAAGCGTTCATATATACTTTCGCATAGCTCGCTGCTTGAAGGTTGTGTTGCTGCAAATATGAACATGATCCGGATATGGGGCGGCGGCCGATATGAGACAGATCGTAAGTGGGTTGGAGTCATGTCACGAAACAATTAATGTTTTTAATACCTAACCTTTTTTATTTATACAACGGATTAGAGTTTTATGAGCTGTGCGATGAATTAGGGATTATGGTGTGGCAGGAATTTATGTGAGTTTCGTATTCTTGCCATAATAAAAACAATTGGCCACTTCAATGGTCTAAACAAACAAGATAAATTTCACGTCATTCCATACTAAACAGGTTCGCATGCGCGCTCTATCCGACGGGCCAAAGCTTCCTTGATAATGTCAAGCATGAAACATCTGACCAGGTCAAAAGGCTAATGATTCATCCATCAATTATTCTGTGGTCGGGCAACAATGAAAACCAAGAATTCTTAGTGAAAGGGTTAATACATTAAGCGTGGTTCACTTATAGATGATGCTAAAGGAATTCTATAAAGCTACTGAATATAAAGCACTTTCTTTATATTATAGATGGGATGAAGTTACCCTGCGTAACCCCTACATATTTACGGTAAGGTCTATTCTGTGAAGCTTTATCTGATTGATATATAACATGACTCATACTATTTACTTGGTTTAAAAGGTCGATTATCACAAATTATATATCGAGACGATTATGTCCACTCTCTGCTCATTGGATACCTCACGCCCTTATACCACAACGTAAGGTCACAGCCGTTGAATTGATTTGGAGCAAGATGGGTTCTATTCTGCTAAAATTGATGTCATTTCCTACTTTGTTTCTATCTTGTTGTTAGCTCACCATCTGCGGGATTGATATCGTGTTCGCCATATACAGAACGTTATGTCCTTAGTGACCTAGAGCGGGGCCTCTATGGTGATGTTCACTTCTATGATTATAAACACAATGGACTTCATATTGAATACTATCCAAATGCGCGATTCGTCTCCGGTAATGCCTGTATATATTAGCTAAGTATACCTCTCCAAAGTGAGAGAAATGTTTACCACCCTTAAAACGAGGTTGACTGAGAATGCGTTCGCGATAATTACTAGAATATGGAGCCCAGTCCATGCCATCCTTCAAAACTTGGAAGAGAATCTCGTCTGCACAAGACTGGCACCCATTGTCGAAGCTATCTGTGCACCGGAATCATCATAGAAACGGCCAGCATGAAATGCTTCAGCAGATTGAGGTGCAAGGGCGGAAAACCATATGACCTTAGATATCATCAGTTGCGTTTCTGCAGTACTGATCAATAGCGTTGTTCATTCGATAGTTTCAATTTCGTCTACCATCCGCACTTTCAACATACTACCATTTAGACCCTGAATCTGAAAAGTGGTCCAAACCATCTGAAGGTGTACAAGAAAACCTTTTCGACCTCTTCTGTTACTTAACGCAACTTGTCCAGGCGCGTTCAATCGCGTGTCAGACAGAACACTATATAAGGGGTCGCCAAGGAGATAGTCATACAATGGGCGCGCTGTATTGGCAGCTAAATGACATTTGGCCCGCTCCCACTTGTATGCTGCTTTCTTAAATGAGTAATTCAAGTGATGCGCTACTAGGTAAACTTCTGACCCTAATCGAATACTAATTTAATTTCTCAAAAAAAAAAAAAAAAAAAAGGGTCGAGCATTGAGCACTGTGGTCGGTGGAAACCTCTGCATAACTTTATGAAGCATTCATTTGCAGACATACTCGTGTCCGGATATCAACTTGCTGGAGAACATTCTCTCCACATTCATGTCTCAAATGGTCGGCCCGTTACTGTTAAAGGTAGAATCGATGTTACAATACAGTCATAATATTATTGTTGTTGTAGTTGTAGTAACCTACGCGAGTTTCATTAATATTTGTTGGATGGTAGGTACTCTGTATATTCGATCATACAACATACAGTCTGGTGAGCTTAAAGAGCAGCCTAAAACCTGCTTCTCTATCAAATGCTACAAGGAATATGCTATGAAAGTCGAGCCAAGTTTACTAAGGGTCGATAATGACGATGCTACCTGCGTGATTTTCGCAACTGCGATCATCACTTCTGAGGGTAGTATGTCCGAGCAAACGTTTGAGATGCTACCTCTGCCATTCCCTTGTAGAGATGCATTTCCGCTGGAAAGCCTTGTAGGGGATCCGAAGATAGTTGTAGAGGCGATGAAAGTTGAAACAAACGAAGAAGGCTATTATGTCCACATCACTCTTCGCTCGTCCGAACTTGCCGGGTTTGTGTGGCTCGAATGGGAAAGCCAAGGTGAGGAAATAGAAGGGTACTTTGAGGAGAACGCTTTCTGGATACTACCAGGAGGCTCGGGGCACACTCTATTCCATGGTAAAGACAAGAAGAATCTCAAGTACATACAGGAACACAATCTCCATATCAAGAGTCTCTGGGATGTTTTGCAGTGTTCTCGTTTGTTGGAGGACGACATTTTAAGTGAAACCATAATATAGTTATCACATGATCATAGTGACGCCTGCACGTGCGGCTTCTATTTTAGCCCACATCATCACTACACTGTCAATCACCCTTCTCTCCATCCATCTCTTTGTTACGATCACTCAGATCTTAGTTACGATCGACAATTTATACGTACATTTATACGGTACTCTCTCACATCTACCCCTTCATCCATCAACTTCCGAATCTATCCTACGATTTAACAAAAAAATCAAAGAAAATTACGCATGTCCGACGTGAACGAGCAATCTGTTGCTGCGGACAAGGGAGCCAATATGCAGAACATTTCGTCGGCCACCACAGCCGCTACAACTAAATCCTCAACCACTACTTCTGTGGATGGATCTTCGTCCCTCACAGCTCCTGCCTCTGCTTCACTTCCTGCAAAACCTACAACGGTGTCTAAAGCACCCAAGATCCCTACAAGTGAATACGATTATTATATTGTACTTGATTTCGAGGCAACTTGCGATGACAACAAGCCTGCCTCTGAACTCTTAGTCACAGCTGTAAGTCATACTATAAATATCCAGTTTAAAAAAGCAGGCATCTATTTTAATTTGTTAACTGACAGGCGTAATTTTTCTCCATCCCATTATTATAGGCAACATCAGAGATCATTGAGTTTTCATGGCTCTGTGTCTCAAAGACTAATTTTGCAATTCTACATGAAGAGCAAAGATATATCAGGCCTATGTCAACACCCCTAACACCATTTTGCCAGAACCTTACTAAAATCACACATGAGAAGCTTGAGAATGGTGGAACGCTAGTCGAGGCAATCGAATCCCTCGATATGTACATTACCTCCGAAATCTTGGACAAGGGCAATTCGTTTTGCTTTGTTACTCATGGTGCCTGGGATCTGCGGATCCAGCTGCCAAGAGAAGCTAAAGATAAGGGTATTACTTTACCTGCATATCTGAGAGAGCCCATCCTTTTTGATTTAAAGGAGGAGGCCACTAAATGGGTCGCTCATCATCCTGAAGTCGTTCTTAAATCGTTTTCACTCGAAAAGCTTTGTGAAGCATTTTCAGTCAATCAAGTTGGCCAACTGCACTCTGGACTCGATGATGCTAAAACCATTGTTAATATTGTCAAGTACCTCGTCGCCTTTGCTCACACAGATGTGTTCACGCAAGCAACTGACCCAGCACAGATTCTCAGCATGTTCAAGAAGGATGAGTCAAAGATCGTACGCATTTCGTCTTTGTCATTCGACATTACACAATCGGAATTGGAAGCCTTTTTTGCTTCCAAGGATCTCAAGCCTAAGGAGCTAGTAATGCTTACTAGTGGTGGTAATAATAGACCTAGTGGTGGTGGGTTCGCTGTATTCGAAAAGCATGCTGATGCGTTGGCTGCTCTAGAGCTAAACGGAGCACCCCTTGGACAGCGAGCGATCGAGGTCATACCCTCAAGCAAAGCAAGCATGGATATCTTGAAAGGGAAGCATTCAAGCTTTCAGGTATGTTTGTTCTCCAAATTCTTTAGTAGTTGATTGAAATTTGAATTGTTAGTTGACCTGTCTAAATTCAGCATGACTTATTAAGCTATACGTATTTACCCTCCCTTATTGAATAAATAGAACACACCTAATAAGCACCATTCGCCATCAAGACCTGGTGACTGGACATGTAACATGTGCCAGTTTGTCAACTTTTCTTCGAGACGGGCATGCTTAAAATGCCAATCTCCATCTCCTGAAGGAGCTGTGCCATCTCAACCGGCAAACTTTACTTCAGGTGACTGGATGTGTACTCAATGTAATTTCCACAATTATGCCTCTCGCACTCAATGCCTTCGCTGTCAGTCACCAAGACCTGGTACATCCGGGAATGGAGGTGGACACGGTAATGGAGGACCAATGGCGTCACCACACCACCATTCTCATCATAACCACCATCATCATCCATATGCATCAGGGGGAAGTGGTGGTGGTGGCGGTGGGCACTCTATCTCTTTCCGTCCTGGTGACTGGAATTGTCCCAATTGTAATTTCCAGAACTTTGCATCAAGAACTGTATGTATGCGGTGTTCAACTCCTGTTCCTACTGGTGGGCAAGGAGGCGGGCACTCCGGAGGCGGCGGCGGTGGCGGTGGTTACCGTGGCGGGAACTCTGGCTATGGTGGATATAATGACAATAGTGGAGGTGGTGGTGGTGGTTACAATAATCATCATGGTGGTCGGGGAGGATCACACGGTGGTAATTATGGTGGTGGTGGTGGCGGTGTTGGCGGTGGCCAATATGGCAACCAAGGCGGTGGAGCATACTCGGGTGGTGGTGGACCTAGTGGTGGGCAAGGTGGCCATTCCTTCAGACCTGGCGACTGGAGTTGTCCATCATGTAATTCTCATAATTTCGCATCTCGATTCCAGTGCATGCGATGTGGTCTGGCGAAACCTCAGCGCGATTCCTCACCTGCGCCCAATAATTACGTTCCTATGAACTCGATGAAGCCTGGAGATTGGATGTGTCCGAATACTCAATGCGGCTATCATAACTTTGCAAAGCGCACGACATGCGCTCGTTGTAACGCTGCTGCACCCAACCAAGGTAATATTGGTGGTGGTCTCAACAACGGACCTGGTGGGTCAGGAGGAAACAATGTAGGCTATTATGGGACGCAGCATCACGCGCCTCCTCCTCAGCAACCAGCACCTGTGCCCACACCTGGGTACTCGCCAATGAATCCATCCTATGGCAGTTATGGTGGACCCAATTATGGGACGCAACCACCACCTCAGCAGGGTTATGGATCTTATGGTGCACAGCAGTATGGACCACCTTCAAACCGTTACTAATTCACAAAATTTATTTGTGATGACTGGCAAAATCGTGGAGCTGGGATGATGTGTTGGCCAGAGAACGTATACAAGGAATTTTTTTTAAAAAAAAAAAAAAAAAAAAAAAAAAAACATGGAAATATCAAGGGAGCGAGTGACAAGGACTTGGGGAGCAACGGAAAGAAAGAGTATTTGCAGGATGTGTAATGGCAATGGATGGAGGATTTGTGCGCTTTTCAATGATCTCGGTGCGTGAGGGTGAGTAATTTTTACATGATTATTATAAATCGATGACTTTTTTTGTTCTCATTGTTCTGTATCTGCCCGCAACTGAATCCGAGGATCAATTGTGACCCGAGGGAGTGTGTTGTTAGGGAATCAGAGTGAAGGAAAACATCTATGGGTTTATGAACAGGAGTGTAACGAACGGATATCCCGCGGTTTTTCTTTGTTTTTTTTTTTTTTTCTTTTTACTCTTTGTTCGCGGCTCGCGTTATAGTGTGGTGAAGGTCCCAGTCTGTCTCCAACTGTCTGTCTGTCACTCTCACTCTCACTCTCTCACTTTCTCATATGGAGTGAAGAAAAGAAGGAAGGAAGGGAGGAATGGATCCTTGGCACGGTCAAGACTTCTAGGGGTTTCCACGGAGAGAGGCAGCATTGTCGTCGGAAAACTATCGACTTGGCATATTTCATCTTACTGGGACGCATAGTTGGATTTTTTTTTTAAAAAAAAAAAAAAAAAAAAAAAAAGTGGAAGGGATAGAGGAATAAGGAAAGATAAAGCCCAATCTCTGTGAGCTCCACAATAATTACTCCTTTTGTTGTTCCATTCCATATTTCTTTTTACTTTTCTGGTACTTGGAACCTTTTCCTTGTGGTGACTTTTTTAAAAGGGTCAGACAGCTCCATTCATTGACATAATATTTGCAATAAAAAGAAAAAAAAGTGTTGTGTGGTCAAATGTTTTTTTTTTTCATCCAATTGCACGCTTGAAGAGGTAAGAAGTAAAGGTGTCTCCTTTTAGATACTTTACATAATGGGTTCATTGTGGGGTAATTTTTTATCTAAACTTCTCCGTGTCCTCTCTCTACTTATACTTCATATTATGCCTTCCAACTACCATTCAGCTGCATTAACGTCAGAACAGCATCCATTGGATATTCTGTATCGAGCATCTGACCGGTGCTGGTGCCAACAGATTCCATAACAGACACTGGTGTTGCTTGCGTTGCTGCTGTTGTGAGGGCGGGAACTGATGTGGTTGGTGGGGAAGCAGAGTTGACTGCTGCTGCTGCTGCTTCAAGTTCCTGCAGTTGACGCTGAAGATTGGGATCCGAGAGCACACCTGTCAACTGAGCCAGATCAAAGTGTCCACCGTTACCGCTCGCTGTCTTCTTGACTAGATCGTTCAGCGCCAGCGCTGTCTTGACCGTATTGGCATCAAAATGAGGATTCGCTGGATTGAGAGCCGAGGTTGTGGGTTGAAGATGCTGGTGCTGCAATAGCAAACCGGATGTGAGCAATTCAGATGTTAAACTGGTGCCAGTAACAGCGGCGGCGGCGGCAGCAGCAGCAGCCGTGGCCTGTGCATGCAGTGCTAATTGCTCACTTAAGGACAATGATTGTTTAGCGGGTGAAGGCATTTGTACGTCCGTATCTGATTTTGTCTCTGCCTCCCCGCCATTCCGTCTCTTACGTTCTTTCTCTTTACGCTTTGCCTGCCGCTTGAGGAATTCTTCCTCAATCCATTGCTTCTTTTGTTCTTCCTGGCCTGGGACAAAGACTTTATTTGCTCGCTTATTCACTCTGCACCTCAAGTCATTGTCCTTGTCTAAGTATCGTTAAAAAAAAAAAATAAAAAAAAAAATAAAAAAAAAAAAAAAAAAAATTAAGATAAACAGGCAGCTTGAGGTTGAAATAGTGAAGGAAATAAAAAAAAGCCATATCAATGCTCCTCTTTGTCAACATCGCCAATAAAACTAGAAAAAGTCACAGAAAAGGATGACAGTCCCATCACCACACACATCCATTAAAGATGAAGGATAAAAAGGAGTCGTTTTCTTTTCTATTCTTTTTTTTTTTTTTTTTTTTTTTTTTTTTTTTCCTTCACAAAAAGACAAGACAATACTTACTCCGGTCTTCATTAGCTTCACGCCATCTCTTTTTACGCTCCCTGTTCTCGGTTCGAATCTTCTCGTTGATCGCATTCCGTTTGGCGATCTCTTCTGGCGTTTGGGTCGGCACTGGAAGAGCAGCGAGTTCCGAGATGCCAGCAGCAGCTACGGTTGGTGTGGTTGCAGAGATAGTTGAGGTTGTAGGCGTAACTATTGCTGTTATTGGGGACACAGAGACAGGAACAGTGGCAATGAGAGGGACGTTGAGAGAGTCTGATTCAACAGCATCAGGAGTTGGAACGGCAACGGGAGTAGAATTAATGTTGCCGGTACTGCCACTCAGTTCTGTGCTCATGATGACGGCGAGTGAAATATAGTAGAGCAAAGATGAAAGAGTTTTTTATAACTGTCCTATCCTGCACTATCCTGCACTATCCTGTTCAATCCTGCTCTGTCTCGAAATTGTTGTACGGCTAAAGGTCTTTACTTTTTTTTTCTTTTTTTTTTTTTTTTTTTTTCTTACGCCTCTATATTACCAGGTCTTTATGATTTTTTTAATTTTTTAATTTTTTTTTTTTTTAATTTTTTCCTTTTTCACTCGCTTGATGATCTCTTGAAGAGACAGCTTTGACAATGGACAATGTGTGTTGTGTGTTTGAATTGTATGTGAAAGAAAAAGGAAGAAGGTGACAGGCAAAAAGGAGCAGTCTCTAAAAAAATACAGCACATGCGATTGAAGGTATTGTATCATGTTGTGTTGTGGCTGTGGTCATCAGATATGCTTAAGGGTATTAAATTGTTAAATATCAGCAGGAACCTGCCGGACGGGTTACCAGCGCCCCTCTTACCTGAACATGACATGAGGACCATATTTTTGGGTAGTCTGGATTTGTTTAGGCGTGAAAAAAAAAAAAAAAAAAAAAAAAAAAGCCTAGGATGATGACAAATCAAGGCAATGGATACGTGGCAGTTGATCGTGTAGGAGCCACTTGTCCATATCAGATTCCAAGTAGAGAAATAAATTAATAGGGTTCACAAGCCAATACCTTTTACTTTTTTGTCGCCTCTTCTCCTTCTTTCTCTTCTTGCTCATTATCTTTCCTCTTGTCTGACGCATTTCTTTTTCTTCTTTTTATCATTTAAGCTTCCATCAATTGCCAATTGAAATTATAGTATGAATGCATTGCCTTTACCAGTATCAGCCAAAGCTTGTTGACTAATATTCTATCTTTAAAAAAGCTCATTATCTGTCACTTTTAATACCTTATTTCCTCCAACTTCTGCCTTGTCTTTCTGTCTTTCTTGAACATTTCGATCACAGCTACTGATCAGAAGCACAGATACACCATGATTTCTAACGGATCAGATACAAACCATACTGAAGCAACAGACGCTGCTTCCACATCAAGCATGGAGTCTACACCACCGACAACAATCGCACTTCCGTCCTCCACACCAATCATTGTAAAAACACCTGTTCCAGGCATGTCTGTCATTGGCAATGGACCAGGTTACAAGAATGGTGAGCCCATTGTGTTGCCAATGCAACCGACCTTTAAGAGCAACCGATCTTCTATAGCATCACTGGTCTCTCATGTTGTCTCCAATGGCGACAATCGTCCCATGCAGACTGCGATGGATGCGACACCAACAACAGCCACAGCCACAGTCACCGCTACCGCCACAGCCACAACCACAGTAACACCTTTAACAGATACATCAGGACCTCAGACAGCAGCAGTGTCAACCTCGACATCCTCTTCCTCTGCAGCCTCAGCCTCTACTAATAGAGCTGCTTCAACTTGTTCTGACAGTGGTCGGGGTGGGTCAGATGCAGGCATTTTAGTCTTTTCGGGAGGCACGGCCTGCAATTCGCTTGTTCAGCTCCTGCAGGACATGACACCAAATGTCACTTATGTCTGTAAGATTCCTTATCTTTTCTGGGGGGCTTTATCTATCGTACCGGAATTTCTTTTGATCATTACACAACAAATGTTTCTTCTCCTTCCCCATTCGTCCCATTCACATCTGTCCCTAGCCCGAACAATAACCCATTGACCATTGAGCAAACTTTTTTTTTTTTTTTTTTTTTTTTTGATTTGTTTATTGGCGTGGTCATAATGATATATACAATAATTGTGTCAAGCGTAAATGTATCACTCCGTCTTGTTCATCGTGTTCATGTTTTCACAGTTGAGGCAGAAGCTCCTTGAGTCCCTTTTTTTGTTATCTCCCGGTTTTGAATAATTTCTTCTTATTTCCTAATCTAGTAGGAATCTCTGATAATGGGGGCTCGACTAGTGAAATTTTACGTGTGCTAGATGGTCCGGCTATTGGTGATATTCGTTCACGATTGATCCGGCTAATCAAGCCAGATCCTTCGGATATAGGCAGAACTGCCATCCAAGAGCTACTAGGCTATCGTCTTCCAGGTCATGGTGATGCTAATGCGATCAAGAATGAATGGGTTGAAATTGTGGAAGGGACGCATCGGTAAGTAAATAAAAAGGTTGACTACTTGTCCTTGACTTCATTTAAATTGTCTGTGTCATGAAAATTTTTATTTTGTACTACGATGACTCTCCATCGCGTGCTCCTGACGTTTTTCTTTTTATAAAACGCATTTCTTAGGTTGTGGATGCACATCCCCTCAGAGAAGAAAGAAGTGATCCGCGGATTTCTGATCTACATTCAATCTGAGATTTTGAAGCGAGCGCACAAGAGATTCTCGTTCGCAAATGGATCAATTGGTAACTTTTTCTTGACAGGTGCCCGGATGTTCTTTGGTTCTTTGGAATCCGCCATCTTTTTGTTTGCAGCCATCACAGGCATCACAGAACCGACCAGAGTCATCCCGGTGATCAACACGAACCATGGTATTGCCATTGCAGCTCTTCTAAAGGATGGTAACACCATCTTGGGACAGTGTGCCATTTCGCATCCATCCTTGGCTTCGTCCGGTGATTGTTTTAACACGGCCCATGTTCAGCCATATACCAATTCCGCCTCCACTACACCCGATGGTTCTAAAACCCCAGATCTGGCCACGATGCTGTCTTCAAGTCAGCAGCAAGAAGATAGCTTCTCGACCCTGAGACTGGTTCAAAATAACATTCATTTCGACAAGACTCCCACGCGATCAAGCTCATTGCACTCCAGGATCACACGACTGTATTACATTAATGAGTATGGTCAAGAGATTTTCCCGCCACCCAACCCGAAGCTATTATGCGCATTAGCCGAGATGGAAACGCTGGTTTATTCGATTGGATCATTGTACACCTCGATTATTCCCTGTCTGATCTTGAAGGACGTTGGCCGAGGCATTGCAGAATCAAAGTCGCTGAAGAACAAGATCTTTATGCTGAATGGTACGAACGACAGAGAGACGCCAGATTATACCGCCTTGGATTTCATCTGGGCATTGACAGGTGCATTGAATTATTCACTCAAGCTCTCGGGACAGTTTTGGCCAACAGAATACAAGCCCTCGCAGTATATCACGCATCTGATCTACTTGGACACGTCCGAGGTGCATGTTGACACGTGGAGCGTTGAGAAACTCGGGATCGAATGCGTGCCATGTGTTGGGAAGCGGGACCCGTCGTCGGGACGACCCATCTATGATGAGAAACATCTCAACAAAGTTCTCGAGTCAATTCTGGATGGAACTTGGTCATCCTCTGTTGCTTCTGCTGCTGCATTTTCGTCATTATCTACCACAGCCAATTCGACTAGGCCTTCAACTCCTGTTGCTAATCATCCTTTAAAGGGCGCAGCAACATCAACAATAACATCATCATCATCATCAACATCTATGTCACCACCCACCATCATTGGATCTAGTGCATAATAGTCCAGCTAGCATGGTCGAAAAAAAAAAAAGCTATTGATATTCATGCTACTTTATTTACTTGATTGATTCTAACTGCTCTTATTACTTTCTCCTCAATGTTTAATTCCATCTTTTTTTTTTTTTTTTTTTTTTTTCTTGTTCATGTAATTGAAGAGCCCTGTTAATATTGTTAGTTCTTTTTTTTTTTTTTTTTTTTTTTTTTTTTTTCTTTTTTGTAATCCTCACAAAGCACGTTACTAAAAAAACATTTCTTTCTTTTTATTCAGTTTTTTTTTTTTTTTTTTTTTTTTTAAAAAAAAATAAAAAATAAAAAAATAAAAAAAAAAAAATAAATAAATAAAAAAAGGAATGAGAGCATCAGGAAAAAAATAAATAAACATTTGATATCCATCTCTTCCATAATCTCCAAAGATGGATCTCTTTTCGGATGCAAACAACAAATAAAATATTACGAGATGGAGGGGGGGCTGTGACAAAACAGTGTTTGATGAAAAAAATCTGCTGTGCTACCTTGATTTAACGCAGTGATGACGAGCAATCTTGGAACGTGAACAAAATAAAGCGCCACCGTTACGACCATGCAAACCAACCATGTGAGTTTTTTTTCCTTTTCTTTTTTTTCTTTCTTTTGGGAGAATGGATTTTTTAGAATAAAAGGAAGAACTGCATAAACTCATTCACAACTATGATAAGTAAACACATAGACTGACAGAAGACAGGAAATGGAAATGAGCACATGGGGTAAGAAGAGCAAAAAGGAAAAGAGCAACAAAAATAACAACAACAACAGTATAATAATAATAATAATAATTAATAGAAAGGCTGATATGATGATGATCTGCAATTCTCTCTGTCGTAATTATATTTATGCTTTTTTTATTATGTTTATGTATTCAACTATTTAGATTTATTCAAAAAAAAAAAAAAAAAAAAAAAAAAAAAAAACAATATCTAGCCCTTTTTTTATTATTATAATTATACTGTTCTCCAATCTACCTCTTGAATACCGCCATTCTTTCTTGCTCGGACAGATGAGTTTTCTTGTGCCTCGTGACCTGATCCGGTCGCGAGAACCGCTTGTCACATCCTACATACGGACATTGGAAAGGTCTTTCGCCCGTATGGACTCTTAGATGTTTTGTGAGATTACTGGATTCTGCAAACCATTTGTCACATCCTTCAAATTTACATTTGAAAGGCTTCTCGCCCGTATGAACCCTGCGATGGATTGTTAGTGCTCCAGAAATGGAGAATTGACGACCACATCCAGGCTCTGTGCATTTGAAGGGCTTCTCTCCCGTGTGGGTTCTCATATGTTGGGCCATAATGTTAGCCTCTGAGAACCGCTTCTGGCAGACCTCACATTGGAACGGTTTATCACCCGTGTGGGTTTGAATATGTCGCATCGCCTTTTGACGCTGCCCAAATCCTCGGCCTTGTCGGTCACAATTAGCCCATTCACAGATGTATTCGCTCTTGCCCATACCAATGTGTTCCTCACTCAAATGGGCGGTCAGTGACTCAAACTGAGGGAACGACAACTTGCATCCACGCCAGAGACATGGGTGCAGTTGTTGTTGTTGTTGTTGTTGTTGTAGATGCAATTCTTGTGAGGGTGTCATCTGGTGCGGTTCTTGCTTGATGATGTATTGCATAGCTTCTGGAGAAGGAACGCCCCACATCGAAGGGTTATGATGATGATCTGCAGCTGAAATACCAGCGGTAGTAGTTGCAGCAGCAGCAGCAGCAGCAATAGCGACATTAGAGAAAGCAAAAGAGGATGAAGATGAAGTTGTAGAATATTCATGCATATCCATTTCAATGTAGGGCGAAGATTGGAACATGGGGGTTGCAGGTAAAGAGGTCGCAGGGAAGGCAGGATTGATGTGATGATTGCGTAAATGCCATAAAAGATGGTTAATGCCGTTATGTTGAGTCCAACATGAATCCCATTGACAGAGCAGTGGGACACCGCTGTTATTCTGCATAGGAGAGACATGATGGAACGACAGGTGATTCAGTAGATCGGTTAGGGTATCCAGCTCGGCAAGGCACCCGGTCCAGTGGCAGCGGACTCGGCTTCGATCCGTTCCAGGATAAGTATGATAATCATCATCGACCATCATGGATTCAGGCGAGAGGGGTAAGGAGGTGGTTGTAGGGGAGGAAGTAGCCGTGCGTTGGGATGAAAATGAGGAGTCGTGTGGAGATTTATCGTGAGTGGCAATTCTAGAGGTAGTGGTGATAGCGGCAGTAGAAATAATAGCAGCGGTTTTTGTAGTAGTTGTAGTAGAAGTAGTAGAAGTAGCAGGCAAAGAGAACGAGGCCGACGAGGAAGTGGGAGAAGAAGAAAAGGATGGCGAGCGAGAACTTGGGGACGCTTTAATGTCGTCCATGGCAGGTGAGCACGAGGACATGACCGAGACCGAACGCGGGGATACGGAGACACAAGATGAAGTTGTATTAATGTAATAATTATTGTTATAGCTGATGGCGGGAGCCTTATTACAGATCAACGGTGACATGGCGGAGTCTTGACCCTGCAGCGGCGGCCCCTGCCCCTGGCTGTGGCACTGATCTTTGGCTTGGAGAAGAGATGGTGGTGAAGATATTGGTTCAGACCTCGGCGTGCAGCAGCCAATAGTCGTATTGCATCTAAACGGACAAAGGTGTTCGAGAGCATCCAGACGATGGTGTGAGCTGAGAGTTCTTAACGAAAGGAGATTAATTGAGGTATTTGGGGCAAGGGAACAAAGAGAATGAAAAGTTGCAAAGCACAAAAAAAAAAAGAGCCGGAGATTTTCTGATTTCATCCAGAAGTGCATTCCTCTCTTTCTTTTATTGTTGCATTCCTCGCAACGGTCAGTCAAACTGACAAAAAAAGATGTGTGAGAAATGCGCCCCATCAAGGGCAAAGAGCATTGTTGCACAAATTAAACCATTGTCAATGAATTGGCTCTTCTTTTTTTTTTTTTTGGATCGAAAAGGATTAGGCTCGGAATGAGGGATGTGAGATGAAAAAGCAAAAAAAAAAAGGGGAGTTGATGAAAAAGTCAAATAAATGGACAGGGACCCTGGCCAGCGCAAATCTCCTTTTTATCATGCTCTCGCGTTATAATACTCTTAGGCCGTTCTTTTTTACTTTCCAATCCTTCTTTTGGGTTAAACACATTAAACATTAAGCACACAAAGCATATTAATGCACAAGATGAGCGGCAAGTCAAAAAAGATTATATATGAGAGGCAAAACCTACACAACATCATAGGCAGATTGAGTGATTGAGGCCTCTTGTGTGACCATCGGTGAGGGAGAGCTTAATATGGTGGTTACGGGCGAGGCCGTGGGAGTGCAGGAAAGGGTCTGGCCACAGTTAGAGCCTGTTGTTGTTCCTGATACTGGTGTTGACGTTGTTGTTGCGGATGTTGCCATTGTTGATGTGGCTGCATTTGAGCTCAATTGAACCACTCCATTGCTTGCATCTTGCGAGGCACTATTTGATTGACAGACATTCCATGTGGGCAACCTTTCTGAGGCACCTGCGGTACTGGCACTGGGTCTTTCCACTTGCTTTGTTTCATTATCGCTGATGCAGGTTATTTGAATACCTTGCATTAAATCGCTATCATCCAAATCATCGGTAAAAGGACTGGAGCAGGGCCTGTGATTCTTGAACATCCCCTGGTGTTTAACACAGCATGCTGTGGTGATCGGAGTCAGGCCCGTGCTGCTACTGTCAAGCGGAGGACTACAGGGTGATTCTAAGCGGGGGGACGGTAATGCAGAGATCGAAGGGCTGATTGAGACGGGAGATAGTATATTGATGAGACTATCTTTCGATCCGTGAAGGACAACTCCTTTTGGGACGAGATTTTGGCAGCAAGTCGAATTCATGCCATCTTTCACGGTTGCTTCGATGATACAGCGTTCGATTTCTGCAGGAGTAAGGCCTCCGTAAATGATGGAAGGATCTTCTGCTTTAGTATTAGCAGAGGTAAGATGGGTTGAGGATGAGGGAGCAGGATGAGAAGAGGAAGGTTGGAGAACGGAGGCGGGACGACAAGACGAGGGAGGGCATGAAGTAGGTTGGGATGGATCGGTAAGGGTATGAGGAGGAGGTGAGGACGAGGAAGATGTGAGTGGTGGTTGACAGCAGGGTGCCATGACAAGAGCAAAATAGGGAGAAGTGGGGGGTAAAAAAGATTTTGACCGTTGATTGTTTAATGAACGTCCAAAGTGGCTGTGGGATACAAAATATGTTGCACGTCAATGAAACAGTTTGTTAACAAGGGTGTTGGATGATTATTAAGAGAAAAGAAGGGGGAGAAAAAAAAAAAGAAAAAAAAAAAGGAAAGAAGTGGGTGTAAAGGTAATGGTAAATGTGGAGTAAAAATGTAAAATGCAAAATGCTAAGGGCAAAAGTAAATGGATGAGAATGAGAATAAAGACGAGTTAGTTGTTTGCAAGAATGAATGAGCAAGATTTAAAACGAATGGAGAATGAATGACAGACGGAAGATGAAGGATAAAGAGAGGGAGGGAACAATAAGAGAAAAAAAAAAAAAAAAAAAAAGATTTTTTTAAGTGGTTGAATAGACTTTAAGACAGATCCGACTCTTCTCTTCCAGCGATGTTTCCCTTCCCTGTGGATCCTTAAGGTATTTAGACTGGTTGTAGTAATTGGTAGTACATAAAATCAAAAAGTTCGTAAAGTGATCAGCTTGGATGCAGGGTCTTTAGTCTTTGAGAAGGTAAAAGTAAGAGTAAAAGCATATTTGTATATATAATACAAATAACAACCACCCATTGCTTTTTAAACAAGACTGAGATCGATAGGAAAAAAAAAAAAAAAAAAAAAAAGCTTAGAAAGGGAATGTGTGGGAAGAATGTGTCCGATGAAGAGGAAAAGAGGAAAAAAAAAACAAAAAAAAATAAAAATAAAAAGTTTGGGACAGAAGAGATGAAAGAAACAGGACGACAGGACAACATCACTTTTCTTCTGTGCCACCGGTTCTGAAACGTGCCCAAGTCCTGCCCTGGCAGTCCATCAGTCGTAAATCCTGCCAAAACATCAACAAAATTAAAATCAGCCTTGGGCCAAAAGTGCCACATGCACAAATCTGGATCTGTACACATGTGCAACATTTCATCAAAGGACCCATTTCACCTCCGATTAAGCTTTCCTCTTCCCTGCTTCTCTTTTGCTTCTCTGCTTCTCTTTTGCTTCTCTGCTTCTCTTGCTTCTTTGTTCATAATCTGCAGGTCTTTATTGCATCAACTATACACATGTCTATAGTGCAGTGCTCAGAATGGCCTTAATTTATTTGTAGAATACATCTGCCCCAGCTTTTCTTTTTCCCTTTTCTCTCTCTTTTTTTTTTAAAAAAAAAAAAAAAAAAAAAAAAAGTCCTCCTCTTCCTCTTGCTCTTCCTCTTCCCCAACATGCATCCTCTATACCGCTCTCATCCCATACCGCAACTTTCCTTTCGCTAGTTTCGCCTTGTTTTCTATTTATTTACCCTTTCCATATAGACTGGGTCTGATTGCTGAAGAAAAGAAAAAGGCGCCTTTACATACTCTTTCACGTGTTTACCGCGCTTGCTGTCATTGTTGACGTTTTTCTTTTTTTTTTTTTTTTTTTTTTTTTTTTCCTTGTTGCATGTGGGCGAAGCACAACAAATATCGTACAGATCACTTTACATCAAATCATCAACTAAAGAAGCAAAAAGAGGGACCTGTTTACAGATCATATCAATGCAGGCTAAAAAAAAAACTATTTACCGCGCATCTTTCTTGTACAACGTTGTGTCCATGTCTATATTCTCCTCCCAGGCACATGTACATGGATCTCTGGGAACTTACTTTGTTACACTGATCCTATTGCAATATCATGTCTATCTAACGCCGCAACGTGGAAGAAACAATAAACTTGAACTCTATTGAGTAGCCCTTTTTCTATCTGATTTAAAATAAACTTCCTTCTCGGTCAAAAATCATAAACATACGAATGTAGATTATACAGACATACAGATATAGATTATATTTATATACATTTACACCCGTTCTTCAGCTCTGACCCCCCTGACGGAGTATCAAAACGTGTATGGATGGATATTTACATCTCCTCACGACAAAACCCTTCTTATCATCATTATCAAATCTTTCTTGGCCAACTATCAAAAAAGTTCCCACACTCAATTCAATTGATTTTGAAACATCTTTATTTTTCTGGTAAAAACAACATAGAAATTGAGAGATTGAGATTGAGATAAATAATACAAACAGCAAATGAATAGGAAAACAAAATGATAAAAACATGAAATGAGTACTTTGGACAACCAATCGAATAGGAAAAACTCGACGACGGAAAGAAAAAAAAGAAAAGATAAATGGTATGGACAAATGAACCATCGAAGGATTTCTTCACCTATTCTACTAAGTCTTCCCAAAGCTTATTCTCTCACTACTCAACTTAACGAGAGAGAGCTGCAAATGCCTTAGTGACAGAACGCTTGAGCTTACGTTGAGCAAGGACAAAGGTATCCTTCTCAGCAAGTTCCTCGATCTGAAGAGTAGCCATGGCCTCCTCAAGAGCTTCCTCAACGGCCTTCTTGTCTGCGCGCTTGAGCTTCATAGAGACATTGGGCTCGTTAAGAGTACCCTGGATCTGGTAGACATACGACTCAAGTTCCTGCTTCGATTGCACAATCTCCTCGTTCTTGCGATCCTCATCCTTGAATTGCTCAGCCTCAGAGACCATGCGTTCAATCTCTGCAGCCGAGAGACGACCGGCTCCATTAGTGATAGTAATGTTAGCCTTGCGACCAGTAGCCTTGTCCATGGCTGTGACCTTGAGGATACCATTGGCATCCAATTCAAATGTGCACTCGAGCTCGGGAGTTCCACGGGGCATGGGTGCAATACCAGAGAGCTCAAACTTGCCCAACAGATTGTTATCCCTAGTCATAGGACGCTCACCCTCATATACAGGGAATTGGACAGTGGTCTGACCATCCTCAGTGGTGGTAAAGGTCTTCTTCTTGATGGTGGGAATGGCAGTGTTACGAGGAACAACAACAGCCATAACACCGCCCTGCATCTCAACTCCAAGAGAGAGAGGAACGACATCCAAGAGCAAGAGGTCCTGAGTCTTGGCATTACCTGCCTGGTTGGTCAAGACAGCAGCCTGAACAGCAGCACCATAGGCAACAGCCTCATCGGGGTTGATCGACTTGTTCAACTCCTTTCCATCAAAGTACTCCTGAAGAAGCGATTGGATCTTGGGGATACGTGTGGAACCACCAACGAGAACAATCTCATCAATCTCCTTCTTGGTATACTTGGCATCCTTAAGAACCTTCTTGACGGGCTCAATAGTGTTGTTGAAATGGGCCGAGTTAAGCTCCTCGAAACGAGCACGGGTAATGTTGGCCTGGAAGTCAACACCCTCGAACAAAGAGTCGACTTCAATGGTGGTTTGAGCCAATGAAGATAAGGTGCGCTTGGCACGTTCGCAAGCAGTGCGAAGACGGCGGGTGGCACGAGCATCACCAGAGATGTCCTTCTTGTGCTTGCGCTTGAACTCCTCCTTGAAATGTTCCAAGAGAGTGTTATCGAAATCTTCACCTCCCAAGTGAGTATCTCCAGCTGTGGCCTTGACGGCGAAGACACCTCCAGTGATGGTCAAAAGAGAGACATCGAACGTACCGCCACCAAGATCGAAAATAAGAACGTGCTTCTCCTTGGTCTCCTTAGAATCCAAACCATAGGCGATAGCGGCAGCGGTTGGCTCGTTAATAATACGGAGAACATCAAGACCAGCAATGGCACCAGCGTCCTTAGTGGCGTGACGCTGAGCATCGTTGAAGTAGGCAGGAACAGTGATGACAGCCTTAGTGATAGTCTTGCCGAGCTTGGCCTCAGCGATCTCTTTCATCTTTGTCAAGACCATGGCAGAGATCTCCTGAGGGGAGAATTCCTTCTTCTCACCCTGATAGTCAACCTGAACGAAGGGAGCAGTGTCCTTCTCAATGACAGTGAAGGGCCAGTGCTTCATGTCAGCCTTGACCTCAGGGTCATCGAAGCGGCGACCGATAAGACGCTTGGCATCGAAAACAGTGTTGGTTGGGTTCATAGCAGCCTGATTCTTGGCAGCATCACCAATAAGACGTTCCGAGTCGGAGAAGGCAACATATGATGGTGTTGTACGGTTACCTTGCTCGTTAGCAATGATCTCAACGCGCTCGCCCTCCCAGACAGCAACGCAGGAGTAAGTGGTACTGCAAGTAAGCAAAGGGGGCAAGTGATGGAAGGTAAGTAAAAAATTGTTTCGCATGATGCTATTGACACAAAACACCCACACTAATGTCTTCAAAAAAATATATTTAGTGCTGTCATTGTTGCTTCAAAGCTGACTGAGTTCGTTGTGTCTCTAAAACTGCAGTGGATGATTCTCAGCTGAAAATTATGCTCTGCCTTAGGAAAGTAGGTGTTGTAAGTGCTGGTTTTCATTTCTGACTGATCAACCGGTTTTCCGGTTCTGATCAGACAAAATTCATTGCAGTTTGATTTTTTTTTTTTTCTTTTCTTTTCATTGATCAAGATTCCTGATCCTGTTCCTTCTTTGTGATTGTATGTTTGAATGTGTACTTTTTTTTTTATATTGTTGTTGATAACTGGAGCAAAGGTAAAAAGAAAACCCCAGAAGAAGCACCTACCCGAGATCGATACCAATGGCAAGATCAGTGACTTCAGACATGATTGTTATACGATGAGTTGAGAGGGAGGAAAAAGAGGAAGAACAAAATAAACACACTACCAGCCGCACTTTTAAATTTTTTTTTTTTTTGTCTTTTGTCTACAATGGGCGGACGCTTGAGAGCTTTGACCACCATGTAAGTGGCTTTGAATCACATGACTAATGCATTCAACGCCCAATTGACAATTGTACTTTGATAATAATAAGCTCTTCCAACCAAATCTGGAAGCCATTGTTCTTCTACATCACTAGATCCTTTGAATTAGCGAAAGTGGATACAGGTAGTGAATATTATTGTTTGTAGCAACAGGAAACGAGCTTTGAAGTATGTACGCAAAAATTCTGCCAATGGCCAAGGGCAAATAAATATCAGGTACTTACTTTTTGCTTCGAATTTGGCTATCCTTGCTTCATAATCTTGATAAAATGCGGGGATTGCCTGGCATACCTTCGTTTTATCAAAATTCTGACCATCGAAATCAATCAGAAACTCAGACTTAATAGCCAAACAATGGATTTTCGTGTGTTCGGACTCCATTTGATACTGTATAAACACCTGAACACTGCCGCATGCCATTGACTACTCTACAATATTCTTAGCACACATATGAACTTTTGCAAGGGATGTGTCAATGCTTCGACAAACATGTAACATTTAATGGCTACACCACAGCCCTTGAATTGTGGAAGCGCTGAAAGTATGCGGAAAACGGGAACCATCTGTATTTTTACTAGCAACAAGCGTGGCTTCAAAAAGTTTGCCCCAAGGAACAAATCCTATATCCTTCATTGCTCAAAAGAGACAATGCTGTCTTTTCTGCACCCTAAAGCACGCCATAACCCTACTGAAAGCGTTCAGAGGCATTATTTGCCTCATGGTTTGAAGATTAGCAGACTTTCAGTCAAGTTTTATTGTTTTGAACGACACAGTACATCCTGTCCATTCGAAGTAGTCCCTTTGGATGGCAGCTATTCAGGGGATGCTAATCAATCCCGCTAAATTACATTGAAACCAGAGCAGATTTGGAAAACCAACAAGCATCGAACAGTCGCCAGATGGCACTCTTGTCTCTTTCTTCTTTCTTTATCCTCACAGGAACTGTCCCAGATAAGGCAGGAAGGTCAAGGTCTGTTTTAGCGACTAGCGAAACACTTTTAGGATTTCCTATAAGAAGGCTTGATGTTCACAAGACTGGTACTCACACAGCCATTTATAAAGAAGCATACAATGAAGGCAATGCACGTTCGCATTTCAACCGACGTTGAAGCGAACTGCATTTGAGTCAAGGAGATGCTTTGCTTCGCATCTCAACTTGGGCCAGCTCTGCTTACAACGTAGCGTCTCTTATGCATTCATTGCTTCTTTCTAATGATATGAACGAAATGACGGTTTGCATAATTTATTTGGTCAATGTTGTATTCGTCGCTATCCATACTCTTGGGCGGAGCGTATAAACAAACTCTTGCATTGACCATGCTTAGTCTAAGCTTTTCAACCAAGAGGGTCATGTCCTGAGGAATATCGCGTGGCCATGTTTTCTGCATTTTTACTAATTATATTTTTGTAATGAAGCTTTGCCATAATTAAGCATTTAACCATCTCTGTCGTCATGACCTAATGCTAATCAAAGTTTACCCATCTCCATGTACCCACCAACTTGTACTTTTACTGTTTTACGCTGGTCGCGGTCATCTTGACGAACAATGTCGAAAAGTTGTAGAAATGATAAATGTAAAAGTAATGAACAGGTTTGAATTTGTGCTGCATGCCATCCTTGTCTCTTTCTCTTTCTGTCTCTCATTTTTCTTGTTGGGCAGTTCCTGTTGACCATGACCATCGATCATCCCTGTTACTGATATCACACAACGTAAAAAAATTTTTCATTTGATCCTCCGTCCATCATTCCACGGACTTGATCTCTCTCTTCTCTTCACTTATTTTTTTTCTTTTTTTTCTCCACCACTGTATTCTATCTTGTATTGTACTTTATTTGTATTGCTTTCTCTCTCTCACTCTCACACCCTGACCTCAATTGCATTGCTTTCTTGCTTCACATTCAGTTCTCTCCTTCCTTTTCTCCCTTTCTCTCTTTCTCTCCTCTCTCCATGCAGTCTCAGGTTCGTCCTGACTCCTTTTTCTCCACAAAGAATACTCCTCATTCTCATTCTTCTCTGCACCACGATCCTCATTCTTTTGCCATGGCCACACAACTCTCTCACACTACTAAAAATGGCTACTACCCTGACCTTGTCAATCAGGATAGCAACGGTGCCGACACGTCAATAGTTTCACACAAGCTCAAAGGCAGCCCCAACAGAGTATCTGAAGGCACACAGACAACGCCTGCTCCTAGCCCAACTCTTCACTCTCAACAACAGCCGCAACAAGAGCGACTGCAGCACCTTCAGAATCCATACCCCACACATATACCACCAAGAACAACATCTTTGACATTCAAACAGCACCCACATCAGCCTTCGTCGCCGCCTCCTTCCCCGCAACCTCATTTAAAACATGAATATAATCATCCCCCTTCTCCTTCGCCCCCTTCTCGGCTATCTTCTCTACCGCAGGCTCAGCCAAATGGCATTCCTCTTATTTCCTCGCAACATGATCAGGACCTTCAATCACAAAGACAGACACGAAAACAGAGTCCTGAGAAACAGCAACCACACAACCTCAGGAACCACGAGCTGCCACAACAAATGGTCTCACTGGAACCATCACCCACCTTGAGTGCAGCAGATATCTCAGTAGCCTCAATTGCCACTTCAGTTTCGTCGCCTGCGTCGTCGGTATCAAATACAGCTCCTGCCAACACTCACCACATCCTCCCTGCCCTTGCTGTACGACCTCCTGCAGACCACTCTTCTGATGAGGACCTCGATCATCTACCATCGGCACAAACAAACAATTTGTCGTCGTCGTCGTCGTCGACCAAAGAGGCGCTTCAGTCTACTGTTTTGTCCACATCCCCACTTCCACTGCCCTCCATGGAAGGCGCCACGTCGGGAGATCTTGTATCATATTCAATAGACGACACCGCTCCCATTGGTTCACTGCATCAACCCCCACACGCCTTGAGTGGAGCAAAGCAGGAACTGGAACTGGAGCAGGGACAGGGACAGGAGCAGGAACAGGAGCAAGAGCAGGCACAAGAGCGAATGCAGGGTCAAGAGCAGAAGCTGGAGCAGGACGCAACGCTCAAGCGGTCACCGATTCCTCCATCTGCTATCCAGCCTGTTGGAGTTTCATCCGCTCAGGCAGGTGTGATCGGAGTAACAGAAGGCTATTCAGCTGCATCTTCGTCAAAAATCCATCCACTTTCCTCAGCACCGCCGGTCCGTGCCTCTACCATGGACGTGCGCAAGACCCGTCCTGGATCGCAGCTGCTAGAGGATACTGGAGTGTCATCTTCACGACAACCACAGATTTCACAACCAGACATTTTGAATCGAGCTCGAAGAAGGCAGATTTATCGTCGCAACACTTATTCAGCCGATCTTGGATCAACCTCTATTCACCGTTCGGATGACGAGATAGAGATGGATGAATTGGAAGAAGCTCGTCGAAGGATGGAAGTCCTGAAAAGAAGCAGCAGTCGTCGGATGTCTAGACTCAGAAAAGATGACGACAATGATCGGGTTCTTATCGGCACTCGAATCGGCGAGGATCATGTCAACTATGTGCTCATGTATAACATGCTGACAGGCATCCGCGTGAGCGTAAGTTTAATAGCAAAAAAAAAAAAAAAAAAAAAAAAAAGCGCAAATACCTCTCATGCTACTATTTTCTTTTCTGGTTGTCATGGAGTTGGTCTTTCTATTACGGTAGCGCTCAGATGGGAGCAGGAAGCACATCATTTAGCTGAAAGGCCCTGTGTTTCTTTTTTTTTTAGACTAATTGTGCTGGGCTATATCTGGCATCGACACCATTTTTTATATCCCTGGATTATATACCATAGGTATCACGATGCAATGCAAAACCACAGCGCGCCCTAGTTGATGATGATTTTACTGCTGCACACAAATTAGCCTTTGACATGTAAGAGAGCGATATTGTTTAACTTTTAATGCGAAGGAAATGATGAACTTCTTGATCAATGATTTTTAATTCGCACCCTACTTTCTATCTTGCTCTATATCTTTTTTTTTTTTTTTTTTTTTTTTTTTTGTGATGCAAAATTGAAGTACTGGTAATGAATTGACCCCATCATCTAAATATGACTTCAAGTTTAAGGATTATGCACCTTGGGTATTCCGCCACCTTAGACAGGATTTTCATATTGATGCCTCGGATTATTTGGTAAGATGGTGATCTTTTGTTGTTGTCTTCTTGGGAATGCAATATATTTTTTTTTTTTTTTGATATTGGTGTTGGTGTGTGTCATCATGTTCCCAAGGATTTGATTAGCCATAGTCGTGTCTTGTGATGAGCCCACATCTGGGAATGCGGGACTTTTTTTATCCTTCCATCCACTAAATTGCCTTCCAAGATGTCTCATCTTGATCGAAATTGACTGACACGCCCCTCTTTCATTATATAATCGTTGTAAAGGTCTCATTGACTAGCAAATATATCCTGTCAGAGCTTGGCTCACCAGGTAAAAGCGGTAGCTTCTTTTATTTCTCTCAAGACTATCGTTTTATCATCAAAACTATCCATCACGCGGAGCACAAGTTCATGCGGAAGGTTCTTAAAGATTACTATAACGTGAGTATATTATGTGTACAGATATTGCAAGCATAGACCTACAATGTTAGTTGTTAAATTGTACTGATTTTTTTTATAATATTTTATTTTATATTTTTATACATCCTTTACCTTTTTTGACTTTTAACACACACACAGCATGTTAAGCATAATCCACATACACTTTTATGTCGTTTTTTCGGACTGCATCGTGTCAAATTGCCTCATGGGCGCAAGATTCACTTTGTTGTGATGGGCAATGTGTTTCCTCCTAATAGAGATATCCATGAGACATATGATCTCAAGGGCTCTACTTTAGGACGTGCAATTAGCAACGAAGAACTCCAAAATAACCCTCGAGCGACTCAGAAGGATCTCAATTGGGTCAATCGTAACCGGAAACTCGAACTGGGTCCTGAAAAACGCCATCTGTTTGTGGAGCAGACTAAGCGTGATGTAGAGTTATTAGCACGTTTGAATATCATGGATTACAGTCTGTTAGTTGGCATTCATGATATTGAACGTGGCAATAGAGATAACATCCGTGACAATACCCTCAAAGTCTTCCATGTAAGCACTATATATATAAGGGTTTAATTATTAGTGCGTCAAAAGACCATTCCTGATTTATTTTATTTTATTTTATTTTATTAGCCCGATACGTCCAAACCACTTCCTAAGGAGACTACGCGAAGAGATAAGCGCGAGAGCAAAGTGAGTGCGTTAAGAATGGCGGTGAAAGCGTCTGATCCTGTGGCATTAGCACCATCTACGTTGCCGTCGGATCCGTTTTCAGAAAGAAGGAATTGTATCTTTTATGCTGATGATGGAGGGTTGTTATCGACAAATGAACAGAACGAGGCAGGAGAAGATCTCTATTATTTGGGTATCATTGACATTTTAACGCCGTACAACTATGTTAAGAAAATTGAGCATCTTTGGAAGAGCATATGTCAAGACAAGGTATCTTTACCGAAAAGGAGGAAAAAAAAAAAAAAAAAAAAAAAAAAAAAAAAATAGATTAAGTCAAATGATATATTTAATTTTCTAATGGCGAGTTTTTTTTTTTTATTATTTACTTGTCAAAAATAGCATGCAATCTCAGCGGTGAATCCGCAGGAGTATGGACAGCGGTTTTTAAGCTTTATGATCCATGCTATCAAAGTCAACCATGATGTTCTTGCAGTCTTAGAGAAGAATAGCCATCCACATTCGGAATAGTTTAAAAACATCGATTGTCTTCCATAAATAACGACAGCTGTCGAGTGTTTTTTCTTTAGTTGTTTGAAGTAATCTACAGAGCACATATAACGCGTTGTGTTCAAAGAGTCTATTCGAGCCAGAGGGACAATAGGTGTGTCATTTATTTTTTTATACACCAGGATAATCGACAACGAATGAATGCGACCTTTGGAGTCAATTCGTAATTACACCCCTTTGCAGAAGTTTTTGTATGCTCTCAATACCCAGACACGACCCCAAATTTCCTCATTGTAGCAAGAGTAAAAAGAATATATATATATATATACATGTATATGTTTATGAACTGAATGGCACTTGGAATGGGTACTGGAAGGGTGGCGTGTGCCATGGGGAACATGCAGGAGAGTTCAAGAAAATATACAAAGCAAAATTAAAGTTTGATTTGCTTTCCATTTTCGTCAATCAATTTCTTTCTTCTAGAGCAGTGAAGGTTTGATCGTGGGCAAAAAATCACTGGCTTCTTTCATCACAAGACAGACTTTGTCCAAAATATTCAAAAGTAATCAGTTAGTGCATAGTGATGAACATCCGAACCAAGGGACAGTGAAATGAAACACCTGCTTCCAATATCGAGAATATGCAGGAACAGACAGAACAAGGATCTCGAATCCAATCTAATCTGTTACGATCTTTGAGATGATCTGTAACAAAAAAAAAAAAAAAAAAAAAAAGAAAAAAGTCTTGAGGCTCTGGCTTGATGGATAAATAATAAAGTTTAAAGTGATTGAGAAGCAAGAACAGCGAACTAATTTTGAAAGTGGTGCATAGATATAACATATTCTGGATGACCATTACAAAATGATGACAAACTGCTCTATAAAAAATAATCCTTCGTATTATATTTGCATTAAAAGTTTTTTTTTTTTTTCCCTTTAGTGCAGACTTTTGTCGAGATGACAATGATATACAGATGTCAGATGTTAGAAATGACACTTGGCTAGTGCTTTGGCGTCATCTTTTTTGTCCTTTATTTATTTATTATTTGTACAGATCATTGTATATATTTGTATTTACACTCAAAAAGATCAAAATCATTGCCTCAATCAGCATATATCTAATTTTTTTTTTTAAGCTCGACAGCTATGCCAGAAAGGGAATCCACACGCGGCAGAGATGAGCAAGTAGATCAAAACCTGAAGAGAAAAATAGAATAAAAAGGATTAGAAAAGATTAAAACCAATACATGAAGAACATCTAATGTTGAAAAGAGATTGAGTAGCTTACAATGACAGCTAGAGTTAGGATGACCATCAGCTTAGTATTCTTCCACCACATGTTTCTCTGTAAGGTTCATATCATTGTTAAAGTAAGAATTGATTACACATTAGTTTCGTCAAACAAAAAAAAAAAAAAAAAAAAAAAGAGGTAGAAGGATGATAATAAGAGTCTACAGAAAGGTACAATGACAAATGTGATACCTTGAGCATTGTGCTACGTCTCTTGAAGGCAAAAGCTTGTTGATTCAAATTGTCAGTCTTGTCAACAAGCAGTTCAATACGTTCACCTCGTTCCAAAACACGTTCAATGTTTTGAACCATAACATCCTTGACTTGTTCAATCTCGCCCTGTACTTGTTTGATTCTGTCCGCATTAGGGTTTGTTGAAAAGTATTCCTAATTAGAATGAAAAAAAAAAAAAAAAAAAAAAAAAAAAAAAGTTATTATCATTTAAGGGAGATCGGGCGGTCTAATAGGCATGTTTTCTGCAGATAACAAAAAAAAAAAGAAAAAAGAAAAAAGAAATCTCGGCAATCGTCCTGACAGATTCCATGTGAAAAAAGTTATAGTTCAATGCAGTACTCTTTGAATGATTGAATGGACAGAAAGAAGGAAAAGGGGTGAATGAAAATAAAAACAATAATAATAATAATAATAATAATAATAATAATAATAATAAAGCAGGGTTCTTTACCATTTGTTTGGCAATGATCTTTGAGAATTCGTTCATTCCATATGGTGTTGTAGAACTAAGTGCTTGTTCACGTCCATACTGAGCCAAAAACTTCTCCTTGATGTCCTGTAAGAATGCAAAAGGGATTCGTCTACCAAAAGAATCGTCCGCCATGCACATATATGTCAACCCATCCTCACAGATGTAATGGAAAAGATATCTAATGGTTTATTGATCGATTCACATCCATGTTTCGTTAACATTAGTTTTTTGTAGCTAAATCATGTCATCAATTAGACTGAGACAAAGCATTTTTTTTTTTTAGTATACCTGTCATAGACATAAGTTAATTTCGAGTTATTAGGCGGAATCTTTTCAAGGATAGCTTCCGTGACTACAAGGAAAAAGAAGAGTTAATCATTTGTAACAGCTGTATAAGGATCTCAATATTAAAAAAAAAAAAAAAAAAAAAAAAAAGTATAATACCTGTGGTGAAGTTTCCTGATGAGTTTGTGTATTCGGTAAGAATGACATTTCCTCTTGCAACGAGGGCATAAATGATGGACATGGTTGTTGAAGCTGTAATGAAGTAGAGAGTGAGAGAGTGAGAGAGTGAGGGAGAAAGAGAGGGTGAATGGGTTGTGATGAATTGAATGCAAATGCGGAAAAAGATTGGAGGAAAGAAAGAAGCATATAAATGAAATTGTGCTGGTATGCGGGAAAATCAAATTCTTTGGAATCACTGTCACCTATTGGCATTTAATGTACAATTCATTTAATCCCTGTTCTGCGTGTGGTACAGATGTCTCCTTCTCCTTCTTCCAACTCTTTTTTTTTTTTTTCTTCCCTTCCTCTCCCTTTTTCTTTTTTCTTCTTGGTATGCAAAGCATTTTTAGCTTTTTTTCTTTTATTTATTTTTTTATTTATTTTCTTTTATTTTTTTTCAAAAGATCTATTAATGATAATAAAAAAAGGAACAAGGTAGTAGGGTAGTATGAATTGAGTAGAGTAGATTCTCGTAAAAAAAAAAATTTAGAAATACAACGAGAAGTAGAATCTAGACTTCGCCCGGAACTCTGGCCTTGCAGGCAACAATTTTGACTTTGTCTGCAGTCACAGATTCATTGTCATAACGGAAGGTTGGACTCGACAGTACAAAGGTCCATACATCATCCAAAGATCGGTAGTTATCAAGATGGGCCTTCAGGTTGATTGCATTAGAAAGTAAGAGTCAGTTTTACTTTTTCCTTGATTTGGTGCAATGCATATCATTCATGAATCTAATCAATTCCTTTTTTCCTTCTTTTGCATACCTTGAAAGTAGCACGGGTACGGACGCGTGTGCTCAGTGCATCAGCAATACTCATGTCAAACTGTGATACAATTTTAAAGATGTCTTTATAAGTTGTAGCAAACGATCTAACAATGGCTGTAATCATCCAACCAACACAAGTCGAATCCCTCTGATAGACCATCTTTTTACCTGTGCAAGGACTCGCATGGCCAACTGAGGGTTGATATGACCAGATTGAATTAACTCATCCAAGGAGTCAATCAATGACAGTCCAATGCTATTACCCAAGACCAAGGTCAAAAAAAAAATAAAAATGCATGGTGAGAAGAGCCACGATAAATCATTACACTACAAATGACATGCAGTGTGTGCATTTGAATGGCAAAAACAACACTACAAAACACCCATGTCACATTTTGTCGAGCTTGTCTTTCATTCCTGTCTCTATTCCTCCCATGGATAAGAGGCAACGTGGACGAGCACACACCGCACACACACATTGCACCACATGATGGACTAAAAGTTGAGCATGCTAGATTTCTTGCTTTTGTCCTTTTTATTTAATTAATGCAATTGTGGAAGGTACCTGCTTTTACGATAGTGCTCATAGTACTGTGACATGGCTTTTTCTTCCACAATTGCAACAGATCAGCACAGAAGAAGAGATGAAAGAAATGGTTTCTTTTTTTATTCTCAATGCATTCGCCACGCCTTTAAATAGAGCACATGATTGAATATGTCACCAGCATTAATTCCAGGTATCATTCGGTTCGAGTGCCACTTGAGTAGAGGAGACCTGCAGGACGATCGTTATTTCCATATACGCCTTACGTTTTAATAAGTGCCCTGATCGCGAGCGTAATCTTTAGCATGAAATACCAAATGCTCTACTACAGATAAAATAGAATGGGCGTAGGCAACAACTGACTCCGGAAATTCATTTTCTTGTTCTCGATCTATTTTTTTTTTTTTTTTTTTCCTGATCAAGAACAATAACCACTATTCCACTCCCTCCCGTACACATCCATAATCAATCGTCATGCGCAACATTGTTGTTTTCAGTGGTATGCACTTTCTGTTTCGAACTTCATTTTAAATATTGTTATTACTTAAAGCTCCCTACATTCCCCATACTTTGTATACATCCTCAACCTACGACTTGAAGAATTCATTGTTTTTTCGAAATAGCCATTCGTTTCTACTCACTTGAAACTTTTGTCTTAACTACAATGCCATTCGTTTAGGAAGTTCTCACCCCGCATTGGTCGACCAGATCTGTGCACGCCTCGGTATTCAGCCAGGCAAGGTGAAACTGTCCAAGTTTGCCAATAAGGAGACCAATGTGGAGATCGGTGATAGTGTTCGCAACAAGGATGTCTTTATCATTCAGTCTGGATGCGGTGCCGTGAATGACAATCTCATGGAGCTGCTCATCATGCTTGGTATGTTCCTCACTAACCTGTGCTTATTATTACCACTTGAGCTTGTATTGCCTTTAATAATCTCGAGTCATCAGATGGCGTCATGATGCTGCTTGTCCTTGCTCACCTCTGTCACTTCGTTGCCTGCATTGACCGTTCTCACCACCAGCCTTATCAGTCTAACAAATGGTCACCCTACTTACTGTTCTTTTTCTTGACCCATCTTGTTCAAAGTCTAACGTTCAATGCATCATCTTGTTCTATACACATCTATTTGATTTCAATCGTTCAACGGATTTCTATTAGCTGCCTGCAAGACTGCCAGCGCTCGCCGTATAACTGCAGTGATTCCTTGCTTCCCCTATGCTCGCCAACCTGATGCACCCTACAAGAAGAATGGCATGCCCCTTTCCCGTGTGCCTCCGAATGTGTTTTTTGGTTACACCGGTTCCAATACCCCTTTCTCCTTGCCCGTCACTCCTGCCGGCACTCCTCTGCAGACCCCTAGCATTGACCGCAAGAACCCTTTCGATAAGATGTTTGACTCTACTAATGAATCCAATTCTGATATTGAGTCCGCTGCAACTTCTCCCACGCTTTCGCCTTCAACTACTGGAGGCAATGGAAATGCAGTACCGACTTTGAGACCAGAGACCGGTGGTAGTACAGATTCTGTCAAGAAAGGAATCATTCCAGCTCGTGGCAACCGTCACCATACGATCCCACAGCCTTCACATCTCCACATCCCTGGTATCAATGGTGCTGGATCTTCTACATCCCATTCGCAAACATGTGTAACAAGTGACCAGGTCAATCCACAGAAGGCTGGATACAAACATTGGGTTGCCCGCTCTGGAACCTTGATAGCCAACTTGCTCGTGACTGCTGGTAAGACTAACATCTTTTTGTAATGCGTCATTTTGCACGTTGGGGTTACATGCTAAGACATTCTTTTTTTTTTTAAAAAAAAAAAAAAAAAAAAAAAAAAAACTAGGTGCTGATCATATTATTACGATGGATCTGCACGACCCCCAGTTCCAAGGTTTCTTCGATATTCCTGTTGACAATCTCTATGGACAGCCTTTGATGGTCAAATATATCCGTGAGCGCATCCCAGACTGGCAAGATGCTGTTGTGGTTTCACCCGACGCAGGTGGAGCTAAGCGCGCAACGGTGATTGCAGACAAGCTTGGTATGGAGTTTGCATTGATTCACAAGGAACGTCGTCAAATACAGGCCCCTCATAAGCCAGATATGATGCTTGTGGGAGATGTAAAGGGCAAAACATGCATCTTGGTGGATGACATTGCGGATACATCGTTTACAATCACCAAAGCCGCCAAAGTATTGCAACAGAACGGAGCTCAAAAGATTTACGCCATTATTACCCATGCGATTATGTCGGGCGATGCCATTATGAGGATTCAGAGCTCATGCATTGATCAAGTGATTGTTAGCAACAGTATTCCTCAAGAAGATCATCTGCAGAGATGTCCCAAGATGAAGGTCTTCAATGTTGCGCCTATCTTTGCTGAGGCCATTCGTAGGATACATAACGGCGAGAGTGTCAGCATGCTGTTTGATGTTATGGATCTGATTTAATCATTCAAACACACAAGATTAAAAAAAAAAAAAAAAAAAAAAGTTTAAACTTTTTTTTTTCTTCCTTTTCTATCAACCCGAGCCAGGTAGTGTTTGGAGCTTAGCCACTTTGTAACTCATTGCATTTCACACATTAAACGCATATCTCATCACCTAATAATCAAAATCATGTGTCCAGTATTATTACTATTATAATGAAAGGTTTTAATGACTTAGTGAATGCGTACGTTCTTCGGATTCTTGTCTATCATTGACAGGTTCTGATTGTTGATAAGAGGCCATGGTTGTTGAAGGCACTACCTGGTTGACAGAAGTATCTAAAGTTGATTCATCTTCATTTACCAAGATACTATACAATCCTCCAGGTTGACTTCCAGAAGGAGATAAGACCATGCTCTCGACTCTAGAATGGGTTCGACTTCGGTGTTGGCGTGGGTGATAATGTCTACTATGGCGGTGATGGTGGTGATGATGATGGCGATGAGTAGAAGGGTGGAGGCCGATGATACGTAACCTTCCTGTGTAATAAAGCCATTGGATAAAAATGGAGACATCAAACATGAGTGTTCCTGAGGAGCCGAGAACATAAGGTACAGCTTCACGCAGGAATTTGCGGCGAGTTTCTGGGTTGACAGCTGCACTCGAATTAAGGATCGAGAGCGTGTAGCTTAAATTTCCCATGGCAGCCCAAAAGAACATTAAAATGGAAAGACCTTGGACTGACTTTCTCTTGAACTGGACAAAGACAAGGAAAGAAGAATAAAATAAATAAATAATAATTAATGGCTTTCTAATCATCCTGTTCTAGTCATTTCCTTTTTCTTTTTCTTTTTTTTTTTTTATCCTTTTATTAGAAAATATAAAGAAAAAAAAATGTCACGTACATTCTTCCAGAGCTGAGGCATGCGACTAGACAGGTAAAACACAGTGCAGACCCAAGCAAAGATACGGCCCAATTGAACAATATTTTGATCTGGTGGATCGTTAGTGGGGTTATCTGTAAAAACTGCACCCATTCCTCCTTGATCTCCATCAATGGCACGAGCAAAGACGCGTCCAGAAATAGGGCCTCCATTATTCAATCCATAATGTCTCGACCCACTGTGATCTTGTAATGCTGGAAGGGTTTGTTTCATGGTCAATAAGGTTAAACCGAACAGGACCATGGAGGTGCTACAAATATTGCATGTAATAGATTAAGGTTAGGCAAAAGTAAATGCATTTTAATGCGCCTTTTTTCTTTTTCTTTTTTAAAGAGAAAAAAGAAGTGAGATGTTCCTTGTTCATTACGTTCTTCGGTGGCCGATATCGGATGTTGTAGTTAGCTTTCTAGAGCGATTCCTTTGCATCAAAGATGTGTTAGCCTCTGTGTGCTCAAGATCACGAGGTATTAGCCCGTCTTCCAGGTGATTCTCATCACCCGATGCTGCTGCGAAGATATCGGGAGAGGTAACATGTCTAGACTGCAGCAGACGAGATTGCGAACGAGAGTGAGAGCGATGGTGTGAATGCTGGTGGCGGCGATTATTCTTATTATTACTGTTGTTATTGTTATCAATCTCCAAAGTCTCTGGTAATAATTCTGCAACTTCGAGTTCTGACGCGAGTTGTTTCTCACGATATTCTCGAAAAGAATAATAAATCCATTGACTAAAGAGAATAATATCTGCGATACAAAAGTAGATTGCCAAATATAACTAGAATATTATATTGTCCATAACCCCGGGGATGTTTTTTTTTTTTTTTTTTTTTTTTAAAAAAAAAAAAAAAAAAAAAAAGAGAAATAGAAAGAAAATTTAGCCTTTTCGTTTTTCAGCAAGTACAAAATGCGAAGGAAACATGGATTTTATTGGCATAATACCTGGAAAGGGAGTTGGTGGGTGAGGATACATCCTATCAAATTACTGATGTCACCTACAGTCATAAACCACATTATAGTGAATAATAGTCAAAAACAGTGATCCATTTCATTAGTGCTTGCTATTCCAAAAGTCTTTTTTTTTGCCGCAGAGAGTTTTTTATCATTCACATACCAAGTAACCAATTGATCAAGAAGGGCAGTGAGAGAGATGCTTGAAAAAAAAAAAAAAAAAAAAAAAAAAGGAGTCATTTCTGGTGAGTTTCGATTTTCGTTAAAAATAAACATGTGTGGATCAGACAACAAAAGTCTTTTTGGCTACCTGCAGAACCTAGCTTGAAGTTTTCAATAATTTGCCTAGATAAAGAAAAAAAAAAAAAAAAAAAAAAAAAAAAAGTAAAAAAAGCGGGCCTTCTTTCTTTTAGCAATCATTTTTTTAACGAAGATCAACGTACGGAATCTGAGCATTCAGCCAGCAGAAAATGGAAACGTATCCTAATCAATTGAAGCAATCAATAGATTTGTTGGAAAAGACAAAAAAAAGGGGTCAGTCAGTAAGAATGACCATGTGAGAGGTCCAGTGAGTGCTCAACCTTAAAAAGCTTCTTTCTTATTGTTCAATGCTTCGCCCACAATGCCACCATGCCACACCACAATACAGGAGATGAGTCCCTTTTTCTTTTTTCTTTTTTTCTACTTGCCTATTAAGAAACTAAACGCTTCTCTTTGCGTCGTCACACATTCACCAAACAGTGTCTAAAGATAAAAAAAAAAAAAAACGAAGTCTGGTTAAAATCATTTTGATTAAACTCATTTTACATGGACGAAAAAAAAAGGTAGACTCTATTCGACACTTTTACCTGGATCCATTCAATGCATTGTGCTTGCTGACCTTCCATCACATGCAGAGAAGAAAAAGACGTAAAGTAACAGAATCAGAGTACGGGTGATAATGAGCTAGTTTTTTTTTTTTTTTTTTTTTTTTAGAGAAAAAAAACTTCTTTAGATAGAGTAGGGCTTTTTTTTTTTTTTTTTTCCCTTTCTTTTAAACAGCTCCGCTACGGAGATAAGGATGGGGTAGGGAAAGGGTGAGAGCAGAGAACAGACTCTGACAGGGATTGGGAAAGGAACGAAGTTAATAGGAAAGAAGAAGAAGAAAAAGGAAAAGAGAAAAATAGGGGAATGTTTATGAAAATAGTATCAGTGGAGAAGGATGACCACAGGGTGGTTTGTACCTCGAAATCACAGGTGACCTTTCCCTTGTCGCACATTCGATTGAATAGCGTGGATTGGGATCAGGGGTAAAGGGTTGTTGGACCTGGAAAGGCATCCAAAGAGTCGCAAATTAATCCGTAACTGCAATTTTTATTCTTTTTGTACATGAAACGATCTGTCTAGTAAAAGAAAAGAAAAGAAAAAAAAGGTCTTTATGGCAAAAGTTAATTCATACTGATCAGATTGAGTAATGCAAATAATACAAATAATACTCAGGAACAATGAATATCATATTCACTTGAGAAAATTATATTGAGTCATAGCGTACAACCCTTTTTTTTTTTTTTTTTTTTTTTTTTTTTTTTTTTCTTTAAAAAAAAAAAAAAAAAAAAAAAAAAATCGATTTGAGATCCTTGTCTTCTTCCTCAATTCTCATTTAATCAGAATTCAGAAAAAAAAAAAAAAAGGTCATGTCATTGAATCTTCCAACTCTTCGTCAGCAGATTGACTCGCTTGATCACAAGCTCATCACCCTATTGAATGAACGTGCGCAAGTCAGCCTTGATATCGGGGCTGCCAAGCGACAGGCAGCAGCAGCAACTAGCAATGGTGACTCACCAGAGGAGGATAACACTCATGTTTATATCCCTGGAAGAGAGAAGCAGGTTTTTGAAAAGGTCATGCGGTTGAATCCTGGTCCACTTGCCAATGAAAACTTGTGTGCTATCTATCGTGAGATCATGTCTGCCTCTATTGCTCTTCAGAAGGATGTTCTCGTCGCCTATCTTGGACCTGTCGGTAGCTTCTCACACGATGTAAGCAAAGCCGATGTATCATCGCGATCCACTCTCCTCCATTCAACAACATTTATGAAACGAGGCAATAGCATGACTAACAACGATAAAAAAAAGAATATCGAGGTACATGAGACATATACTAATCATATCGATGTTATAGGCTAGCATGAAGAGATTCGGCGACAGTGTGCAATATGCTTCGCAAGGAACAATCGCAGATGTGTTTGAGGCAGTGGAACGTGGTCGTTGTCAGTATGGTGTTGTGCCGTTTGAGAACTCAATTGCTGGATCAGTCGTACCTACACTAGACAAGTTCATCAAGTCCAAGGTCAAGATCAGAGCTGAAACATATCTTCCTGTGCACCATTATCTTCTCTCCAAGACTTCTGCAGAGGCTGTCCGTCGTGTATATTCCCATCCAGTGGTAAAGTTCAGAATTTTATTTTATTTTATTTTTTTTCGATTTTCAGAAGAAGTAACTGAGGGGCTCTTGGAACTTCTTGCTTATAGGCGTTGGCCCAATGCCAGACCTTCCTAAAAAACAATTTCAAGGGAATCGAATTGGTCCCGTGTGCCTCAACTTCAGAAGCTGCTCAGTTAGCATCCAAGGAGAAGTTTGCTGCGGCAATCTGTAACAAGGTCTGTGCTGATATTTATGGATTGGACATTCTTCATGCAGACATTGAAGACCAACAAGGTAATTTGAATAAAACCCCAGAGAATCAAAGTACATCAGCTGCATCGGCATTTTGATATGTTCTTCCAACTTACTGGAAAATAAAAAACAAAATCAATAGATAATACGACACGATTCTTTATAATTTCAGATGCATGGGATGCACCCACGGCGAGTGACAAGACATTGTTGATGTTCACAGTGGATCATCGTCTGCCAGGAGCACTCTGTGATGGACTTAAGGTGTTCAAGGATCACAACTTGAATTTAACCAAGATTGATAGTCGCCCATCATTGCTTAAGCCATGGCACTATGTTTTCTTTGTCGAATGTGCAGGCGTTCATGGCGACAGCGAGGTGATGAGCACAGTCATTGAGGAATTGGGCAAATACTGCCTAGATGTGAAGATTGTAGGCACATATCCAGATCAAAGACCCCAGGACTTGCACTATTAACTTTTTTTCCTCCCTTCCTCTATCTTTTGTCAAAGTGGATAAGGATGATCATGGTTAAGAATAAAGGACCCGGGATAGGCAGAAATGAGTCAGGTCATCAATGTTGATTAAAATATATTTTTTTAAAGGTCCCAGATTCAGCCACATTGGTGGCGTAATTTCCGCTTCTGGTCTGCATGTCTCCGATGTGAAATTAAAAAAAAAAGTCACGGAAAGGAATCTTGTGATGGCACGACGGGGAAAAAAGCATTATATTCTCGAGCCATTTGAATAGAGAATACTTCTGTACAGACGATATTTCTTCATCCAGTGAAGAAGCAAATTGTTTAATATTGTCCGTTGTCTATTTAGAAAATAATACACAAAAAAAAGGGAAGGATTCTATGTAAAAAAAAAAAAGTGATCAAATGGACAGTGTAGCAATGAAGAGGTGCAAGGGCACCAGTCATACCACTACACTTTGTTGTTTTGTTGTTGTTTGTAAATGTTGTTTTTTCTTATGAAAATACAGAGTAGGTGGAGAGAGCAAAAGAATGGATGCCTGACTATAATATGCTTGTTATTGTTGTTATTGTTATTGTTTGTTGATACTTGTCGTTCTTAGTTGTTTTCGCTAGATCTTGAATCCGAGATCACGTAAGCATTGTTGGTGGGCCTTGATAAGCTCAAGGCAGTTCTCTTCGCCCTGGTTAAAGACACACTGATCGCGAGCCTTCTTGGTTTCGGGACAAGCACAGCATGGCTTGAGAGGCTTGCCATCCTTTCCGATAGGAACAGTTGTAGTCTCCGCAGCAGGAGCGATGGTAGTGGCAGCCATGATGGGTGGTAATTTATAGAATGCACTGACTAAGAAGAGTAAAGAAGTGAATGTGAAGGAGAGTAAGAGAGAGGTCAAATTCATTTGTCATTCGATCTTCGGAGTGGTGTCCCAAAAAGGAAAAATATCCACACCGGAATTAACTGAGAACGTGATTTTTAAAATGTAATTCCTTCCAAAGATACTCCTCCAAATACAATGCGCTCCTTGCATTGCATGTATTGAATTGTTCTCAATACCCATTCTTTTCCTTCTTTTCTTTCTCTCTTTCTTCTATTCCTCTTTCTTTAATCTCTTCTCACCACCCCACTAATTCTCCTACTCTTCATATCTCTTACTCTACTATCTTTTTATTACGTAACGACAGTAACGTTTAATAAGCACGGCAATGGATGCCTATCAAAAGATTGAAAAGATCGGCGAGGGTACTTATGGGATCGTCTACAAAGCAACGTAAGCGAAATCAGACACTCGTGCTGAACAACTGACGGTTTCTCAATTCGTCAATCTACCTAAGAACAGGAAAAAAAAAAGTTGCTCTCTTTAGTACCTTTCCTTTTTTCATTCGTCAAACAAGTCTCTTTCTCTTTTTTCTTTCTCAATGATTTCATCCTTCTTTTGACATAGTGAAAAGGCGACAGGTCGGCTAGTGGCCTTAAAAAAGATCCGTCTCGAAAACGAAGATGAAGGTATCCATTCATCGCTGCTCTTGGAAGCAAAGTAAAAGATAGAACCCTTCATATCTTCACATTGGTCCACCTCTCATTGAAGTCGTCAATAGCATTCTCTTTCCAATCTTGTCTTGAAATTTCTTTTTGATTCCGTACCTGTATCACATATGATGACTTTAGGAGTCCCGAGTACTGCAGTCAGGGAAATATCTTTACTAAAGGAATTGAGGCATGATCACGTCGTCCAGTAAGTTTGCTGCGTTTGGTTTTGGTATGGCATGTCTCGCCTCCTATTTATTCTTTGGGTCAATTCTCTTCTTTTTTGCCTTGGAAAGCTTTTTTTTAAGGAGGCATGCTTTAATTTTATGGTTCACTTACAAATGAGTATGTTCGTCTTCCTTTTCTTTTTCGGTTCCAAACATGGTATCGAATACCAAAGACTCCTTGATATTATTCATGATGAGAACCGATTATATCTTGTTTTCGAGTTCTTGGATCTCGACCTAAAGAAATATATGGATACACTCCCTACTACCACCGTCCCGGGGCTGCCACTTGATCAGGTCAAGGTACCAAGAACAAAACCAAAGCAAAAAAAAAAAAAGGAATAGATTGTTTGTTTTTATCTAAAGCTTGCCCTTTTTTTTTTTTTTTTTTTTTTTTTTTTTTTTTCAATTTTGTAATCAGGAGTATTTATACCAGCTTATCAGGGGTGTTGAATACTGCCATGCTCGTCGTGTCCTTCACCGCGATCTCAAGCCACAAAATCTTTTAATTGATGGGTCGAGGGGTCTTAAACTTGCAGATTTTGGCCTTGCAAGAGCCTTCAGTATACCATTGAGGCCGTACACACACGAAGTAGTGACACTATGGTACAGAGCACCAGAGATCCTTATGGGGGCACGGCATTATTCAACAGCAGTGGACATGTGGAGCGTCGGTTGCATCTTTGCAGAAATGGTTTTGAAAAAGCCGCTTTTTCCGGGTAAAAATTTGTAAAAAAAAAAAAAAAAAAAAAAAGATAGGAAACCTAGTGCTGGTCATTAAAGAAGTTATTGATCCTCTGCCAATTATAGGTGACTCGGAAATTGATGAACTATTCAGGATATTTAGGCTGCGTGGGACACCTACCGAAGAAATATGGCCTGGGATTAGCCAATTGAAAGACTGGACATCTTCATTCCCACACTGGCACCGACAACCACTCGAAAAAGCGCTACCTACACTCTGCCCTGATGGGATTGATCTGCTAGGGCGGATGATTGAATATGATCCTGCTAGGAGGATTTCTGCAAAGCGAGGTAAATTTAAGAGGGGGAAAAAAAAAGAAAAGGGTTGGTCATAATTTACCACAGCGAAAGCAATTAGCTTACTTTTTTTTTTTTTTTTTTTTTTTTTTATTATAAAAAAGCGTTATTACATCCTTATTTTGACGGTATCAGACGCCCACAACAACACAGAATGGCCATTCGATCTCGTTAAGGCACCTGAAATTGCAATTGAGTAGTTGTTGTCTGGAAGTTCAGAGGATTTTTTTTTTTTTTTTTTTTTTTTAATCACCACAACCAGTAGTAAAAAAAGGGCGCAGCTTTTTGTGGAATGATACGCCCAAGGCCCAAGAATAATAAATATGGGAGGCGCGTTCAAAAATAAATGTTACGTACGGTACTTCTGCGTACGTGTCGTGACGTATATAAAAGGGTGCGGGAGGCGGGAATTTTTTTTTGCCTCGTCGTAAAGAATCTTTTCCTCTCTTTTGCATCTTTCTTCAATTGAATCTTTTCTTCATCCCCTTTCATCTTTCTCTTTTTTTTGTTACAAACATTTCCTTTCCGCGCTAATCACAAGTCTTGAAGCGATTTACACTCTACCTCTACATTTTTATTGAGCAGTAGAGGAAAAGACCAAAAAAAAAAAACCTAGACAAGTGATAAAACCAAGGCGAAATCGCACGGACACTCAGTCCAGTGACGGCAAATAATAATAAAAAATAGTGGCACCCTTTCTTTCTTTTTTTTTTGTTATTGTTTGCACAACCTTTCTTTAAGCACTCTATTCCTATCGTCTGTCTCTCGCATCCTTCTCTCTCTCTTTTCTTTCTTTTCACCCCCTCTTCCTCTTTCGTTATGGCAAACAACACTGTGGTACTAAAAAAAAAAAAAAAAAAAAAAAAAAAAAACCTAGTGGCCCTTACTTTGTGCTCTGCCTAATCCGATCACTTGTATATTTTGTCTGTGTAGACATCCGTCTATAGGTTTGTCATCGACGACGTGATCACCAATGTTCGTCGTGACTTTGAGGATATGGGTGTTGATGAAACTATCCTGCATGAGCTTCAAAGAGTATGTGTAGACTGAAAACCGTTATGGTGCAGTTGATTGATTGTTTGTTTCTTGTGAGCCGTGTGTTTTTTTTTTTTTTTATCCTAAGATCACTCCAATTGTTACTACCTGTTTAGTCTTGGGAAAACAAGGTCGCCCAGTCTAGGGTGACTTCCTTCCAAACCTCGGAGACGTCTGCTCCTGCAGATAATTTTCCGTTTGAGGAATCTTCATACGATCAACCTGTTACTACATCTGCTGCTCCTTCTGCTCCAGCTGCTCCCGCCACTACTGCTTCAGCATCTGCCGCCTCCGCAACTCAGAATGCGGGCTCCGCTCCTGCGCCTAGCACGGCCCCACCTGCTTCAGCTGTAAGTTGTTTGGCAGTCTTGTTTTTAGTGTATTTTATTTATTATTTTTGGCAAAAAGATATAAAGATGAGATCGAGAGCTTAATTTGACCACATTTTGCCCTTGTTTCGGTTCTTACGGTTTAGACATACAACTATCGTGTAGAGCAGACACCAGCGGCGAATCTCCCCAATGTTGCCTCGGGAACTTTACCGGGAGACAATAGTAATGTAGGACGTCCTCAGCAACATGTACCGCCTCGTCCTCCTACCTCCAACAATAGCAACACTAATAGTAGTAATAATAATAACATATCGCTTCCTGGAGGCGGGAGGAATGGTAATAGCGACGCTTCCAATATCCCACAAACAGATGGTTCTAACGACATCACAGAGCTCGAGTTTATGAGCACCGTAGAGATGGATGCGTACCTAGAAAGACGATTTAAGGAGGCTAAAGCGGAGCAATTATCGGGTCAAGCGCCTGGAGAGATGACTTTTACATTAACGCTTTCGGATCGAGCGGCACGTAAGGCTAAGCGCGATGGATTTGAAGGATTCTCAATTGGTCAGGTGGATGGAGAGGACGATGAAGATGACGATACTGGGCTTGGATCAGATCTGGACGATAGTGATAACGATATGGACGATGAATCGGATAATATTGTATTATGCCAATACGATAAAGTATCAAGAACGAAGAGCAAGTGGAAATGCGTACTAAAGGATGGGATCATGTTGATTAATGGTCGCGACTATTTATTCCACAAGGCCAATGGAGATTTTGAATGGTAGTCAATAGACCAGACCTTCTTTATTTTTTTTTTTTTTTTCTGAATCATTGCACTTTATTTCAAATAGTTCGTGGCCACGTTTGCTATCTTACGATAATGTTTACCTATTCTCTGGCAATAAAATGATTCATAAAAAAAAAAAAGAAAGAGAAAAAAGTCGACGTCAATATTCGTGTCTGTGCTTTTGTGTATGTGAAAGATGCAGATCTTTTTGTTCCTGACACGACACGAGAGGACTTTCAAAAAAGATCGCATGGCCCATTTTTTTGAGACATTTTGCAAAGACAAACGCTTCTCATTGGCTGTTCCTGAGTAAGCCACGGGTGCATGGCAAAATGGCTCTCCATTTACCAACGCTGATAACCATGGTTCATTTGGTTCATTAATTATCTTTGTTTGCAGAAGAAGGAAAACAAATTTGGAAGAAAGAATATACATGTACATCTTTATCTGTTATTTAATTTATAAATCTAATTTTATTTCAGACATTAACCATGTCTTAATGTCTTGATTGTAATTGTCGCAATCGCTTTTCTTTCCCTCTCGTACTCAAATATGAACAACCTTGGTTCGTCCTTGAGAGGCATTAAGGATCCTCAAGAATAAGAAAGACAGACTATTGTGCATTGGTCCAGTGAAAAGCTCCGCAACTGCCTTTTCGCTGAAGTTACAGAGGGAATTAAGTTGTGTTTGATGCTCTCATGCTGCAAAGAAATGCTCTCACATCATCATCAAGTCATATTACACACACTTGAAGACAAAAAAAAAAAAATTGCTGCAGTTACAAGGGCAGCACTCTCCTATTTTACTACCCAACGGCCTCTCTTCCCCCAAACCCCCCCGTTTGTCTAATCGGACGAACTGAACAATTCGGCGCTTTTTCATTCTCACTCATTCTTCTAATCATCCATCTTGTCATCCATCTGAGGTCATAATCATTCCTCGTTCCAAGATTGTCTTGAAAGCACTTGATTGATAGTAGCAAGGGCGAACGAAAACAATTCCTCCGACCCCTCCCTCTTCCTTTTCCTCCTCCTCTTCCTCTTATTCTTCCTCCCCTTCCTCCTCTTTCTCTTCCTCCTGTCAACAGCCCTTTTGCATCCCTCCCGCTTCCCTCTCGTCATAATCACCAACGAACATTATTGTCGGTTCGAACACACAAAACTTTCTACTCCTGATGTTAATGTGTTTCTGTGTGTGCATGCAAAAGACAATAGCATTGAAGACATTGTAGAACCATTCCTTCTGTTCTTTGGGCGACTTGTGTTCTTAGGACTGCTCCTGTTTTTTTTTTTTTTTTTTTTCTTTTTTTTTTTTTCTCTTTTATTCACTCATTATCAATCTTCTTTCCTCTCCTTTCTTCCTTTCTTGTTTTGTGCTGTTTTTGTGTTTCTTATTGGAGACACGACCAACTTTCTCACCTCCATTTGAAATCTCACACTCGACGATTCCAGAGACTTGCAGGGTTGCGTGTTACTCCCCGAATACCCAATTTCATCCTTCTTGTCTCTCTTACATACTATCATCCTTTAACACTGTAACGCTGTGTCTCTATTCCCTCACTCTTCCTTGCTCTTCCTTATCCCTCCACCACCTCTCTCCCTGCTTGGCTCTGACTGTCCGCATATTTTTTTCTCCGTCTTGATCTCTCCAATCACTTGATCTTGAAATAAGACAGATCATCATCGCCAATCATAACAGTTAATAAGATAAATATATAAAAAAAGAGAGCCAGCAATCCAATCTCTAAAACCATGGGCAACTCAAAGTCCCGCCACGCAGCAGGGGGACACTCAAAGTCTCGAAGCAAGCATTCAAAGTTTCAAAGTGGTAGCAGCAACATTCTCAATAATAATAGTCATAATGATAATAATGACCGCCGCGGTCGAGCCAGCAAATATACTAGTAGCAACCACAGCAATCCTCAGGCGCCATTGCCCAACGACAGTGGACATTATTCTATCCATGGATTTACGGCGCCATCATCTTCACCTCTGGACAGACCTGAAACACCTGTGGGACTTAGTTCTGGACTCGGTGGAGGAATGGGCACTGGACCAATAGGTCTTGCCTGGAATCACCCCAACTTGTCAAGTCCAGGTCGACTGGACCAACATAAAACATCTTTTGAATCAAATCAATTTCAATATGGCTCAAAGATGAACAATCATCCTTTTGTATCTGGCCCTAATAACCCCCCTGCATCTATGGCAGGCGCAGGAGCATCTGTAGTACCGGCCAATGGTCACCCTATTCACAATCCAGGCTCAAGAGGAACCATGCAGTTGGACGAGAATGGTGGACAATATAGTGGCAGCATTATCAACAACAACAATATTAACAGCAGTGGTAATAATAACTATAATAGTAATAATAATAACCCTAGTAATTATACCTTTAGTCAGGCACAGCAGCATCAAGGGCTAAACAGCAACACTATCCACAACGTCCTATCGAGTCAGGAGATGATGATGTCGATGCCTCCACAGCCCTCGTTTCAAGGCGCAGACACAACAACAAGGCCTTCTTCAGCTTCCCCTCACCAGTCTCATGGAAAGATCTCGACTCTTCATCCCTCTGGTCACACACAACCACAATCACAGCCGTTCCCTCAACAACAACAACAACAACAACAACAACAACAACAACAACAACAACAACAACAACAACAACAACAACAGCAACAACAGCATCAATCAATGCGAGCGTCTATATCACCCGCTCCATTCGTTGAGGACGAACATAACAATGCTGGAGGAGCTGGAGTTAACGGCATTAACACTGGCGTTGGTAATGGTGCTCTTGGAGGAGTTATTTCTTCAGTAGCAGCCATGAACTTGTCAGGAGGAGGAGGAATGCCCGTCAACGCTACACAACATCAACAAGCTATGCGTCTTCAACAACAACAATCATACCCGCAACACCAACACTCAATCGATTACACTGATATGCAGCGGTTACCAGGGATGCAACCGGTTTGTCAAAATAGCATTGGTAGTGGTCCTAACGGAGGTATGTCTGGAGTGAGAAACAACAACATGTACAAGGGCAATAGCAACCAACATTACCATTATCCAACCACAGATGCCAACAACAACAATAACAATAGTAACAATGCTAATCAGTATTCGTCATATGTACAACCAGACCCATTACAATATCAGTTACAACAGCCTCTTCATCCACAGTACCAGCATCAACCTTATCATGTAAATCAGCAGCCTCGTCTAACTGCCACATACCCCTCTGAACAACGAGATCTCCAGCAACAGTCGCAGCGACCTTCTGGTATGACAAGCACTACCAACAACAATAACAACAATAACAATAACAATAATACAATGAATACTCCTAGCTATGTTAAACCTTCAGGCCTCTTTGCGACTGCTGGCCCTTTGATCGACAGTGGCGCGATAGGCAATAGTTCTTCTGCTGCTTCGAATCGACCCCCTGCTCCAGACCAAGTCTTTGCACGTCTTGCACGACAGTTCCCAACGAACCCTCGTGAGACTGAGAAGCGGGAACGGATCTATAGATGGCTAGACCAAGTCGCTGATGCATTCACATTTAACCCGGACACAGAGACACCAGGTTGGATCATCCCTGTCTATCCAGACGAATTGGACCATCCTGAGAGGTAATAGAAAAAAAAAAAAAAAAAAAAAAACTTTATCCTTATTTGTTTCAAATGAACCTCAGTTTCGATAGAATGTGTGGTTGTTGTTTTCTAGGAAGAGTTAGAAGGATGTGTACTAATTAAAAAAGGATTGAATACTTTTGGATGATAGCCCCTACTATCTGGACAGAATTACGTATGAACTAGATCTGATGGCACCTGTTGGAAAGCCATTCCGGAAAGCTATTGATATCAATTGTAACAATGGTGAATGGGCTATGGTAAGGGATACAGCATATATATATATTTATATACAACCTTTTGTATTTATAAACTTATTATTTTTACTAATTAACTGAATTTGTCTTTTTTTTTTTTTTTTTTTTTTATTTTTTTATTTTTTTTTTTAGGATATTGCAATGAAACATCCTCGGACGGTTGTCTATGCAATAGATCCACTTCTTGATATGGCCCATCTTCCATTGCGTATACCCGAAAACTGTAAATTCCGAATGCGAGATGTTCGAGATCAGGAAGGCGAGTTTGATCTGGTGCATCAACGTTTAGGAGCGTTCAGAACACAGATTCAGGAATGGACACCTCATTTTGCAGAGTTGAGACGATTGCTTCGACCGGGTGGATGGATTCAATTGGCAGAATGTAACGGGTTGGTGGTTCGGGCTGGGGTTGAGACGTTGAAGGTGAATCGATGGGTGGAACGAGCAGCGTTAAGTACAGGGTTGAATCCTATTCAACTGGTCGAGGCATTGATGCCGACGATCTTGGGTGCAGGGTTGATCAATGTGGAATGTTATGATTATGGTATCCCTATAGGTGATTGGGCCGGACCAAGAGGTCAGGTCGCAATGCGGAGCTATCTAGAGATGGTGGACTCACTCCGAGAAGAGATCGTGGAGATGAATCGATTGGAGGAAGGGATATTTGAGGAGACGATCGAGTTGATGAAGATGGAGTGTGTTGCCGAACAGGCGGAATTGGTCATGAAGGTCATTTGTGCTCAAAAACCTCCTATTACCGATGACTTGTGGCGAACACGATAGAAAACAATTCTTTTTTCTTTTATTTATTTACTTTAATTATTTTTAATTGCCTTTTTTTTTGTTAACTTTCATCTGCACATGCCCAACGCTCTGTCCTTTTGTTTACAATATATTTGGCCACGTTTCTATTTTTCATGTACTTCAATGCTTATCCTCCCCTTTTCCTCCATTCAGCCAATCATTTGTTACTTTGTAAATTAGAAACAAACAAACAAAAAAAAAAAAAAAAAAAAAAAAAAAGAATAATTAAAACAAAAGCATTAAACGATAACTTGCTTGTAAGATTTTTTAGTGGAATGTGTATTAGATATTAGTAGTTGACTAGAATCGTGTCATTTGGTATAAATAAATGTTGTACATGTAAAAAAAAAGTAAAAAAAAGCCAAAAAAAAAAAAAAAAAAAAAAAAAAAAAATTAAAAAGATTGATTATGTCGCAAACATTGCCCTATAAAATTCTGAAATGCTTTCTGGCTCTTCTGGCTGATGCATTTGCAAAATTTCTTGAATGTATCTTGCTCGAACCGCACTCGGTTCCGTATACGAATCTGTCACTAATCGACAAGCCTTATCTGCAGAAATGGCCGTATTTCGAACAAGACTTCCTAACGCATGCCTTGAGACGAGCATCCCGTCAGCTAAAGGTCCAATCATTAATTGATTGGTTGCCAGACGAACTGATCCTGCCGTGGTATGAGCGCCTTGGACCACAATGCGAATCCAGAACAGTCCTCCTGCAGAGTCACCTTCCAGAGGATGGATCAAGATAAAGACCATCACGTTTTGATCAATAAGCGGCAACAGATTGAGCATCCGTTCACGTTGTTCCACCCAAACAATCGCTACTTGGTCATGTAAGGTCACAGAGCGGAACTGGTTCACAAGTCGGTGGTCTTGCATCGGAGGGATGTCCGGTGCAGATGGTCGCATCAGATATGGGACATGGAAAATGACCTCCGAGTTTCGATCAGCAAAATAGGGAGTGGTATGACAGATCTCTTTGTTCAAGTGGCCAAGGTATCCAGAGTGTGCTTCGACTTGAATCGGCCATCCAAGACAGTTTAGGAATCGAGTATAATCTTTGGGGAGTCCTGCAGGGGAACCATGGATTAGTTCATCATAGCCTATATCGCCCGATTGAGCAAAGTAAACACTGACTGCTATGCAGTCTCTCCTATGCACATACAAAGAAAATGCAGAAAGGTTAGTAGTATCCTTGACACTTTTTTCATATTGCAACACAAGGAAAATACTATAGGACATTGGGACTTACTCTCTGAGCCCATCCAGAAATTGCAATTCAGCTAAGAGACGCTCAGAGAGATGGAGAGGCACAACCTTGGATCGATTCTCAAGTGATAAATATCCCATCTGTGCCATTAAGATTCTAAAGACATTGGACCTATTGCCAATAAAATAAAAAAAAATCGATCTAGTCAGAGAATGAAAAAAATAAAATAAAATAAAATAAAACACGTCGAGGTTTACCCGGCTGCTTGGACCATGTGCTGCGATGGTGGTTCCTGTTCAACCTCTCCCGGTGCAAATGCCGCCCGTGGAGGCTCTTCATTTTCAGCATCTATGGACTCAGACTCTTGCTGCCTTACATCCTCCATACTCTTGACAGGACGAATGTATCGCTTCAGACCAATGCTAGCCTCGTCAGCTGCCTCCACAGTCAGAACCTTGGGCTCATTTGTTGATTGGGCTAAACTCACATCATCTTCATCCTTCGAGTTCCCTGCCCCTGCTACAGCGACACTTAGTTCATCTTCAGTCTCTTGGATCGCCAAGCGACCATTGCTCAATCTATTTCCGTTTGGATTACCGTAGTTTTCAAACTGAGTGATACGCACTTTCCATGAATTTTTGCCGTTTGAGTCTCTCATAGTAGCTACAACAAATGATCCTCGCTCATCCACAAAGCTAGCCGCATTCTTTTCTGTATCAGCCAGACTGAGGGCATCGCAGCATCCCAAGATAATTCTTCGGTCCAGCAAAAAGTACCTTACAGGGCCTGTCACATTAGCCTCAGGTGAAGGGTGTGCATGGCGATAAAAGTGATGATTTAGTTGTTGTTGCTGTTGCTGAGAGTCCAGAGACTCAAAGTCCATCATACCCTTGAGGTTAGCCAGACTAGCCCTGTTAATGGCGATATCGTTCCACAGAGTTGACATTCGGCTCGGACCAATATCATCTGACCAGACTGGAAAGTTGCTCAACTGGTTCGAGAATTGAGTCATGGCCATCTCAGCAGCGTGTTGGATTAGCAATAGATCTTGTCGAGAGGCTTTGGCTTGGCCGCAGAGGGAGGAAGTTGCAGATCGGTTCTTACGATTGCCTTTTTCTTTCTTTGATTCTTGATTCAACATCTTGATAGGACCCGGATACTTATTGTTTCCTTGGAAGAGCTTCACTGCACTATTGCTTGATTGTTTACCCACAGCTGAGTTCCCAGATGCAACTGCACCCCACCTTTTTTTCTCTTGTGGAGGCTTTGGGACAACTACAGACGCTTCAAGTTCCTCCACCCGTTCTATTATATGGATTCCACTACCAATAGAGCTGATTACAGCGAGATGACAATCTTTATCGCCTACAATCCACTGCCCGACCAAAATCCACTGCAACATACACTCATATGCACGGATGACGAGCGGGTGCGTAGTTGTTAACATCGCATGGTTTGCTAAAAGTGCGTCCACATATCTGCAGAGCGCCAGCACCAATTCACGGGCACAACTCTATAAGAATTAAGTAACAAAAAAGTCAATTAAGAAATGGCATTTCGATAATGGAGAATTTAATAGGCAGGCTAATCAAAAGATAAAACGTACCTTGCTATCCCTCCGAACATAGTCATACAAGCCTACACATCCAATGAGGACATCAAAGGCACATAATGCTACGTCTACTGGAACTTGGATGGTCATAATCTAGTTGTTGAAAGCATTAGAGTCCTTGTTAAGAGAGTGGGATATAGGTAAAATCTTGATTTTTTTTTTTTTTTTTTTTTAAATTCTTTTCTTCATAAACAATAGCATACCTTTTCTTGAATTGTCTTGACAACAACACCAACAAGCCCTGGACAAAAAGCCACATCCTCGTACACATAAACTTCAATCAGATGAAGCAAGTACCGCAAATTAAAGGAAGATGTCTCGGTCTCGAGGCAATTGAGCAGCATTTCCAATATGTAGTATTTAAGAGTAGTAAAGCGTTTGGATGCAGGTATTGATCCTTCTGTAGGCGAATCCGTCGTGTATAGAACTCGGATCTATCAATAACATGAAATACAGTCAGTGTCTGTTGACCAGATGAATCTATTTTCCTGAAATATATCGAGAATAAATATGACGTATAAGGCCAGGTACATCATAAATTAGAACATACCAGTTGAGCTAGAATCTCCTTGTCCTCACGCCCGCCTTTTCCATCACTTGCCATATTGGTAGATTTAGATAGGCCCAGGCTCCAGTCTTCCTTTAATTCCACTTTTTCAAAATGATTGGGCAGACACATGATGCAGCCAGCAACCTTCAATGCTGCCAAGTGCAAGTCTTCCAGTACTTGCTTTTGCTTCTCTGGGCTCATGTATCCTGTTGCCACACGGATCTGACCACTCATTGCCATCCGAATACCCACCACAAAATCAGGTACCATCATTCGTACACCCTCCAATTCACTTGTAAACAGTTCTGCAGAATGAGCTAGGATGGTCGGTAGAGATGTTTCACTACGAAGTCCATTCGAAAGAGCCTCATAAAATCGCTCCGTGTAGATACGAAGGAAAGGTCGAGCGGAGGGCTGTGGTTTGCTAAATATTCTGCAGAGAACGCCAAATGCTGATGCCTGTGCCTCATGGTAGCTATCGGCAGGATAATATGGGTTGAATGTTTGCCACTGCAAATTATACGACCCCGTAGGGAAGTCGGGAGTAGGTAGTGAAGATACCTCAAAAAGCCAGGCACCAAACATGTGCATGATGGTATTTCCATCCGGGGCGGAAGATCTACTGGATATCGATGTCATCTTAGAGTTAGGGCTGTATGAATGATGGTGATTGGAGTGCGAGGGCGATGAGGATGAAAAGTGATCTGTTGGGGTCGACGGCATAGGAGGCGACCCAGGAATATTTGAGGCTTGGTTGATGGTGATCCCAACGAGCAAGAAAGTCTCTACCATCCTGCCGATACCGTTTACGGCTTCTAAGCAATTGGCTGGCGAAAGTTTGGCGGGGCTCTTGAGCAGATAAATGATACGGTGCCAAGCGTAAAGAGCAAAATCTGCCTGCAGATCTAGTCCAATGTTGTAACCGTCCACAGCTAAATTGACGACATCCGTACCTTGTCCAGGACCATAGAGCAACCTTACGGCCCGCTGACACAATCCTAACGAGCTAGCCGCCCACTGATGGATGACAGGTGTTCTGTAAGTCCAGCCATTGAAGCATTGCTTGAGGATATCCCACATGTGAACTTGCCTGATACCTGATCTGAGCCAGAGCTCAAAAAGAACTCTAAGCAGGTGTCCACAAAGATCTTCACTCATCTTGGTCTGTTCTGGTATCATCTGTGACTTGTTGGGCTGTTCTCGAAGTAGACTGTCTGTGATACCCAAAATGACCTTGAGAAGCACTTCCCACGTAGCTTCAGAAAATATATTTCCGAGTTGACGTCCTGCCATTGTTAATACAGTAAGTACTTGTTTACATAGTTCAACATGTCGTTGTATTAGGCCTGGATTGAGAAGCTGAGGTGTTGTTGTGGAAGATTGGTATGGGGAGGAAGGGTACGTAGCATGCGTAGTGCCCGCAAGAGGTGCGGTTGGGTGACGATAATGTTGAGAATGCAGCTGAGTGGTGCTGGGCGATGGTGAAATTACAGACCGTACTTGAAACAACAACGAGTAATGATGGAATATCGTCTACAGAAAAAACAAACAGGTTAGACTTGATTATTCTTACCCTAAAAATTGCAACTCACAGCGGCCGATTTTGTACCTGATAAAGCAATTGTTCATCCTCGGACCCAACTGCCTGTCGAAAGGCTAAAGGCCTCATATGCGGTTCAAAGAGCCATTGAGAATAGAGCCGTGTAGTCTCCTGAGCGATCGATAGTTCCTCGAGTGGCAGTGTGAAACCTTGACCCAGGACCTCCATGGCCCATTGCATATGAGCCATTGATGACAAGAGTGATAGGTCTGAGGTCACCAGCAAAGTTGAGGTGACCTCGGTGATGAGAGTTTTTTTGACATGAAGTGGAAAACGTGCTAGGACATTGGATACTTTCGAGCATAATCCCCCCCCCAAAAAAAAAAAAAAAAAAGAATAAAGAAAAAGGATGTCCGTTAGCCAGAGCACATTGTTCAAGTAGGACCTGTACAGGTGCTGTGAACCGTCAACCCTCTTCCTAAAACAGCGTGTCCTGGGTTTATTGAAAGCACGTTTTGTACTCCTTTGATAATTGATACAATTGGGTGATACTGAATCTCCTTGTGGTCGGTTACTGAACTCTGAAAAACTCAGAGTCAAAGAATAAAAATAGATGGATGCAAGCATGTCCTGTAGATGGTGCATAATACCATGTCAATGCTAATGCTAAAGCCAATGCTATAGAATACATGAAGCAGCAATGGCCCCATGATAGCTTTGACATACCTGGATTATGCTCAAGCAGCCCAAGTTGGGCTATCCAGTCCAGAAACATGACCCCAGCTCCGATTGCGTGCTAGTCTCGGTGAAGATGCTCCTTCCACGTAGTTAACGGTTACTAATGCGTCGGCTTGATTCAATCTCACACGCCTAGAAGCGCGCTAAATGGTATTGATATATGGAGGCAGTGAATAAATGTGTTGAGTTATTTTAAATGTTTTGTCTGTTGTGTGCAACTCTTCAGGATTGGTTCAGTTAAAGGGACGATTACGGCAGTTTGGAATGTTCAGATATTAAAAATAGGATAAGGAAAAAGAGTTTGATGGTGATGAGGGTAGGATGAGAAATGGCGCAACGTTAAATTAAGTCAAGAGAAAAGGTGTGTGAATGAATGTGTGCAAGTGTTTATGAGCAAGGTAATTCCAAAAAAAAAAAAAGAGGTGATGGCAGATTGTCGAGTGTCCCAATGTCCATCTTCCCCCTTAATTATATTTCCAAGCACTTGACAAAGTATTTCCTGCATTTCTCGACTCATATCTGGTATGAGCTCTTCCACCATGAAAACTTTTTTTTAAGGAAGTTTACTGTTCACCATGTTATGGAGGACCTCTTCAGCAAACGTTTATCCACATTCTGAAGAGCTGTACATCCTTACGTTTTTTAGACGCGCAACATGGCCAACAATGAAGACAATTTTCAACATTTTTCTTCACACAAGAAAAAGGCTCATTTGATAATTAGCAACAAGAGTATCATTACTAATGAGCATACAATATGGGCTTTATGATGTAGTGTCCTTCTGTATCCTTTTCATATCCTGAGGCACCTATTTGTCCGGATAATAATAGTGCCTTTCGCACGCATCATTGTCTAGCAGGTGAAAAGGTTATTATGAAAATTATAACCGTAGAAAAGCGAGTTGTGAGCCACTTACCTCCAACCTCAGTGAGGAATGTCAGTGGAAATCTCCACTTGTTCATAAAAGCTTAAAGGTTTAAAAGTATATATATTTTTCTTGGCCGTTTTCATTTGTATGAGGACTCACCTACTTCAAGACAATCGTGTATTCTCTTAAAATGTCTCTCCCCACTCCATACACGTCTGTAGCAGGAAGTCCTTGTTCATTCCCTCTGTTCCCTCTAGAAGCACCAAAGGAGGTGAAAGTAATATCTAATGTCCTCCTAGACCCAGAAAATTTAAAACGTAGGATACTGGCGACTGGAAAGATCATATGGATTACATTGCCGCAGCATTTTAAACAAGAAAAAAATGGCAATTTTGACGAGAAAACCTCCCTAAATTGTATCTGAGGCTTGGAAGCTGCATGGCAGGGTGGCTTGCTTCATAAGCTTCTCTGAGTCCATTCACACAGTCGCGTTCAACTTCTTCGGTCTCTGCTTTCACTTTTTACATCATTTCTTGCCACTAATTCATGGACTCTCTTCCTTCCTCTCTCTCTCATCTTTGTCATCATCTCTTATATTCTCTGTTGACACATCTCGGCTTGATTCTTTAACAGTTATTATTCATTAACTGCTAATCATCAGTCTTATTAAATAGAGTTATCTTTCCCCCTCTTATTTTCTATTTACTCTGTTAACATCTCTATAGTGTCAGAGTAAAAAAAAAAAAAAAAAAGCGATACTGAAAAGGAAAAAAAAAAAAAAAAAAAAAAAAAGATAGCAATGTCGTCCATGGACTCTCCATTGCGCACTTACTTGCGTGACGCTGCTCGCAAGTTTGATTACATGCTCACAGATGCTGCGCAACGAGAAATCAACTCAGAGCTCTATGCTGCTCTTTGGGACAACAATGACGAGTATCTCCACAACTATTTCCCTTACTTTGTTGAGGCAAGGCAGAACGGCGTCACGGTCCTAACTAACAATGGTGACGACGAATATTCCCCTTCTGCCCGTGGACAAGCTTGTGGCCACACGTTCAAAATGGGTGAAGGTGTTTTTCGCTGCAGGTAATATCCAAGCATCCCTTCCGAGATATAATATAATACACTTTTACACATTGGCTTTGTAATTCGTTGGTCTTGAGTGTGGTTGTCGTCAGAGTATTTCTTTCATAAGAGGACGCGTAACACATTTGTACATCATGTGCACCCATGTGCAGCTTGTATACACTCCACTCTTTATTCAACCTCTTTTTGCACACAAGTAAACAAAACGTATTTTTTGAAGTTATGATTCTAACTGCTGCTTTCTCTCCCTCTCTCTCTCTTTTTTTTTTTTTTTTTTTTTTTTTTTTTTGTATTTCTCTTATTAGAACGTGTGCTCTTGATGAGACATGCGTCTTCTGTTTGCGTTGCTTTCACGGAACAAACCACGAGGGACATGATACGTCCTTTTCTGTTAATGCAGGGGGCGGTGGTTGCTGCGACTGTGGAGATTCGGAAGCATGGAAGGTTGATCTGGACTGCATTTATCACTCAGCAAAAAATATCCCACCAGGTGAAAATGACCCCATGGATCTTGAATATCCGCCTGAGGTAGCGGCTTCTATCCGCAAAACCATTGCTACAGTTTTGGACTTTATCATCGACACCATGACAACCTCACCTGAAAATATGAACGCCACACGTGCCAGTAAAGAACTAATCCAGCGTGATGCTGTAGAAGCCGGCAATATTGCAGGCGAAAGCACCGACCTGGAAACTATGGACTTTGCTTGTATTTTATGGAATGACGAAGATCATTCATTCACAGATGTCATCAATCGTGTTTCGGAGACGACCAATATGTCTCAGGCATATGCTAGGAAGATCGCAGAGACTGTGGACACACAGGTATTTATTAGTGGTCTCTCAATCACAAAAAAATGTCAACGATGCACAGTCTAAACAACCAAGCCGTTTTGAGCTACATTGCCCAATATTAGCCACACTAACCAGTATTTATTGTAATGTTTCCTTGCCTCATTCAAAGGGACGTGCAATTGTCGAAATGTCGAGCGACATCCAGAGGCTTATGGATATTGCTAGCAGTTTAGCAGACATTAGTCTTGTCGTTAGTATCCGGTCAGCCAGAGAGACATTCAAGGAGCAGCTATGCGACGTTTGTATTTCCTTTTTAAAGTCGCTTGCATATGCCAAAGGAGGGGCGGTTTCGCAGAAGCAATCCTTGGCAATTCGCGAAATTATCTGTGAAGAGCTCTGTAGTGAATGGCGTCGGAAACCATACAGAAATAGCACAGCGAGCCGGCAGGATAATGCTACAGACATAGATGATGACTTCATTGACATTGTCGGTGTTAATCCTGAGGATGAGGCAAGAGCATCCATGACGCATGGCTTGGATATTAGTGGAGACATGGACACCACATCCTCGCACATTGGAGAACCATCCAGTCGCTTGCCTTCTGCTCTCAGCCGAGACACTGATGCAGAGATGGCGCCAGCGGGTAGTGAAGACGATAGTCCTATGCAGGGGATAAGCTTCAACAGTATGGATCAACAACATTCTGACCCTCTCGCCAGGAGTGCTCGAGCAGGTCCTCCCCGTCGCAAATTGCGGATAGACTGGCTTCTTTTGCTTGATCTTAAATTCTGGAAACTGCCACGTGCGAATCTCCGTGAAGTATACATCGGAACTTTGGTACTCAGTCCAAAATACAAAAAATTCATGGGTAGGACGCAGACACTACAAAGGAGAAGAGAAACATCAAAGCTGCAGCATATTTCAATCATTTGCTCATATTGGCTGATACAATATATATTGGTTTCAACTAAATTTTAGCTGTGCGTTTCGCCTTCAATTATCTCAAGATTGCACATTCCTTCCTTGTTGTGGACCGTGAGCCTGAACTTTCCATTATCCTCTTCTCAGTTCAGCTCTTCACTGTCCCAACTATTGCAGAGATGCTGGCCCGAGAGCATAATTTTATCTATATCCTCTGCCAGATCCTAATTACATTTTTCCAAGGACCAAATTACACAGGTGGTCCTATTAACTGTAATTTGCCACCATTCGAGAATCGTCGTTATTTCCACATCTTCCATGATTTCCGCTACATCTTGGCTAACGATGCTGTGAAGCAGATTGTCGCCAATCGTCCTGCTTATCAAGCTCAGATGATTGAATGTCTCAATATGTTCCAAGGAATGCATCCCAACACACGTTATTCAATCGATCATATTGAGTTCGAAGCTAACACATGGGTCAATGCGTTCAACGTGACATTGCAGTTGTACAAATGCTGTCGGCAGTTTTCAGATTGCTTCTCATCCAGTCCTGCTGTTCTAACCCAGGTTCTTGCCCGAACCGTGAAAAAGTTATATGAATGGTGTGATAAGCATGAAGAAGAGATGGCCGTAAACGAGGAGGCTCAGCAGCAGCAGCAGCAGCAATTACAAACTCATCATACACAAGACCCTACACCTGTGGACGTTGGTGGCATTCAAGCTGTGCAGCCATCCACACACCATGGCCCTATCGCTGGAGCTACGTCCACTTCTACTACATCTACATCCCCCCCAATTCGCCGCACACAAGTGCATCTTATCACCATGCCAACTACCCCACCTTTAACTTACGAGGTGATTGAATATAAGGTATCTGCACAGCCTGTTGCATTCCACCATCCTTTGCATTGGTTTTTGGCGGATCTACTAGAGAATGTAGAATTTTTGGATGCAGAGGAACTACAGAAGATTGGATACAACTCATTTCGCGACATGATGATTCAGTTTGTTGGAAATGAAGGTGATTCTGAAGAAAAATGCTTGTTCAAGTTAAGAGAGATATTCGATTACCCACTTCGAGGTAAGAACTTTCGTTGACTCTATTTTCTGGGTATTTAGAGTTTATTTTAGTCCAAGCCTAATCAGTATTGTATAACTTTGAATAGTGTGTGTGTTGATGGCCCAGATCAAAGCCAACGTCTGGGTTCGTAATGGATTTGTCATTCGTACCCAAGCCCAATACTATCGCGAGGTTTCGCTCCGAGAGAACACATACGACTCTGATATCTTCTTACTACAAATTGCCATGGTCCTATTTGACCCGGAGCACTTCCTCGTGACAGCGCTTGATAGGTTCGAGCTCATGCAGTGGTTTTCAGGTCAACGAGAGCATAGTACATACGATCTGCTACAGATTGTCTTTATGGCTGAGGAACTGTTGACGCTTCTAATTGTTTGTGTCTCGGATCGTGTCAGTGCTGCGGGATTCAGCGTTGAGCAGGAAATAAGGCGTGAAATTGTTCATGGCCTCTGCTTGAAGCCCATTGCATACTCTGAGCTTACCAAGCGCATTCCGGAGCGTCTGACAGAGCACGTCAAGTTTGATGATATCCTTAAAGAACTTGCCAGCTATCGTGCGCCGGACGGAATTACAGATCATGGACTGTACGAGTTGAAAGATCAGTTTTTTGACGAGGTGGACCCTTACTTTATTCATTTTTCGCGTAATAACAGCGAGGAAGCTGAAGAGATTCTGAAGAGCCGCATTATCAAGAAGAGTGGCAACAAGATTAAAGCCCCCCAGATCCTTCCAAAACTCTCGAAGATCGAGCGTGGACCGTTCCAGAACCTTGGCAACATGATGCACACCAAAGCGATGACCCAGATCCTATTCTATACCTTCTGGAATGTCAAAGCCGAACCAAAGATCAAATCAGATACTATTATCGATCAGGCTGCGTATATGATGCAGATTGCTATCTTAGATCCTAACAATGATCATGCACGCAGCCTTGCTCAAGGTCATGGCGCCGAGTCATCTGGTCTCGGCATGGGAGGATTTATGAGACACGCTACATTTGAAAAGTTCCCTGTTATCAATGGAAACGAAAGAGACAGACTCACATTGCTTTCAATTTTGATCAAACGTGCAGATGATCCAACCTATAAGAGCATTCATCCCAAACTGAACTTCGTGCTGAACAAATTTGAAGAGCTGGGGTCCATGGAAGCAAAGACCATTGTAGGCCAATGGAAGGCGTCTAAGGGTCTGTCTGAAAGTGAAGACTCCGGGATGAGCGAGATGGAGGAAGCAGAACGTAGGAAAAAGGCAAACTTGGAGCGTCAAGCAAAGATCATGGCTCAGTTTGCACAGCAACAGCAAACCTTCATGTCACAAAATGAAAACTTGTACGACTCGGACGACTCGGATGACGCAAAGTCTATGAACGAGGATGGGGAGAGCATTGAGCTTGGCGCTCAAAAGATTGCAGAGACTACGTGGCAGTACCCTACCGGCACTTGTATTGTGTGTACTGAGGAGATGACTCAATCTAGTGAATATGGAATGCTTGCCTATGTCCAGCCCTCTCATGTCCTTCGCCACACACCGATGGAGGATCCACAGTTTTTGCTAGAGTCAGTCGTATCTCCATTGAGTCTGGATGTATCTGCCACATCAATCCGTCCTTTCGGAATTGCGTCCAACTTCGAAAAGCATGCCAACAACTTTAAAATGCCAGAAGTATCTAATTCCAATCCCTTGGATTTGGGCAAAAACAAGCAGACATCTACGACATCAGTTCCTCCACCATATAGACCTCAGAATGTTGCAAGAGGATTTCCCATTCCCTCCCATCGACGCGGTCTATACACATCAAGTTGTGGACATCTCATGCATATCAGCTGCTTCGACACCTATGTCCGCTCCTTGCAGCAACGTCATGAAGCTCAGCATAACCGGAATCATCCGGAAGATCCTTCCCAGCGTGAATACATGTGTCCGCTCTGCAAATCACTCGGCAATTTGCTGCTCCCGATCATTTGGAAGGGCAAGAAACAAACATATCCTGGTGTATTGATTTCGTCCGACAATAGTACCTCGCAGGATTGGCTTAAGACTGGTGCAATCTCTGTTCTGACTCAGCTCTCAGCAGACGTACAAGATGCGACAATCAAAGTTGAGGCAGAATCTTCTAATCGACATCAACGCTCTGGTGAACCCTCAGGCTTCAATGTTCGTCGGAGAGATAGTCGGACTCAAAGCGTAATGGGGATGGTACAAGGGTTTATTCGCGGATCCAATCTTCCTGGCGGATTTATGCGGAACAACCCAGGCACAGCGCCCATAGTCTTCCCAGCAGACATGGGCATGTATCCGCAGGGGGGCTACGCCGGTTTATCTTCCACAGTACTGGGTACACATGGCATTGATCCTAAGGAATTAGATCCCATCAAGATCATGTACTTGAGACTAGCAGAAGTTTTCCAGATGAATCACAAGAATCTTTTGCGCCCAGAAGAGTTTTTGGCTTATAGTCAGAGTCCTAGTCAACTGGGTGAAGTCGATGTGATGTGGGAGGCATTTGCTTATACGATCTCATGTGTAGAGATCACCCAGCGCGGTGTCAATGCTGCCAATGGCACCTCTACTCTGATTGCAGGTATTCAGCAACAAACGCTGACATTACTCCGCATGATGGCCGACACGATTCTTTCCTATACATCCATGATGGTCAACCGACCTGAAAATCGACTTCGCTTGGCTCAACTCAGCTGGGAGCGTCTTGCAAAGATTCTGCAAGGTCATGCAGCGCTAGACCAAAAAGACACAGCATCGCTCCAGCTTGTGAAGCCTTTGCTGATGGAGGATCCCTTCTTTATCCTAACGGAGTTGGCATTACATTCTCTTCCAGGGGATGTCGAGCCGGGTCACCTCCTTGAAATATTATTGATGGCGGAGGTTGTCAAGACTGTTATTTCATTTGCTACGTCAGATGTTGATAAATTGATTGCTGCAGAACCCAGGATTTCCGCATATACAGAGCACACGCTTGCCCCGTTGAACCCTACTGACTCAGCAGCATGGAAGACGTTTATTTTAGCTACAATGAAAAGCCTTGAGATGCCAGAAGAGCAGATGAACAGTTTTCTGGACAAGATGCCTGATCGCCTGTTTTTGAAGCTTTTGAAGACCTATGTACTTCCTTTCCTGCGAAAGAGCGCACTGCTATTCGATGCGCGCTATGGTGTCCTTTTCCCAGAAACGCAGCCTGCCATGTCAACAGCAGAACCCTTGGATGATGAATATTCACGTCTTGCGGCTCTTCTTCACCTACCTGAGCTCTTGCCCTTGTGCACAAAATGGATTGAAGATGATTTATTAAAAAGTATTATGGATGCTTGGTGCCAGGATGCCGTCAAGCTGGCAGGAGCGCCATCTGGATCGCTTGGATCTGAGACTGCCTCAGCTAAAGTTGGTGCTCAAGCAACGTCTTTATCGCTTACTTCTTCATCCTCTTCCTCTGCAGTGGCATCAACTTCATCAGCAGCAGCAGCAACGAGAGCGTCCTATATCCACCTCTCAATTGGACTGAATCATCCAGCCATTTATGAGCTTGTTGGATTACCGCGGCGTCTAGATTCTCTGTTTGAGCAGAGTATCAAGTACGTCTGCCCCAAGTGTAACACTGTGCCGCACGATCCTGCGTTGTGTCTTTGCTGTGGAACCATCGTATGCAGTCAAAGCTTCTGTTGCTTAGAAGGCCTTGACAGTGAAGGCCGTGGTGAGTGTAACACTCATGCATCAACGTAAGTTCTTTATCCTTTTCTTTTTCTTTTTATTTTTATTTTTTTTTTAGTGCTACACATTTTCATAGTTCCTCATGCTGTGTTGTCATTGTCATGCACAATACTAACTGTCTACTGATCTTCTTTATTATGATTGTTAATTATTATACTGGAACTGTTAGTTGTACGGGGCCTGTTGGCATTTATCTGTTGATCAAAAAGTGTGTGATCTTATTGCTTCATGTGCGAAACGGATGTTTTCACCCAGCCCCATTCCTGGACGAACACGGAGAAGCAGATCTGGGTCTAAGGCGAGGGCGTCCCCAGTTCCTGAATCAAATGCGGTATGATGATCTTAGGAGACTTTGGCTGACCCATGGCATTCCGATCCATGTCGCGCGTAAGATTGAGCAGTCGTATGATATCGGAGGATGGCTTACATTGTAGAAAAGATGGTAATATAAAAGATAATATAAAGATATATAAAGATAATATAAATAAATTATAGGCGGATCAAAAGTCCTTTTTATTTTATTTTCTCGTTGTCACTGTCCTTCATGATATTATTTAAGAATGCTTTGATTGCTTCAAAGTAGCCAGGCTTCAAACAAGTGTCATTATGTGTTCCGTTCGGGAATTCTCGCCAGACAACTTCACCTGTAGTATCCAAAAGTCGATGCAACTCCATCATATGTGCTGGTGGAACAAGTTCATCTTTTTTCCCTGATAGGAATAAGACGGGTAACCGCGATATATACTGAATCATTTGCTCAGAGTTCCAGATTTGATGGCAAAGGAACGAAAGAGCGCTGATCATTGGCAAAACATGGGGAATAACTTTTGGCTGTCAAAGAAAGGAAAAAGATTATTTATATGTGGACATATTTTGAAACATGAATGTAATCTGTGATTGATCTCTTACCAGGCTCAGGAAAGTGTTTTCAATGATCAGTCCTGAAAATTGATCTTGATTCTTTGCAACAATGTCGATGGAGACGGCTCCTCCAATTGATTGTCCGTAAGCGATCAACTTTGTCTCTGATAGAACAGGATGCCCTTTGATATAATTCAATGCAGTCTACAGAAAAAGAAGGTCAGTAAAGGAAGAAAGACAAGTATAACATTGATATGAAGCTGTATGTCTGTCTTTTTTTTTTTTTTTTTTACCTTGGCATCAATCTTAAGACCTTTTTCTGTGGGACTTCCTTCACTTAATCCATATCTGAAAAAAAAAAAAAAAAAAAAAAAAAAAAAAGTCAAAGGCTGAATCCCAGAAAAAAAAAAAAAAAAAATCCAAATCATACCCACGATAGGAGAGCATGAAGACATTGCATCCAAACTGTCTGTAGAAAACATCCGCAATAGACAAACGATGTCCCATATTTCCAGCATTGGCCTAAAAGTAACAGTAAAACCAAAAGGTTAGGATTCTTGGGCATAAGAATTAGATCAGTTCATTTCGAGGTGCTTTCTTACATGAAGAAATAGAATAGTCGGTCGTTTCCGTGCAACAAGATCGTCTGATTGTTTGATCAAGTATGCTTTTATCTTGACCTCATCTGATGTCACCAAAGTCAAATCTTCATATGGCAAACCATACTGTGATGGTTTTATAACCTATGTTTTAAAAGATGAATATTAGAAAAAGAAGGATTTAAAAAGCTCAATGAGAAATATTTTTATCGGGCATATTTTTACATGTGTCCTCGATCCTTCCGGAAAATTGGCAGGGTATATAATTTCGCATTGAAAATGATAGAGAAGTGCTCCTCCGCTGAGGATTGCAACTGCTGCCGCACCCAATGAGTAAGACAGGTACCAAGGAAGATAGGATGACATTGTCTGACTTTGTTTCTGTCCTGAAGAGGAAAAAGGAATCCGAGGCTGGGAGAGAAAGGAAACACAGCAAACACACAAAAAAAAGAAAGAAAGAAATAATGGCTTTAGTGTAAAGAGTTGAGTGCAGTCTTTAATAAAACATGAAGCGATTGTTAGTTTTGAGAAGACATGAAATATGAAGATGAATGAATGAAAAGACAAATGAAAAGAATTGATGAGTAATTAGAAGAAAAGTGGAAACAGAAGCTTTTGAATCATTTTGCTGTGACACACACGCCACTTTTTTTTTTTTTTTTTTTTTTTTTTTCCTTGTCTGTCGCCTGTCTTTCGTCAAAGATTGGATTGTTTGTTTATATTACAGGTTAAATGCAATGGGAAATAAACATGCCTAAATTCAGCTACTCTGCTATCTTCCAATTCTATGCTTTATTCATCCTTGGCCGGAAAGACTTTTCGCGCCCCTCCCTGTTTATTGTCCATAATTCACATAGTCTGGATTCTCGCACGCCTCGTACTCATTGATCAGATCCTGAACCACCTCCCTGGAGTCATCAAACTCCTCTAACCCATCTCTGAACAAAGATCCTTGACGATATGGCTCCAAGAATGCATTTCGTTTCCTTAACTTGTCAAATTGGTCGCATGTCCTTTGAAAAAGCTGCATTTTTTTAAAAAAAAAAAAAAAAAAAAAAAAAAAAAAAAACAATGTTTAGTAGTCCGGTTCCTCTGATCTCCAGCTTTTTGAAAGTAGATAAGAGCGATTGAACGTTTAAAAAAAAAAAAAAAAAAGAGAGGGAGGAAGACATACGGATGCGATACTCGTATGATTTGCCAACATGAGACCGCTCACACGATGAGGAGTTTGTACGTATGGCGATTTCTTAGTTAGTGCTACTTGAATACTTGCAGGACCCCAAGGAATAAACGAGGCCAATCGCCTTTCTCTTATTCGTAATAGTGATTTGTGGACCTAGGAGTAGATTTGATAATGACAATATTATTTTAGTCGTATCCACTTCAGAATTCAAATCAAAAAACTGTCGTACATCCTATAAATCAAAGTGATCCACAGATTCCATACATCGGTTGGATCAGCTTCTCCTTGAATAATATTTAAAATGGAGACATAGCAACTTTTTTTAGAAGGTGTTGTAGAAACCATCCTGTTCTTGGGTTGCAATAGACGCCTCATCACATCAAGGACTGTTGTCTTTCGGACAGATTTAGTTTGGTCGATTCCATCGCTCGTGAAGGGTGTATAGGATGTTTGAAGGAAATGACACTTCGGTGTTGGGATCAAAGATGCAATCATGCCCACAAGATCATTGTTCATGTACCCTGGATACCGCAATGTGGTTGTACTAGCTGACATCACTGTTGAAACCTATAAAGAAAATTTTAGTTCCCAAGAGTTTGTTAGTTAGACACATTGATGTTCTATCCATCCCATTCAAGTTTGAAGAAAATTGAGTCCAACCCGAAAAGATTGCCTATCTCTATTTTTTTTTTTTTTTTTACCAGCTGGTTCGTCTGGGCAAACGTTGGATTGGCAATATGCAATCGGTCACACGCAATCCTCGTCAACGCAGCATTATCGAGTACAACTACACAGTCAGCATTTTGTGTTAAGCGCTTTAAGCTAAGCATGCTGTTGTAAGGTTGTACCACGACATCAGACATTTCTTCGTTGTTAGGGAAAACAGAGTAAGTCTGGATCAACTTCTTTGGGTATCGATCATTCAGTCTTTCGAGCAAGTATGAGCCCAATCCAGATCCTGTTCCACCTGCAATCGAATGCAGTAGCATAAATCCCTCTAGTGAATCACTCCCGTCTGCTTCCCTGTCCAGTTTTTCTAAAATCTCCTCGGACTCACGCTCTCCTGCTCCATAACCAAGGGACCAATTGTTTCCTGCTCCGCCCCCATCTTTGGAGAGAAAAATGTTTTCGGGATTATAAAGGTTGGCATATGCCGATGTAGTAATAGTTGTGATAACCTAAAGAAAAAAAATAAAAATAAAAAAAAAAAAAGATAGGGTTAATCGCCTATCTTATTCATTTTTTTTACTTAGACCTCTTCAAACATGGCTGGTTATAAATTTGCACATACTCTGGGTTCCAGATCTAGGAGAATGGCTCGTGGGATGTAATGCTCGTCGTCAGCCTTAAAAGACGAAAAAAATAAAAATAAAAATAAAAATAAAAAATGGTCCATTTAGAGATTGAAACAAAATACTGATGAATCATTGTTCAGATCTTTCCCGAAAGAATTTGGTCTCACATTCATACTTGGTAAAAGAATACATCTTTTCGGTCTCCTGTTTCTGAAGCGAAATCTTCCAAGGTTCCATCGCGACTAATCCCATGCTCAGCACACAGTTGAGCCCAGAATTCTTGTCCAACTACCAAAAAAGAAAAAAAGGTACTGTATTCATTAAACCCAAATCAGGAAGAAAAAAAAAATAGAAAGAAAGAAAGAAAGAGAACGAAGTTATATTTTCCGAATATTACTTTGGTTGCCGCATTGCCCAGCCTGAATAGTGATGATTTCGCGTGGCATGTTGTTTGTTCTGCAAGATACTAGAGACGTACAATTAAAAGAGATCACCAAGCTGAAGCCAGACATTTCTTACTTGTTTCACGTGCACACTCGTGAACTCCGCCACCCTTCTTGTTTCCTATCGTCCTTGGTCACAATCACCTCCATATTATCCATTCAATTCATCCTTCTTAGTGATCATGCCTTCGAGATATAAAAGTTCATCGACACTGGCCCTCCCTTCAGCTATTCATCCTTATTTTTGATCCATTAGCCCCTACATATTGCACTCTCTATAGCAACTTGCTTTATTTCTTTTTATTGTCCTTTCACCTTCTTGTCTATCCAAAAAAAAAAAAAAAAAAAAAAAACATGAATGCTTTAGAAACAAAAGAGTTAATGCAGCAATGTTCAAAACTCAGCTGCTTTATGAGAAATTTATAATGGATGTCAAGATTGTAAGAGGCATTGTGAGAAACATTTGCATGTATGCAGAAATTACGGAGGAGAATAACGATAGCAGGTGATAGGCTTCGACCTCTCTCTTACACCAAAGGACATGTCGTCCTTCTTGCGTACTATGTTGACACGTCAGACTTCCTTAAAAACATAACACCGAAACTCGTCTTATTTGACATAGTCGAGTAGGGAAGATAAGGAATCAGCTTTATCGTTGTTTAATGAGGATAGTCAAGGAGCGCAAGTGTATTGTTGCAATGTCCTTGTTATTCTCGTCGGAAGGAAGTGATAAATATGAATCAGATTTGTTCTCGCCTCGAAAAGCCGTCTTCAAGACACCACCGCCTGAATCATCACAGCATCTACTAGACTATCCTGTTCTGGGGAAAATGTGCCATTCACCATCAAAATCATTTTGCACCGTCTCCAGTCAACCCTCTTCTGTTTTGGAAGGAGGCGTCGTTATAGCCCGTTTCATTTGGTCATGATACCTTATATTTTTTGAATACTTTCGAGTGTATTGTTGCAAGTCCGTCACGTAGTGAAATGCCACCAGAACAATTCAATCATCGTTTTTAGATTAAAAATATAAGGTATCATGACCAAATGAAATTGGCGATATATTGACACATCAATCCTTAAAACCCAACTTTCTTTTGACTTGCCACCTTCTTTTAGTAGGAACATCAATACAAGGAGAAGAGTCCATTAAAGTAGAGTGTACGACTGGTAGAAAAGAGAAACAGTTTTCTTTACAACGTTGAAACACATACTGACTTTCTGGTAGTTCTCTCCTAATGACGATTGTACACATGCATGTCAATTATTCTGAGTTGTGATGGTCCATCCAGAAACCTTTATTTCAGGTTGACTCTCAATGCTCTTTGTCCTCTTTTTTTTTTAATAAGAATACCTTACTTATTAATGGCTAGAATACCTTATCTACTGATGGTAAGAAGCCGGAGATAAATATCTCCTTCCAGCTGGATCGTTGAACTGTCTAGGCAAACATACAGAGTTGGCAATATGCTGTCGGCTCCATGCAATCCTCGTCAAAATCATTGAGTTGGCTTCTTTGGTTGGCGCCGGTTTCCTTTTTTCAAGCTAGCATGAGCTTAAACCAGAATCCCTTCCTCCTGTAGTCGGATACTGCATCATAAATCATTCTGGCACATCGTCTCCACTCCACCTTCTTCTGCCTTTTATTACTCTTGAATCTCTATGGACTCGCGCTCTCCTGCTCTATCACCTTGGAATCAATTGTTTTCTGCTTCATCTCCGTCACTAGAAAGATGGTACTTTGAGGACTCTAAGAGGTTGGTATATCGACACCTGTAGATGAGATGGATAAACACTGTAAAAGGCTCAAGAGAGGAGTTGGCAAGAGAGAGAAGAGGGAGAGAGAGAAATCTTTTAACAACGCATGTTTATGTCTGTACACTCCTGAGCATTCTTATGCAGATTAACTTAGATCGCGTTGAATAATCATCCCTAACCCGAACAGATGGAGCTAAAAAAATAAAAATAAAAAAATAAAAGACACAAGCTTTTCAGTTTCTTCTGAGGATCCATCTCTCTCTTGCCAAGAGCATACGTTGGTTCATGAGGCTACCACAGTCCTGCCTGGATAGTGCTGACTTTGTGTGGCATGCTGCTATACCGAGGGACTGAGGTCTGAGGAACTTGAGGAACATGAGCGACGTGTGTGATGTATACAGAAAAAAAAAAAAAAAAAAAAAAAAACCCCCCCGAAGTGATATTGCAGGTGATTGATCCCTGCTTTATCATCCTGACTTCACAAACATTTTAATGACAAACAATTTCTGGAATAAACTCACTGAGCACTGATAAAAAGAAGAGAGTGCTTGTTTCCATAGTTCAGTCTCTCCCTTATCACGAGACCCTTGCTTCTTCATTTAGTGGCGCGCATCGGCTATCGCTAGAAGCATACAGCCGTCATTGTCCACGATGAACTCACAATCGTTTCTGAGGATCCCTTCATTAGCCCGTTTTCCTATCCTATTATCCCATCATCCTATTGTCAACACTTCTGATCAACTCTGACAGCTCGTCCGTCTCTTCGCCGGCCCAGACTTTCACAATAAGTTAAACTTCTGTTGCAAACCACTAAGGACTCATTTTCCTATTTGCCTTGCTGTACTTTCGACAGACAACCTTGCCTTCCTGCAGCCTAATGTAATCTACCTCAAGGATTCCTAGGCCCAACTCAACTCAAAACAAGCTCATCCAGAACAAAGGCTGCTGCCATCCTGAAGTCTCACTGACTCCTGCGAGCGAGCCCCTTTGTCTTTTGTACCAACCTATTGCAACAGACCTCTTCGAATTTGGTCTCGAAGCAATCCTGCGTTGCGTCTGCATCACCTTGAGAGATTAAGACGGATTCAGATATAATGAATAAAAACAGTTTTCTCTGCTCTGACTTTCCTATACTTTACCTTGCTCAAAGCCACCCTGTTCGAGTGATTAGTCAAAAAACAAGTAAGCAAGCGGTCTAAGGCTCACTCTTGCTCTTTGCCTTGACCCAAATGGGTCGTAAAGTATGACCTTCAATCTTACCACTTGATTGGGATGGAAGGATGAGAAGACTCGAGCTAAGCTTATAGTCCCAAACTGTCCCTGATCCTGCGCTGGCAGGCACTGAAGACTGTAGACATGAATACAGGGAGGGAACAAGCTCATCATTCATGGCACAGCAATAAACATCTAAAAGAAGCTTAAGCAAAGTTCTAACAAGAGCAACCTTTTGCATCACTCTTCCCACCCTTCCTCCATTTTGCGGAATATCTAAGCTCATTCTGTGATATACCCAGAAGTGAACTGCGCTCCGTCTACGGCCCGATCTCTTAGCTGTTCCTGATCCAATCATCACTCTTTTGTCCTGATCAATCTCTAAAGAAAGTCTATTTTATATATTTATTCGCATCTCTTGCTTAAGCTCTTCTTCCTTTTAAACACCTCGTCCTGTCTAACGCAACTTCTTATTGATCATGTTATCCTGCTCCAACTCTTCTTCCTACCGTTCATATCATCCTGCTCCAACCCTTCTTCCTCCTTTTAAATACTCTAGTTCTCACACTAGCTAGGATATTTTCTACGTCTTGCAAGTCAAGGAGATCAACAATTGTTTTTATTATTGTTGCCAGGCGGGGACCTTTTATTAAGGACCCGCCATGACCGCCACACAATATTCTTACCTTATGAATAAAAATGGAAGTGCCCCCGAGGTGCACTCCCAAGACTCGGTACGTAACACTAGCCACCTTCGCTATCATTTCTTTGCTTCCATTATCAAAATAAATTTGATGCCCGCATGAACTTCTGCCACAGGAGCTGGGGATAAACGGTGGTCTTTTATTAAGTGACCAGATGTGCTCTATTTAAAGGCGCTTAAGATGTCTGGTAGGTATAGCTTTCATAATATTTTCTCATGCTATTGACAAAGGATACGGTCCTAGGGTATAATCAATATCGTCCCCATGGGGTAGAGCCTTTTACTGTCGATAAAGCAGCAGCCCCAACTTCACCCTCGCAATATCCACTTATGACAAACATTACGTGAGCTTCCCGCTCACGAACTATGGCACCTAAAAGACTCGCCTCACTTTATTAGAGCACCCTATGCCTACTATATCCTTTATTTACTTTCATCCCTTTCATTCCTTACAATGATATTCACCTTGCACAACATCCAATTAGATTTTCGGTTCAAAGTTTGAGAGCATTGCTACTTTTTCCTCAGCACTAAATGTAATAACCCTTTCGCTTCTCTAATACAGTATCACTAATAGCATATGATAACTCTACCTGGTGCACATTTAGGCACTCTTTCTTGGCGAACCTGGCTTCCGAGGGCTGTCTGGTTAAATTAGGGCTAGCACGATACTCTACTTGCATCATTTATTAAATAATAGCGTGCGCGTTCTATCAAGAGTGACAAGATGATTACAAGGTAAGATGGGTAACTGTGAAACAACTAAAGGAATGAGAGTAAGGACCGAGGTTTTCTATGTACTCCAAATACATCCTCATGCCTTTTACCATATTAGGGACTACAAGTGACAGGTTACCATTACAAAAGGATCCAAGGAAGTTGCCTGGTGCAACCTTTGTTCAGGACTACTTGACACCGTAGTCCATGGTCATTGCTACACTATCATGCAAAACTGATTCAATAATTCATTCCCATGTGCATTTCTTTTTTTCATTCCTAGAAACCGTATATGCATACACCACTCATACTTTGGTTTAATAAAGCTCCCGTCTTCTTCTTCGTCGTAGTTATGCGTTGTGACATTAGCTTGTCTCATTTGGAAAGCTAATGACTTTTTTGTTCATTCAGGTCACTTTTTCAGTTTTGCATGTGGTCTAAAATGTTGCCCATGACAACTGCTGGAAGTCATTTAATGCAAGTAAAAGAAGGACTTTTCTCTCTTTCCTTTATGAACACTAGCTTAGCTCTCTCTTAACTCTATCTTCGCAGAATATGAGACCCACTCCACAAAGGAAAGTCAACGAAGCCAGGAGGTTAATGATGGGAGGCATGTCTACTATAGAGGCTGCTGCTAGTGTCGGTATATCGCAAGGGACGGCCAACAAGATCTATGCAAAGAATAAGGAGTACATGCCAGTCAATAAAGGCGGTCGATCAAGGAAAGTATCTAGAGATATCATACAGTATCTTCAGGTAGACATGAAACGAAGTACACTCAAGTCTGCAGTTGAGGCCACCGTCAGAGCCAACCAGCTCATACCAGCGGCTGTCTCTGAGACCACCGTTAGACAAGGGCTCAAGGAGTTAGGATTGACAGCAAAGAGGTACGTAAGCCAGCTTTACGTCGACGACATATTAAAGCTCGTTTGCATTTTATCAATAAGTATAAGGAATGGACTCTGAAAGATTGGAAAAGGTTATTTGGTCAGATGAATCGAAAATAAACCGAATCTGCTCTGATGGTGTGCAGTGGATCTGGGACGACACTCCGAGACGCCTCACTCGCAGGTCGGTGCAAGGCACTGTCAAGTTTGGGGGTGGTAATGTTAAAGTGTGGTCATGCTTCTCATGGTACGGACCTGGATACATTGCAAAGATTGACAATAATATGGACGCACAACCTTACATCAAACTACTGCAGGAGGATCTACAGATGTCGCTTGATGACTGGGGCCTAACTAAAAGCGATATCGTCTTTCAGCACGACAATGACTCGAAGCACACGGCGAGGATTGTTAGGAAGTATTTAGAGTCAGTACATCTGACAGAGGAGGAAGGTATACTTCTAGAGTGGCCAGCACAATCCCCTGACCTCAACCCTATTGAACACATGTGGGCAGAATTGGATAGGCGGCTCTCTAGGTATCCGGAGCGAGCTAAGAGCTGTGATGAACTATGCGAGCGAATATCGGTTGAATGGTACAGGATCCCAGTGGACTTCTGCCGCAAACTCATCATAGGTATCCATAAGAGACTCCAAGCTGTCAGTGATGCCCATGGTTGGAATACTACTTATTGATGTAAGGTTATGGCTCACAAAAGAATAAAGATCTTTGGCCACCGAATGGGCACATGTGAAACTGATTCAATGACCTGAATGAACAAAAAAGTCATTAGCTTTCCAAATGAGACAAGCTAATGTCACAACGCATAACTACGACGAAGAAGAAGACGGGAGCTTTATTAAACCAAAGTATGAGTGGTGTATGCATATACGGTTTCTAGGAATGAAAAAAAGAATGCACGTGGGAATGAATTATTGAATCAGTTTTGCATGATAGTGTATGTTTGCTATTGTGGGAAAACTTTTACTGTTTCCGATAGTCTTAAAGCTCATGCTACCGGGTTCATACGGACAAAAACCGAACAACCAGTCTGCACTGAAATCGTCAAGCAGTGCATTGACACTCAATCCGAAATTGATTTGGACAAGATGCGTGCAGATGTCGACAAGGCCATTGAGGAAGCTAAAAAAACTATTGAATCATTACAGTCAATTCGTGCACAACAATAGATAAAGATCGCAGTCACAGTTCAGTTTGACATAAAAACCAGAGGGTCAACGCTTGTCGCTCTTTTTGGCTAGACTCTTTCAAATATAAATGGTTTATTTAACAAAATTCTTATAATTGAAAAGGACTAGCCAAAAAGAGTGACCCTCTGATAAAAACAAATTTATTTTCCTCACTTTCATTCCTTTCTCTCCTTTCTCTACTTTCATTCCTTTCTCTACTTTCATTTCTTTCTCTTCCTTCCTTCATTTCTCTACTTTCATTTGCTATTTACCTCTCCCGATTCCCTCTCGCATTTCATCATCATTTGATCATGACAAAACTATTTTGCATCCTTGATGGTCATTCAACCCCCTTCTCAGTTGTTGTTTCGCCGGACGACACAGTTGATGATCTCAAAAAAGCAATCAAGAAGGAAAAAGAACCTGAATTCGACTACATTCCTGCCGACAAATTGAATCTCTGGCATGTCTCCATCGTAATCGGAGATGATGAGGACGAAAAAACTATCACACTTTCAGAACATCCAGATGCAAAAAAGCTTCATGCAACAAGCGAGATCTCTGAGGTCTTTGGTTCTGCTCCAGCGAAGAAAACCATACACGTCATCGTCCAGCGGCCATCACAAGGTAGCTCTTGATGGGCTGGCTACTGATATTTTCAGCCAGATGGAGCTTAAACTCCTGTGCATGACGTCATTGATCAACATTACTGTTCATGCTAACATGTTTATTTATTTTATTGCTGTTGTAATTGTTAGGATCCTCTGCAGGTACGAGTTCTCAAGTCAACAGTAAATGAGTCTATTTCTCAAGTAGACTTTCAGCATCGCAGATGCTCTGCATTCATTCCTTGGGTCTTTTGATTGAGTTTGCACACCCGGAGCCTATTCCTAATGCCCTTTCTTTTCTTTTTTTTTGTGGTTGTGGATTGAGTCAATTTCTCGTTTAATCTTTTGCTACATGCTGCAGCTTATTCTAACGCCTTTTCTTGAAACATTATGGATACTTAGGTCCAAGAGCTTTAGAACTAAATGATGAGGATGGTAAGAGATTTGTCGGGTTATATTACGGGTTATATAGCACATTAGTTTTTACGGCATATTAACATTGTCCGTCACATGTCATATCTAGAGAGACTCTGGCTTGAGAGAATCAAGAAGGGATTCTTCCAGGGAAAGGTCAAGCAATTCCTAGAATCATACGCCAATGGTGACCTTAAACTTCCACTGACTGGGGGAGTTGTGTCAGGTCTACCGAAAGTCCCTAGGAGAGGAACGCCAAGCGAGAAAAAAGAATGGCCAAGTCTTCTTCTCCTTAGCCCATCGACATCTCTCAATAACACTATATACCATCCATGTGAAGAGGCAATCAAAAAAATTTATGAAGATGATCCTCGTCAACTATCATTGTTTGGAGTTAGTGGTTGCGGGAAGACCAGGACTGTCATCGAGATTCTTTCCCAGAAATGGGGCATCTATTTGAACGCCAGCAGCACCGATAGAGGATCCAATGACTTGACATCGCTTGCTAAGTTTATGCAAGAGGCAAATTTGGCACGGTTATATAATAATCAAGATAAGGCAGAAAATGGCCTTAACACACAAGCAATCACGCACTGCCTACTCCTGTCAAGACTACTGATCTTCCAACACTGTCTGGGATTGAACAAAAACCTAACTTGTGAAAGCTTGATGCTCTTGCAGGTTTGCCCCTCAGCTTTCAGCAAGGAGGTACCCGATATTTTTGACAAGCTTTTCAATACTATAGCCGCAAGCTTCCACGAGGGAGGTGTTGGAAGAGGGAACGTACGCCGTGTCGTTCAAAAAGCTTTTGAACAAGTTCAAAGTCAACTGAATCCATCGACCAAAATTCTGATTGTAGTTGATGAGGCTCAGAATTTCAGCCGAGTATTTGAGAAACGATTCCAATCGAACCTACCCGATAGCAGACCGAGACCATTACTATCGCCTGTAGTCCATGGCCTTGAAACAGTAACCACGGATTCGCAACATGTTTGTATCATTCCGTGTGGGACTGGCCTTAGTCTTAATGACCTTCAATGGTTGGAGGATTCTGGCGCAGAAGCCAAAGGTACCAAGGAACCGGATGGAGGTCAATCCTATCGTATCACCAATTTTTCTGGATGGAGTAGTATAGCACAAATCACCGAATACTTAGAGCGTCTTAAAGATCAAGTGACTACAGGTCGTGAAAAAATCGATGAAATGATACCGCCAGCTGCAGTCGATACGATGTACCGACTCCTCCGAGGCCGATTCCGACCCATTATCAGCGTGATCGAGGGAACTATATGGAAGCACAATGCGATCGAGGAGACTAAAAGGGAGCAAAATGAGCCAGGATCTCAAGAAGAGCCAATCTGGATGAAGGAGATAAAGGACGTGCAACAAAGGCTAACAACTTGCCCTGATGATTTGAACCAGAGGAAAAGGGGGAACTTATGCTCTGACTTTCATCACGCTATGAAGGCGCTTAATGTGGAGAAATCTGAGATGCTCTATCTCGTCAAAGTAGCACTTGTTCGCATGGTGTTATTTGGAGTACAAACTGTTATCGCTAAGGAACTTCCCCAACTTGTAGAATCGGCGCTTGGTAGGATGGAGTTTATCAAGTCAAAATCGCCAGAATATCGTACAGTGATCGACGAACCATTTGTGTTTCTTGCAGTCCACAATTACTTTCAAAAATCAGACCCTGGATTTCACAACATGATAGTTACCTTTTGGACATTCACTAAAGACCCCAAAATACATGGAAAATTTTGGGAGTGTCAAGTTCCTTTGAGCTTGATCAACATCTTCCACAACAAGACGCTTGCGAAAAAGATGTTTCCAAAAAATGCACCTCTGGATCTGGTTGATCACGAAGCCACCATAGTTGGATGGAAAAAATCCCGCATTGGAGCTGATTGCAGTGACTTGACTATGGAGCAATTCTTGGAGGCCCATTTCGACCATGATTCGAGGATTGATAAAAGAGAGATTCCTCCATTTTATTTCCCCACGGACGAAATCACTGGTCCAGACATTGTGTTTATTCTCAAGATCAACAAAAAGATGTACCCCGTATTTGTCCAGCTCAAATTCGTGAAGAAGCTTGATGGTATGAAAGCAGCACACGCCTTAGAGACAATTAGCCGCGACGCGATCAATGTACACCATTTGCCCAACTTTGACCGCTTTTGCCCTCCGAATGAAAGGTATCTTAGCTTGTTGTTAATGTATCCTGGAAAATTGTCAGATAAAAATAAGACCATGCATCCCCCAGATTCAAGGCAGGCTCTAATGGTGATAGATGAGGGCAACATTGCCGAATACTTTCATGAGAACGAGATTGAGCTATTGGATTCCATCAAGAGAAGTGGAGAGGCAATTGAGCATGGAAGAGAAAAGAAGATCAAATCCAACGAGCAAGAATCGTCCTTAACACTGCAAGATGGCGACTAATTGTTTTCAGAAAATAAAAAAAGCTTATTCATTCACATAAACGTTTGTAACAACCCAGTTTATTTTGTTGAACTCTCTTGGTGCGGAGATCGCACCTTCTTGGAAAACTGTGCGTGCTCTTCCAGCGTGTGAGTGCGCATCACAAATGATCCTCCTGCACTCTCACAAGCCTGGGAAAGGTCATCCTTACTCATCTTGAACAGAGTCCTCCTCGTAAGCTCTGTTGGCCCCGTGGGATACCCAGATGCAGGGATCTAGCAGGCAGAGCTCGAATATCTCTGGTACATGATGAAAAAAAAAAAAAAAAAAAAAAAAAGCAGGTTAAAAGTATGATTTGGAGCAGAAAGAAGCAGAATGAACCTCAATTTATAATCGCCATGGTCTGTCTCATTGCATTCCGGACAGTCAATGGACCGATCAGATTCGACGATGTTAATAAAGTCTACTATGTGGATCCTGCGGACCATGACAAAAATAAGGAAATACTACAGAGCGTTTTTCGCCGCGATTTAGTGATGCTCATAGGCGCACGTGCCTCTCACCCAATTAACTGACTTTGGGTATCGCTGCCTCCCGTAAGCCAACTTCCGCGAAAATGGATAAAGTGGATGCAATGTATGCGCTATTGTACCGGTACTGACCTTATATTTTTCATTTAGACTATCATTTGAGGAAGTTAACGTTCGCAATAATGAGTCTGTTTTCTGGAGAACTTTTGGTGATGCGAGACGTACACTCGAAGTCAAATGGGTATGTTTTTTAAGCTTAGTTAACTCTCCACGAGTTGATGTGCCATTCTAATACAATGAATTGTGCTCAATGTCAATAGTCATCCAGGAATGATTTGTCTTTGTGGACGCTCCATTCATGAGGATCTTCGCTCGAAAGTCAACGGCTCGACGAAATGTCTCGATTACGATACATGGCAGGTCTTCTCCACACACAATCAGAATGAGAGGATGTTTTCGTACCATACTTTTAGAAGGATGGTCGATTCACTTTTGAATGAATCAGCTACAGATGCTGTTAATCTTCTCCGAACAGATTTTATTGGGTATCTCGGCGATATATCTATCACAGACACGGAACAACAGGGATTGGCAGACTTCCTAACTGCAGAAGGGGTGCTGATAAGACTTGATGGCAGTAACTACCGTATGGCCTCAGCATTCATTGACTCGTTTGTGAGGAGATATATTATTCCATCAAAATATCCCAACGCTCCTTCAGAGTCACCCCCAAAGAAAAGAGGAGGATCATTGGATATTCTAGAGATTATGAAGATTGCTCTTCGATTTTTCGATAAAGACTTGATTTTGCAGGCGGAAGATCGATCATACAAAAGTTCGGGGAGAACAGTTAAGGTTATGGGCGACTACAACGCCAGTGTCCCTCGAGAAAGCGTCTATGGCACGGAATTGATGAGAGTTCTCACCAACTGGCTAAACAAAACAAAAAAATATGAGACCATTGGCCAGTGGCACCTCCGTGAGCGTGAGGACCACAAATATAGTGACATTGTCATCAAGAAAGCAGGAAAACCTACGGTTGTTATCGAGCTTTTGGCTACAGGGAGTCAAACTTCTATTAAGGACCATATCAGCAAGACGCTAACTTACAAACGTTTACTCCCAGCAGAAGAAGCTTGGGTTGTTCATTTTACCTGTGAGGACGACTATTTTAAGCACCCATACTGGCAAACCGACGCGGAACTGGACCAAGGGGTGAATTTGGTGCATTTCTGGCACGATAGGAGTTTTGATACAGTGCGGATGAATGCTCGCTGGAAGGACAGTGGCAATACTCAAAGAATTGACGATGAGCTGTTGACTGTCTAACAGCAATTCTATTTTTTTTTTACCCAACATTGTAAGGACGTCCCATTTTGTTGACATAGGCTTTATAATTTTGCAGATCTGTTTAAATAGCTGTTACTTTGTATATTTCGCATTGATTGCATTAAAACACTCTCTCTTCATTAATGACAAACAATTTACTTTATGTATCTATACCTTAATCTATATTTATATATTAGTCAGAAAGGCTTCGGGTCGAGTTGGGTAACCTGGCTGTCACGTTACGAGCCTTATTGCGGGACCTATTTTGGGGCAAATGATATCTATTCAGCAACAAATGTCGATGGATGCGGAGCATGTTCTACCAAATTTGTCGTAAGGACATATTATATTATCTTCTATAACGTAAACACCATTCAACGTGGTAGCATCCACCCAATCTGAAGAACTATGTATATAGAATAATAATAAATAGTTGCTGACTTTTTATGAATAGGCGTGCTTGTCAGCCTGAAACGACACAAATTGGCATTGATTACCAGGCTCGCACAATTCGAGCTCGAACTTTTTGATACGAGAAATGAGCTTGAGAGTGCCATGGACACAAAGGGAAGTATAAAGAGAAGACTGAAACTTTCTTCATGACAACTGAAAATACAAATCGAATACATGATACTGAAGTACAAGGCATTTACCGCGAAACTTGGCTGTGTTAATT